CTCCAACCCCCACCAGGTGTCTCCCATTACCTCAGGTGTATTTATACCTGCGTTTTCTGTTTGTCTGTTGCCAGTTCGTCTTGTCCAACCAGCGTGTTCGCGTGTTTCCTGTGCTCTAGTTTTTGCTTTCTCTACTTTTCCCAGTTCTGACCGTTCTGCCTGCTGTCCTGTACCTGCCTGACTCTGATTTGGATTATGACTCTTTGCCTGCCTTGACCTACCGATTGCCTGCCCCTTATACTGTAATAAACTCTGAGACTCGTACTATCCCCCGCCTGTGTCTGCATCTGGGTCTTAGCCTGAACCGTGATACATGGGAGAAATATATTTCCCCCCCCCAGTCCTTTCTCCACACAACTTCATCTAAAATAGTTGACTGAGTTTCCTGTAAACAATAGATATTATATTCCTTCTCTTTTAGCCAGGTAAATACTGATCGTCTTTTCTTATTATCTGCTAAGCCATTACAATTATAACTGGTTATACTTATTTTACCATAATGAGATACAAGTTTCAAATATATTTATCATAATATATGTTTGTAAACTCACCATTAAAAAGTACCATAGTGATTGAGTGTCCATGTAGCTGTACCATGATATTTGCATTGCTACTAAGTAAACCTCCAATTGATTAAGCATTTCCTTTGGGGATCTGGTCATTGAACAGGGTTGTTCTCCCTCTGTAAGGCTGGCTCTGTTGCTTGAGCTGATCTGTACTGTAGGAGTGGACGGTCAGGACCTTGTCTTCTGGTTTCAGCCAGTGAATGACTTCCTCACTGCCAGGCTGGAAGCTGCAGTGCAGGACACAGTCCTCTGACAACACACAGGTTACTTGGATGTCTGTAAACAGAAACAGACATGTAAACATGGACATCTGAAGCAGAAACATACACACACAGGTTCCATGGATGTCTGTAAACAGAAACAGACATGTAAACATGGACATCTGAAGCAGAAACATACACACACAGGTTCCATTGATGTCTGTAAACAGAAACATACATGTAAACATGGACATCTGAGGCAGAAACATACACACACAGGTTACTTGGATGTCTGTAAACAGAAACATACATGTAAACATGGGCGTCTGAAGCAGAGTGAAATAAGCAGAGTGTAAAAATGTATGCACAAATGACTGTAAGTCGCTTTGGATAAAAGCGTCTGCTAAATGGCATATTATATTATTATTATATTATTATATTATTATTATTATAATACACAACAAAACAAATATATAATATACATCCACATATATATAGTCATTTATGCAGCATTTTGACAATGGCTACATACAGTGGGGGAAAAAAGTATTTAGTCAGTCACCAATTGTGCAAGTTCTCCCACTTAAAAAGATGAGAGAGGCCTGTAATTTTCATCATAGGTACACGTCAACTATGACAGACAAAATGAGGAAAAAAAATCCAGAAAATCACATTGTAGGATTTTTAATGAATTTATTTGCAAATTATGGTGGAAAATAAGTATTTGGTCAATAATACAAGTTTCTCAATACTTTGTTATATATCCTTTGTTGGCAATGACACAGGTCAAACGTTTTCTGTAAGTCTTCACAAGGTTTTCACACACTGTTGCTGGTATTTTGGCCCATTCCTCCATGCAGATCTCCTCTAGAGCAGTGATGTTTTAGGGCTGTCGCTGGGCAACACGGACTTTCAACTCCCTCCAAAGATTTTCTATGGGGTTGAGATCTGGAGACTGGCTAGGCCACTCCAGGACCTTGAAATGCTTCTTACGAAGCCACTCCTTCGTTGCCCGGACGGTGTGTTTGGGATCATTGTCATGCTGAAAGACCCAGCCACGTTTCATCTTCAATGCCCTTGCTGATGGAAGGAGGTTTTCACTCAAAATCTCACGATACATGGCCCCATTCATTCTTTCCTTTACACGGATCAGTCGTCCTGGTCCCTTTGCAGAAAAACAGCCCCAAAGCATGATGTTTCCACCCCCATGCGTCACAGTAGGTATGGTGTTCTTTGGATGCAACTCAGCATTCTTTGTCCTCCAAACACGACGAGTTGAGTTTTTACCAAAAAGTTCTATTTTGGTTTCATCTGACCATATGACATTCTCCCAATCCTCTTCTGGATCATCCAAATGCACTCTAGCAAACTTCAGACGGGCCTGGACATGTACTGGCTTAAGCAGGGGGACACGTCTGGCACTGCAGGATTTGAGTCCCTGGCGGCGTAGTGTGTTACTGATGGTAGGCTTTGTAACTTTGGTCCCAGCTCTCTGCAGGTCATTCACTAGGTCCCCCTGTGTGGTTCTGGGATTTTTGCTCACCGTTCTTGTGATCATTTTGACCCCACGGGGTGAGATCTTGCGTGGAGCCCCAGATCGAGGGAGATTATCAGTGGTTTTGTATGTCTTCCATTTCCTAATAATTGCTCCCACAGTTGATTTCTTCAAACCAAGCTGCTTACCTATTGCAGATTCAGTCTTCCCAGCCTGGTGCAGGTCTACAATTTTGTTTCTGGTGTCCTTTGACAGCTCTTTGGTCTTGGCCATAGTGGAGTTTGGAGTGTGACTGTTTGAGGTTGTGGACAGGTGTCTTTTATACTGATAACAAGTTCAAACAGGTGCCATTAATACAGGTAACGAGTGGAGGACAGAGGAGCCTCTTAAAGAAGAAGTTACAGGTCTGTGAGAGACAGAAATCTTACTTGTTTGTAGGTGACCAAATACTTATTTTCCACCATAATTTGCAAATAAATTCATTAAAAATCCTACAATGTGATTTTCTGGATTTTTTTTTCTCAATTTGTCTGTCATAGTTGACGTGTACGTATGATGAAAATGACAGGCCTCTCTCATCTTTTTAAGTGGGAGAACTTGCACAATTGGTGGCAGACTAAATACTTTTTTTCCCCACTGTACATTTATGATACTGAGTCTTAATCGGAAAGAGGCTGAAAGAGAGACCCATTTGAGATCTAAGCTACAATTGTGTTTGTGATCAGAGAATACTGTAGCTAGTTCTGTTCATAATCATAAGCCACTATTCCTACCTAAGTAATGGATTGGGATTCTGGCACATTGCTAGTTAGATTAGACTAGATTATACAGTACTAATCCTGTAGTAAAATAGTGGTTTCTCACTTCCACCCTTGACAGTGTGTCAGTTGTAGATATTTAATAAAAGCACACAAGTAAATATGTACATATGACTGTCAGAAACAATCTAGCTAGCTAACTGAACGTCACACATATTGAACCCAGGCCGTCAAACCCAGAGTGACTGAGCCTCATTGGAAAGACGATTAATGTTTTTTTATTGGCTGTAGCATGGCCTTTATACGGTATGTGTGTACACATACGTGTGTGCGCGCATATTACACATAGCGTTGGTGTGTGTATCAGGCGTAGCATTTCTTCATTTGTTCTCCCTCGAAGGGTGGTTGTAGAAAATGATGATGGTGCCTGTTGTCATGACTGGGGTGACCAGGAACAGACACAGACGATCCACCGTACAAGCTCTGCCACTACAGTTATCCTTCTCCTACAGGGGGGAGCAGGTAGAAGGGGGCTGTCAACAAGCAGCGCTTTCATTTATGTCATGTTCACCTTTGCTGAGCCGTAATGATTCACTAACTCACTAGTGACTACAGACAAACTAATCCTCCCATGTCCTCCCCCTCTTTCTCTCCTCCCATCTCCCCCTCTTTCCCCCCTCCCCATCTCCCCCTTTCCATCCTCCTGTCCCCCCCCCCCCCTTTATTTCTGTCCTCCCTCCTCCCCTCTCAAAGGCAAAGCGGGTCCGAACCGGTACTAGATGGGTGTACCTAATAAAACAGGCCGGTGAGTGTATGTGAGCGTACACACAATGCGAGCTTTGCTTCACTAATGTGTGGCCTTGCATTAACAGAAATGGTTCATGCAAGCTGCATTACAGATATACTGAACAAAAATATAAACGCAACATGTAAAGTGTTGGTTCCATGTTTCTTGAGCTGAAATAAAAGATCCCTGAAATTGTCCATATGCACAAAAAGCTTATTTCTCTCAAATTTTTCGCACAAATTTGTTCACATTCATGTCAGTGAGCATTTCTCCTTTGCCAAGATAATCCATCCACCTGACAGGAGTGGCATATCAAGAAGCTAATTAAACAGCATGATCATTACACAGGTGCACCTTGTGCTGGGGACAATAAAAGGCCACTAAAATGTGCAGTTTTGTCACACAACACCACAGATGTCTCAAGTTTTGAGGGAGCGTGCAATTGGCATGCTGACTGCAGGTACGTCCACTAGAGCAGTTGCCAGATAATTGAATTTGAGTTTCTCTACCGTAAGCCGCCTCCAACGTCATTTTAGAGAATTTGGCAGTACATCCAACTGGCCTCACAACCGCAGACCATGTGTAACCACGCCAGCTCAGGACATCTACACCCGGCTTCTTCACCTGTGGGATCGTCTCAGGGGGTGCTGAGGTGTATTTCTGTCTGTAATAAAGCCCTTTTGTGGGGTAAACCTAATTCTGATTGGCTGGGCTTGGCTCTCCAGTGAGTGGGCCTATGCCCTCCCAGGCCCACCCATGGCTGCGCCCCTGCCCAGTCATGTGAAATCCATAGTCGGGCCTAATGAATGTATTTAAATTGACTGATTTTCTTATATGAACTGTAACTCAGCAAAATATTAGAAATTGCAGCATTTATATTTCTGTTAAGTATACATTGAGGAGCGCAGAGTATAATTTAAAGAGCAAAATGCCTACTGAGTCCCTGTACACAGTGCTGTAGGTTTTGGATGGGTTAGTTGGATGTGTGTAAAACTCCCCTTTATTGTCCTGTAACCCCCTGTGAGTCCAGCCTAATACAGCCTCTCTGCTAAGAGGTCTGGACTTTGATAAGAGGTCAGGTCATTCTCCCCATAAAACACTGGGTTGCTGGTTCAAACTCTGCTCCTGCTGTTCCCCTATGTCTACAGAAGGACTGTAGGAGTTTTGATAAAATCATGAATACACTGATCATCAGACCAGTCAATATTTATTTAGACTTCAATACAATGGACAGAAAAACTGAGTGTAAAAGAATGATAAATGCAGGATATATGGACAATAGGTTTAAAAATGCAGATAGCGGTACATTAAAATGACAGAAATGAGTTACTAATTTTGTTTTTAAAAATCCATTCCTTCTGATCCTGTGTGTGCAGATGTGACAGAGACAGATTGGTAGTGTGTGTGTCTCTCAGAGGGACAGGTTGACGTCGCTGTGTGTGTGTCTCTCAGAGCGACAGGTTGACGTCGCTGTGTGTGTGTCTCTCAGAGGGACAGGTTGACGTCGCTCTTCTGTTTGCCAGAGCTGAGGCTGTGTATCATGGCGATCATAGAAGAGTGTTTGTTCAGCTCCTCCTCTTTCTTCTGTAGTTTGGCCTCCACCTGGGCTTTCTGCAGCTCCAGAGAGGACGCCTGGAGAGGAGAGGAGAGGACAGGAGAGGACAGGACAGGACAGGGGAGGGGAGAGAACCGGAGAGGAGAGAGGGAAGGAGAGGAGAGAGGACAGGAGAGGAGAGGAGAGGACAGGACAGGGGACAGAAGAGGTGAGGGGACAGGAGAGGGGAGAGAACCGGAGAGGAGAGAGGGAAGGAGAGGAGAGAGGACAGGAGAGGAGAGGAGAGGACAGGACAGGGGACAGGAGAGAACAGGACAGGAGAGAGGACAGGAGAGGAGGGAACAGGACAGGACAGGAGAGGGGACAGGAGAGGAGAGAACAGGAGAGGAGAGAACAGGAGAGGGGACAGGAGAGGGGAGAGAACCGGAGAGGAGAGAGGGAAGGAGAGGAGAGGGGGAAGGAGAGGAGAGAACAGGACAGGAGAGGAGAGAGGACAGGACAGGAGAGGGGGAAGGAGAGGAGAGAACAGGACAGGAGAGGACAGGACAGGGAACAGGAGAGGAGAGAACAGGACAGGAGAGGACAGGAGAGAGGACAGGAGAGGACAGGGGACAGGAGAGGAGAGGGGGGAGGAGAGGACAGGAGAAAGGACACAGACTAAGCCAACTTCCTTACCAGAAACTACTTTGTATTAGAATCATTTAGATCTCCCCTAGTGGGTGTATGGAGTTGGTTATTAGCTTATCCAGTACGGTGTACAAGTTAGCTGGCAAGACCCTCCCTCCTCCAATACTTTACCAGTGTGTGTCCTTACCCTGATGCTGGCGTCCTTTCTGGCCAGCTCCGTCTTGTTGAGTTCCTTCCTCAGAATATCCACAGTTTCCTCTAGTTCCTCCCTCTCTTTCTCTTTCGCTCTCCCCCTCTCCTCCTGACCCCGCAACTCACCACGCAGACCTGAGAGAGGAGGAGAGGGACAGAGTTAGCGTGAGAGAGAGAGAGTTAGCGTGAGAGAGAGAGAGAGAGAGAGAGAGAGAGAGAGAGAGAGAGAGAGAGTAGCGAGAGAGAGAGAGAGCGAGAGAGTCAGTAAAAGAGGGAGAGTAGGAGAGAGAAGGGGTTGGGAGAAAGAGAGTGAAGGAGGGACACAGAGGGTAAGAGAGTGGTAACTGGGGTATTGAGATAGCTCTTTCTGGTTTAGCTCAAACTGACCTGTGATGTCACGGTTTCTCTGCTGAAGCTCTGATTGGAAGGATTTAATTTGCTCCTCCCTCTCTTTCAGCTCACACACTGCCCTGAAAGAGAGAGAGCAAAAGAAAAAAAGCTAATTGTAAATAGTTGCAGAGGGAATGTTTTTATTGCTACTGTGTGCTTGTCTTACTTGTCGTGCTGTAGACGTAGTGTGTCCTGGCTCTTCCTCAGCGTGTCCATCTGTTTAGTGACGGAGATATGAGCCATCTGCAGCTCCTTCAACAGACGCTCGCTCTCATTAAACCTACACAGGAACAGGAAACGCGTCATGAAATACCTGCATAAGAAACATCTATGTAGAGAAGAATGTAGAGAGCAGTGTGTGTGTGGGTGTAACCTGTTAAGCAGCTGGTTATAGGATCCTTTGAGAGCCTGATGTTCCTGAGAGTCAGCCTGCAGTCTAGCGTTGTGTTGAAGCAGCTCCTCGATGTCTCCCTTCGACCTCTCTGCCTCCAGTACCTGGCTACCTAACTCTGCCTAACACAAACACACACACACACTTTTTGGCATCTGCTAGCTAGTCTTTAGCAGAACAATAATGCTAAACCTCTTAGCATGTGCTAACTCTTCTGCTACGAACCTGCAGCTCCTCTCTCCTCCGTTCTGCCTCCTTCAGCATAGATGCTAGCTTACGTGCCTACAGAGAGACAGAGACAAAGGCCATCTGTGTTAGAAGCCAAGGCCTCTGTGTGTGTGTGTGTGTGTGTGTTACCTCGGCCTGGGTGTGTGTGTTTGTTACCTCGGCCTCTGCCTGAGCTCGTTGACAGCGGTACTGAGCGATGAGGCGATCGGCCTGAGAGAGAGCCAGAGCCTTGGCTTCTAACAGATCCTGTAACCTCCCCTCCTTAGACTGGAGGGGGGTGAGAGAGAGAGAGAATGAGAGAGAGAGAGAGAGATTTATTTGCACATTGTTACAACACTGTATATATACATAATATGACATTTGAAATGTCTTTATTCTTTTGAAACTTCTGAGTGTAATGTTTACTGTTAATATTTATTGTTTATTTCACTTTTGTTTACTATCTACTTCACTTGCTTTGGCAATGTTAACACACGTTTCCCATGCCAATAAAGCCCTTCAATTGAATTGAATTGAAATTGAGAGAGAATGAGAGAGAGAGAGAGAGAAGGAAACGGAAGCAGTTACAATACTAACTCAATTAAATGTCTCATGGTGGTTACATCAAATGCAAAGAAATGGTGGAAAAGAGAGTTGACCACACCACCATGACCATCAGAGTTGACAGGTGTGGAGTTGGAAGATCTAGTGGGGATACTCACTGCCAGAGCGGAGATCTTCTGTTCATAAACATCCATGATCTCTGACACACGCACATCCTTCATCTGATCCTGCAACTACAACACATACACGTTAGTCACACACACACCCATCTACAACACACGTCAGAATGCAGACTCACACCTCCTTCTACAACACACGTCACAATACAGACTCACACACACACACACACACACCCCATCTACAACACACGTCAGAATACAGACTCGCACCTCCATGCCGTTCTGTAGTTTCTCTATGAGGCTGTGAATGCTGTGGGAGGGGCTGGAGGGAGAAGGCCCTGATAGGCTCTTCCCCATGGGGGCCGGGACATCCTGTTGCACAGCAACCCGTTTGACAGACAGCTCAGCCTCCCTCTGGCGATATGCGTTGTTGGCAGCAATGCTCTCCCCTAGACTGAGACACAGGCTGCCATCAGAATAAACACTTACATGACTGACTCATTCATTGTGTGTGTGTGTTCAATCACTCACACCAGCGAAGGGAAGTCTGGGAGAGGCGTGGCCTCAAACAGTAGGCGAAGCCCGGTCTGAACATGCTCTCTGTGACTGGACGTCAGAGCCAGAGAGAGGGGCGTGACCATCCTCTGGTCCTGTAGGGAGAGACATTTTATTATGGCAATCTTTTAGCTCGGCTCCGCAGGTAGGTAGGTGTGTGTGTGTGTGTGTGTGTGTGTGTGTACCTGTAGTATTCTGTAGAAGCTGGTCTCCATGTCCTTCACCTGCTGTCTCAGTTTACTCATCAACTCCACACTCTTCAACACCGCCTCACCACACACCTGACTGGAACACCCCCACGCAGGTGTTTACAACTATGTTCTGTGTGTATGTGTGTGTTCTGAGTGTGTATGTGGTCACTGACCTGAGGCTGCTGTCGTGGCCGGTGGGGGGGCAGGTGAGCGGGTCGTTGTTATGGCAACAGGAGAGCAGTAGCTCCACCTGAGAGAGACAGAGCTGGGAGCTCATCTGACGAGACACCACCCTACACACCGATTCCTCACTACACAGCAGTGGAAGAGTTAAGGCTGATAACACACAGACACACAGACAGACAGATAGACAGATGTAAAGGATATTTAGCAGCAGGCTGGTGGTGTTTGTGGTACGTATGCAGTGTGTTCTGAGCTGGCTGTCTGGTGCGGCTGGGTCCAGCCCCTGTAGTAGACCCAACACCACTGGAACCAACAACTCAACGTAGCCCAACACACACACAGACACGACCTCTGAACCCAACGCCTCCTGGAGAGAAACACATAAGGACAAAGAGCAAATCAGTGCAAGTCACTTTTTCTGTAGGAGTCATCACTGTGCTAGACAGGATGTAGTGAAATCCAGGCTTCCACTTTTAGTTCTGTGTGTCCGTGTAGAGCTGTCGTACTTCCAGTAGCTCAGTCAGCAGCTGCAGGGCCTGTAGACAGCATAACTCCTCCCCCTCAGCCGGAGAGCTCAGCCATTGGATGAGAGCTAAGCCCGGCTCTGTTGTCTGCCCTGCGTCTAGGCCCGCCCCGTGTCTGCGGCTTGCAGCTCGGAGCCGAGGGGCGGCAGGACGGAACACGACCTCACACAGCAGAGACCTCAGGCCTGACACACCACACAGAGCCAGGAGCAGCTCCAACACCTTGGTAGCAGAGTCCGGGTCTTTGACATGTAGAAGACCCAACACCTGGGACAAGCACACTGAGAAGTGTTCATACCTACAGAGAGAGACATACACAACATCACTTTTATTGTTCTATAAAAGTGTGTGAGCGTGTGTGTGTGTGTGTGTGTGTATATATACCTGGTTAGGCAGTCAGCCATCTTGGGGTTCTTTAACAGGTCCACCAGTAGGTCTACAGAGTACTTCCTGGTTAGGGTTCCATCACCATTGACGATGATGTTAAAGATCAGCTGGAATGTCTGGTGGATGTTCTTAGCATGGAACAGCTGACACACACACACACGTCACAGAGGCCAGACAGAGAGTTGTCACAACCAGAACTAAAGATAGAGAAAACCCTGGTGTGTGTCTGTGTGTTACCTTCTCCCCCACCTCCTCATTGAGAGTGAGGCTAGCCAGTATGGAGAGAGCGAACACCACCACCGTCAAACTGTTGTGGGCCAGGAAGTTAATCAGGGTACGGTAGAACGCCTTCACATTGCTCTGTAGGAACACACACAGCCAGGTGTTAATCAACGTTCAATAGAACGCCTTCACATTGCTCTGTAGGAACACACACAGCCAGGTCTTAATCAACGTTCACTAGAACGCCTTCACATTGCTCTGTAGGAACACACACAGCCAGGTGTTAATCAACGTTCACTAGAACGCCTTCACATTGCTCTGTAGGAACACACACAGCCAGGTCTTAATCAACGTTCACTAGAACGCCTTCACATTGCTCTGTAGGAAAACACACAGCCAGGTGTTAATCAACGTTCACTAGAACGCCTTCACATTGCTCTGTAGGAACACACACAGCCAGGTGTTAATCAACGTTCACTAGAACGCCTTCACATTGCTCTGTAGGAAAACACACAGCCTTCACATTACAACAACCCGTTCCATCAAAGACAAAGGAGAGAAAAGAGGGTGAGTAAGAGGAAAATAGAAAAGCTGGATGGACGGCGGTAGAGAGAGGGTGGTCCTCACCAGAGCTTTGATGTGAGTCTGTACTGACAGGTTGTAGCGACACAGGTTAGCCATCAAACCCAGGCACGGCATGGTGATGTCATCATTGTGCGACTGGCTGGAGGGGGGTATACAAAAGGGGACAAAATGAATACTTACATGTAAACATTCACCTCTGCTTTACTGTAGAGTGGGAGAAGAGAGAGGATGAGGGAAGAGAGGAGAGGTATCTTACATGTTGGTCATGAGAAAGTCTATGAGCTCGTGGATGTAGTTGGCACAGTGGAATATCCGTCCGTTATAGGTGAGCCTCTGCAGCAGCTTTAGACACTGAGACACACAGAGATACTAAAGCAGTAGTTGAACACATCACATCCTACAGACATGTTTACCACTGGAGCTTTGGCTTTGTGTAGCGCCGTAATTCTCCAAGACCAGGGTTCATGACCCCTGGTTTAGTCTCATCATGTCATTTTGGTGAGTAGCCTGAAGACCCGATGTTGAATTTCATAGAATTCTACATCGGGCAGAAATGAGCGTTTGGGTCAGGAGAGTTTCCTCTTACGACCTCTACAAGCCAGAATGCTGAATAAAATGATCCTTTACCAGTTGTCCGTGTGGTTGGTCATTTTGCAGGTAGGAATGTGTGACAATATATCCACAGGAAAGTAGAATTAAATCAACTTTTCAAAGTGCTGGTAGCGCGTTCAGATTTGCACAAGATGATAATACATGCATACTTTGTCGAGCTCATGCACACGTTTACATGGTTCTGCGCATGATTCAGGAGATAGAAATCTGAACGCACTTCCAAACAAACGTATGACAAAGCCAGACTGTGAACCAGAGGTCTACCTGTAGTACGAGCGGCTCCCTGGGGGTGGTGCTGTGGCAGTGGATGATGGAGGCCAGAGTGCTGGTCAGGTTATAACTACTCTGGAGAACATCTCTGCTCTCATCATCACAGGCTGGGGGTGAGAACACACACACATCAACACAAGTTCTATTGTTTTTGTATTGTTTTTGAGTGAGAGACACATTGTCGGCTGTTGACAAAAATGATATGACTGAAATGTGTTGGGAATTAGTCATTGACTGTGTGTGTGTGTGTGTGTCTGTGTACCTAGTTGGGCCAGTAGAGAGATGATTGTTCCTGTGAGTGTGGGGCTAGTGTTGGGGTCTCCTGCCAGCTCCACAAGTCCACAGACACACTCACTGGGCAGGACCTGGCCCGACGACAGCAGACGAACACACCGCATTCCTGACAGCTCCTACACACACACACACACACACACACACACCAGAAAGTACGTTTACATGCACACTAATAATTTGATATTAAACTGATTATGGCAGGACAAGTAAACAGCTTACTTGGCGTTCCAGCGGCGTATTTGTATGTGAAAAAATATGCATACTTTCAGTTTTTCCAAACTCACTTCACTCGCGCATAACGCCCGATGTCCACCAGATGCATATGTGTTTTGTTTTGCCGGAAGTCTAGCCCGCATTTTCCGTACATGTGCTTCGATTTTCAACTAGCTAAAAGCTAGCTAGTTGGACTCTATGTGAGTACTTCCGTTTGTACCACCAAACGGTAAAGCAACGCACGAATTGAAAATATTGAACGCATGTGGTAAACAGAACACAGAGCAGAAACACAGTCTGATGCATCTGGTGGACATGAGGCGTAATGCCCCGTTTACATTGTGACGCATTTCATTACGCAGTACGTCATCTTCGCGGAGTCTTGCCCTGCTACTGAACGGACAAGGGTAGTGTATGTAACACAATATGGAAGAGAGCCTCTCTCGTCAGAGATCCCATTTATTTTGGGAGATTACAAAATATGACATTTTCATTCAATTCAAGACAGGACCTATACATTGTTTCAAGTGATAATAAAAAATGTTTTGTTTAGTTACTTTTCCTAAAATTGTTTCTCTAACTTTATAGCAAGTCAGGCTTGCTTGAACTGCAAAGCAGCTAGCTAGCTACCTCCGTCGTGGAAGTCCCATTAAAATGCATGACACCCGGTGCAACGTAACGGAGTGCTTATGAGTAATGTGAAAGAGGTGCATCTGAAACACCCGTAGCGCAAGCCTCCCTCTTACGCGCGAGTGAAGTGAAGGAGTTTTCACATACAAACTTTATATGTCCGAACTCAGAATTAAATAGGCTTTGGAAAAATAACATGGTAGAACGTTTGTTTTGATTGTTGATTTTCTGCATTTATTTAAGTCCCATCAGGTAGCCTGATTTCAGATGTGTCCATGTAAACAGGATTATTAGGGAAACTGTTCTTCAATGCTTTTAAACAAACTATTACATTAATCTGACTATCCACAATTAGGGATGGATCGAATTTTACATAATGGGTATCTGGAGGAAAATGGGGGAGGGTCATGTTTTTTCAATTCCAGTCAAGGGGAGGGTTTAGTATTATTTTAGTGTTTTATAATTAGTTGCATATTAGGCTATACAGTGCCTTCAGAAATTATTCACACCCCTTGACTTTATCCAACTTTTGTTGTGTTACAGCCTGAATTTAAAATTGATTAAATGTATATTTTGGGGGTCTCTGGCCTACACACAATACCCCATAATGTCAAAGTGGAATTATGTTATTTGAAAATCTTACAAATTAGTTAAAAATGAAAAGCTGAAATGTCTTGAGTCAATAAGTATTCAACCCCTTTCTTATGGTAAGCCTAAATAAGTTCAGGAGTAAAAATGTGCTTAACAAGACACATAATAAGTTGCATGGACTCACTGTGTGCAATAATAGTGTTTAACATTATTTTTGAATGACTACCTTATCTCTGTACCCCACACATACAATTATCTGGAAGGTCCCTCAGTCGAGCAGTGAAGACCAGGGATATTTTCCAATGCCTAGCAAAGAAGGGGACCTATTGGTCTATTGGTAGATGGGTAAAAAAAAAAGAAAAAAGACATTGAATTACCCTTTGAGCATGATGAAGTTATGAATTACACTTTGAATGGTGTATCAATACATCCAGTCACTACAAAGATACAGGTGTCCTTCCTAACTCAGTTGCCGGAGAGGAAGGAAACTGCTCAGGGATTTCACCATGAGGCCAACGTTGACTTTAAAACACAGAGTTCAATGGCTGTGATAGGAGAAAACTGAGGATGGATCAACAGCATTGTAGTTACTCCACAATACTAACCTAGTTAACAGAGTGAAAAGAATGAAGCCTGTACAGAATAAGAATATTCCAAAAAAAGCATCCTGTTTTCAACAAGGCACTAAAGTAATACTGCAAAAAATGTGGCTAAGCAATTCACAATTCACTTCCTGAATACAAAAAAAGTGTTATGTTTGGGGCAAATCCAATACAACACATTACTGCGTACCACTCTCCCTATTTTCAAGCACAGCGTGGCTGCATCATGTTATGGGTATGCTTGTAATCGTTAAGCACTGGGACGTTTTTTAGGGCAAGATCCTAGAGGAAAACCTGGTTCAGTCTGCTTTCCACCAAACACTGGGAAATGAATTCACCTTTCAGCAGGACAATAGCCTAAAACACAAGGTCAAATCTACACTGTAGTTGCTTACCACAAAGACAGTGAATGTTCCTGAGTGGCCGAGTTACAGTTTTGAGTTAAATCTACTTGGAAATCTATGGCAAGACCTGAAAATGGTTGTCTAGCAATAACCAACAACCAATTTGACAGAGCTTGAAGAATTTTGAAAATAATAAATGGGCAAATGTTGTACAATCCAGGTGTGGAAAGTTCTTAGAGACTTACCCAGAAAGAGTCACAGCTGTAATCGTTACCAAAGGTGATTCTACAAAGTATTGACTCAGGGGTGTGAATACTTAGGTAAATTAGATATTTCTGTATTTCATTTTCAATAAATGTACACAAAAAAAGATGTTGTACATGTTTTCACTTTGTCATTATGTAGATTGGTGAGAAAGAATTATCTATTTAATCCATTTAGAATTCAGGCTGTAACACAACAAGATGTGGAATAAGTCTAGGGGTATGAATACTTTCTGAAGACACTGTATATCACTGTGTGCCCCGATGTCGCCCCTCATCTCTGACGCTCCGCTGGGCGCGCAATATGAAGTGTGCCTACAGGCTATTTAGTGTGGGCTCAATCAAATGATCCATAGCCTATTGGCTACGAAATGCATGCTCGGAGAAGCACAGAGCAAAGTTATATTTCTAATAAAGCTGCTGGCAAGGGGTAAATAAAACTAGGCTGCATTACACATCGCAATGGATGTTCCAACCCTGAGCCCCGGCCTGCTCTGCTCTTGCTGATCAAAAGGTTTTGGGTGCTGCCTGGCCAACGGCTGTGCTGTGTCAAAGGACACTTCCGCAAAAAAATAATATATATATATATATTGCACGCGGACTAGCCTATAGCCTATGTTCTGTTCAGTTTAAGAAGGAGAGTGCAAATATGAGGAGGACCGGAGGTCAACTTTGATAGCTTGTTACTCCTATAATAGATTTTACTAAAAACAATATGTTTCTTGCCCATGATGTATTTATCAGAGTTATTGACCTCACAATAAGACAGATTTGAGTATCTTAAATTGTGCATATATAACCTACCCATGGCACATGGTTTGCACTTCTGTCAATTTCTTGTAAGATCGTAAATTACCTCAGGCTTGACAGCTCCAGTTCTCAAGTGCCTCTCCCGCCGCAGGGCAGACCACACAGATACAGACCAATATTGTCACTGGGGGAACCGTACTTACTCAGGAAGTAAAAGTCAGCAGGACCGGTGAAAGTTTCTTATGGATTTTTAAGACCTTAATTATGTTTATGAATGTAATACCTTTATTATGCCATGTGATGTGATCACGTGCAATGCTCCGGTTAGCAGAACAACGCATCATTGCAGTTCATATGAGAACGTGAGTACACCTGAAATGGATCGCTCACACAGATAGATTAAGATAGCCAGCTAGCTTGCTAACATAAACACACGTCAGAAGCAATAGGAAGTGCATAAAAATGTTTTCATGATCGCGTTATGCAGTGATGCTGACTAGTGAGTCCATGATCATTTTATGAAGCGTCCGTAACAGTCACATCCGTTACGCTTAGAACGAGCACAGACAGAGAGAAAGGCAACCAATTACACATCACCTAAGCCCTTGATGAAAGTTAGCTTTACATAGAAAGTTTGAATACAATCATACTCGAAACGCGTCTACAATAACAACTTTTCATCAAAAACATTACGGATGTGACACTGCCTGTCCAAATCAGCGCTCTATCTTTACTAGATTGTAAAATTCTATACTAGCACTCAGTGGACTAAAATGTGTTTGATGTTGTTTCATTAACCTTCCGACTTGGTCAGAAACACAGGGGGACAGATGTGAGTACCAAAACAAGTTATGTGAGCCATTGCCAAAAGCTATGAAATCTGGTTGACTGAAAAGCCTTATGAGACTTTGTATCCTACTTGTAGTAACAAGAACACTACATTTGGAAAATATAAAGGCCAACTGTAGTCTGTACTTCAAAATACACACATTCAAGGTAAATATGAAAGTAGTTTAATTTTTACATTAAAGGAGATCTTTCCAACCCCTACTCTTGTCCAAGGTGGTCTGCAAACCCACAACCTTCTGACCCGCAGCCCTGTGCGCAATCAAAATTCCTGCGTTGCCATGTAATGCTTACAGGACGAAGAACAGTTTCTAAAACTGCATTTCTAAGGCTCTGGTCTGTCCAAGAAGTGAGGGTAAACGGTAGACATGTTCTCTGTTATCCACGTTATGATTAATTTTTTTATTTTGGGTATAGGAGAGGGTCACTTGTTTTTTTTCAAGCGTTCTGGGAGGGTTTAGGTAAAATGCATTTTGCTGAAGGGAGGCCCATCCATTTTCATTTCAGAGGTCCAATTTTCTCCATGTAACCCTTATTATAAATAACGTTAACTCCCAAATCGTATTATTGTGTGCATGTAACCCTGCTCAGTGTCACGTTGATATATCTCACAAAGTAGAAGTGTGCTTTGGCACAGTGTGGACATGTTGAAACTGACCTCCACTTGTTTCTGCAGCTGGGCAGCGTTATGGGCCGTCCTGTTGTCTCTGTACTGGTGGATGGCCAGCAGGAGAGACTTCAGACACGTCGTTACGTCCATTCTGCAACACAACAGCACTTTTGAGCTCAGTAGCAGTTCATCTGTATTACACTGTTCATCAGCTAAAGGCGTTGTTTGCTGGGAAGCTTAGTCAAACAGTATAGATAGCTACCTACAGTTTTTAAAACGCAATGGCTGAACTACAGCTGATACGGCTTTAGTTTGACAACTTGTTAGCAAAGGAAAACAGTTAATGCTAACTAGCTAGTAGCTAACTACCTAGGCTAACTATTGTTATGGTCCCCGACTAATGTTTAGATGTGGCAAATTATAACTGCATTGATGACCATTATTCACGTAACTTTATGTAATATACATCAATAACATATAGACCAATTAGATTTTTTTTAAAACAACATACATTCGATTATTTCTGTCCTCTTCTGTCAAGCGTTGTTGTACCTCTTCTACTTCCTCCCGCTTTCCACTTCAAACAGCGGAAGCGCCCATGAGATATTGAAGGAGCAGGGGGTAGCTGCATCTCAATATGGCGACCGGAGTATGGGCGAGTGAGTGTGTCGGTCGAAATGAAAGTAGTGGGCGTGCGGAAATTAGTGGGTGTGTCGAAAGCGATCTGCTATAGTTTAGACGGTTTGATTGAGCGGTGGTTTTTTTCTTCCGTTTCTTTCCACGTAACTAACGTACATATTTGAGCTACCATACCGCGAGAGTTTGGACTTTGTTTTTAAGCCAGAGGATGAGTCTGAGTCGTATTTCACTGTTAGTTTTACACAAATAATTGTACATTTTCAGTTATAAAACTGACGATTGTTTATTTTTGATAAAAATTATGATGGGTGTACTGTTGCTTCATGCATGTGCTTACTGTGACTCACGCTAATATTGCTACTAGGTAGCTACTTCCCATGCGTTGCCAGACAGTAGTTATTGTCAAGCGGGAGCTAAGGGCACTGTGTCCCAGTGTTGCCTTCCATGCCCTCCCCATTGAGTAGGAGGCTATGTATCAAGGTGACATCTAGATGGTTATCAATAGTAGTTATTTCTTGGGTAGGCTGCTATCCTTCTTGAAATAAAATTGTGAGAGAAAAAAAATTGCTAAGTTAGCTACCTCTTGCAACAGGACCGTGATACTCAGTAAGAAGCACTTCAAGTCGCCAGGCAGGCCAATACAAGTGTCTTGCTGCCCATTCAGCCAAGCAAAACGTTCTTGAGTGGCAACAAATCTGCCAATTAGCTGATTCGCTTTTCATATAGCGGAGTTGCTTTCCATACACCCACTACTTTCCACCACATATGGATCAGCCAAAAGGCAAGGGTCCACTTTCTCTTGTAACCCTGAAAACTTGCCAAAATGAGCCCTGTTTCAAATTATCACTCTATGAGAATAACTGTTCCATACGCGAGATGCGCATCACTTTGCACGTTTTATGTATTTTGATTATAAAATAGGTGTGTCTTCACTGTGATAAGGGCTCGGAAAATAAGAGTCTTGTCTACTTTAAATTAACAAAACAAGGCTATGCCTATGCACAGCCACAGGCTTCTACAAGCAAGCTCCACTGCTGAGGTTACTGCAATTTTCAAGATTGTGTTCCATGATATAATATAACCAGTTGATATTACGGTTTCAATAAATCAATCTTAAATGGCACTTGTTTTTTTATTGACTGAATTAACACTGAGTATACCCCGTTCAAAGGCACTTAAATATTTTGTCTGGATTTAACAAGTGACATCAATAAGGGTTCATAGCTTTCATCTTGTTTCACTTGGTGAGTCTATGTCATGGAAATAGTTCTTAATGTTTTGTATACTCAGTGTATATGGAGCAATTGTTATCTGTAATGGTTATGATAAATTATGCATTTTTGCACACTGTTGGAATATAGGACTAGATCATGTGACCAATAATCCAATGTTATTGGTCACATGTGCCAAATACAACAAGTGTAGACTTTACAGTGAAATGCTTACTTAGGAGCCCATTCCCAACAATGCAGAGTTAAAAAGTAAGACAAATATTTGATAAATAATAAATCATGTTTTTTCTGGCCTTGTGGTCTAAAAATACATATAATTTTTCATTAGAGTACTCAAAATGTTTAATCATAATTATTTTGCACTCCCACTTTCAGACATAGCCAGGCGCCCAAGTGCGTGCTTGTGTGTGTGTGTGTGTGTGTGTGTGTGTGTGTGTGTGTGTGTATCGCCATGTCGGAATATCTGTACTTGTGTTCTAGCTAAATAGTAGGCTGATTGGGTATGTGAAAATATAAAGTTTTAGAGTATGTGAAATGTCTATAATTAAGTAGGCCTATCCTTTAAAGGAAAGGATGTCATACTAATTTCAACTTTTCATTTAGTAGAATTCGCTGCAAACCAGTGAAGGGAAAAAGCATATTTTCAGACCCATGTGTGTTTGACATCTGATAATCAGATAAGAGGACAATCTGTACTATAACGAAGGAATGGCGAGAAACAAAGCAATTGCATATTAAATGATGCATTCTCAGTATGGGTGAGCCTAATATGTTGATATTTGTTGCTTACTACATACATTTACACTAAACAGTACGTTCTAAATAGTATGTAGTATGTAGTATGATTAGTACACAGTATGTAGTTTTAGTAAGTAGTAGGCGAGACCGATTAATAATTAAGGGGACAAGGTGATATCACCTTAACTCTCATTTGAATACATACCGCCTTGAACCAACATGGGAGAAGGCGTGTTTGCCAAAATTCTACTGTAGGGTGTCAGCAAATATAATTAAAAGTTTACACCATTCATCTATGGTAAAGATACTTATATGTTTCCCCTTTCATCTGTGTCTGGTGTTAGCTAGTTACTGGCTAGCTAGGTCTTCAGCCGGCATGGAACCAAAGGGGGGAAGGATCATTCAAAACTCAGACGCAGTTGTCAAGTCAACACATCTGTCAGTGCTGCTGTGAACCGCATCACAAGAGAAATGCAAATAGAAGATGGATTAAAAAAAAGTTTACACCGGCTTGCCAATTTTTACTAATACTCATAGTCCATATTTACTTTTGCAGTGCCTTCTGTCCTCTGAATCAGGGAAGGCTGGCTGAAAGTGAAACACACTATCTACGGCAGGGACCTTGCAGAGAGATGTGAGAACCAAAGTGTGACAAAAACAAATGGCGGTGGGTTTGGGTGTGAGTGTGCTTGTGTGTGTAACCCAGTTTGAGAATTACAGTCAAAAGTGTGCATGCATGTGCTGTCCCACTGGGCATAGACGTCAATTCAACGTCTATTCCACGATGGTTAATTGAAATGACGTGGAAACAACGTTGATTTAACCAGTGGTGTTTGTGTGTACACAGCAAATAATGGAGAGTCATTACAGCAGAGTTACTGTTATTTGACTCGAAAAGAGCAGCTTTAACTATTTTGGGAATTAAGTGACTGATTGTGACCACTAGAGTCAGAGGTAAAACACAGAGTTCATTCGAATAGAGCGTTCATAAGTATTGCTAGAGTCAATGTGATCCCGCCCACAGATTAGCAGTTAAATTTAGATTTTGCCGCCATTGATATTTTCTTCCTCACGTTCGACTCAGGCTTACCCTGACAGAAGTAGTCTTTTGCATTCAGGTAAGTAATATGGTTTTGAAATTCATATTTGGCCTAAGTCAACCATTTAGACTGGCGTATCCTTCTTATCATTTATCATTAGCTAGTTCCAAGCCAAATATTCATTATTACCTAGCAGTCGATCGGTATAGCCTGTTTTTTTTAACCAAGCCAGGCTTGGCGCCATTCTCAAAGCATAGCTACCGTTAGCTAGCTAGCTAGCTAATAATTTTAGTTCAATTTGACAGAATGGACAGACAAAGGTAGGTACTTGAAGCGGCTAAATTCAATTTTTTTTATCACCACAGTAGAATAAACCAATAAACATTTGGCAATGCGACACCAAATGTTTTGTAATGTTACCGTAGCAAATAGCTAACGTTAGCTAACGTTTTGTAATGTTACTGTAGCAAATAGCTACAGCAGTTAGCTAATGTTACCTAGCTAGCTAATAGCTAATGTTAGCTAGCGTGGCCCTTTATAGTAGCTAGCTAACGTTAACGTTTGCAAACTAGAATCACAGATAGAACAATGAGGGTTAGTGTAGTATCTAGACAATTTACAATTTTGCTGACATTTGCAAATGGTCTTAGAGGATGTTGACTCAGCTTGAGGAAGCATCTGGAGACCATTTCTATAGGGGAACCCTAAAACAGAGGAAGTCTGTTATGTGGAGTCCTGGGATTGGTCTGTAGGGGAAAACACCCATATCAGGTTACATAGGATATATATATACTATGGTTTGGGACAAAGGAGGGGAGAATAACATATTAGAGATTGGGGCCGGTTATTCTCCAGATGTCTGCAGAAGTCTGTAAATTGGCGCTGAGATCTTCAATGTAATAAATAATTATAATCGAGGACAGTGTCAGCGGATTTCTTGTTCTCACAGCATCTCAGCATAGTTCTCGACACTACATTAACGGCGACGAGGATGCCCACCCAGGGACACTACATTAATTATACAAATATTTGCTAGAATAATCAAACCAAATTCTGGTTATAGTCTAGCTAAGGTCAGTCATTCATTCATTCTATACACAACTTTGGCTGACCTGAGTGTTGCTTCTTTGGCTAGATAGATGGCTGCTTAGCTAGATGGCTGGCTAGCTAGTAACGTTAGCTAGATGGCTACCAAAGCCACATGTCTAAGCTAGCTAAATAGATAACCTAAACCTGCATTCGGTTTGAGAATTCAGTAATGGATGTGTGCCTGGGTATGACGTCGTTAACTATGTCAGCTTTCGTTACTTTTATTATGCGTGCGTGCCTTGTGTACTAGCTACGGAATCGAGAGTAAAATGTGGTGCGTGCCTCCTGTGCGTTACTAAATATAGAGTTAATTGGTGCAGCACAGCGAAGCCGGGGAGAAAGCAGGGAATACACAGCATTTTCAAATGACTTTTCAAGTTGCAAAGCTGTCTAACAATACACTGCTGTTATTTACATGCTCCTCCTCAGGCATTCAGGCATTGTGTATGTGAAGGTGACCGAGGAGCATTAAACATTACACAGTCCCTGCAACTGTTCAACTTTTCTTCCAGATTCTTCCAGTGACAAATTTGCTTCAGGTGAACAAAATATTTGTTTATTTTTTGTCTGTTTTTCTAGGCCCACTATTACAATGAAGAAGATGGGAGTGGCTACTTGGCATGGAGATTGAAGCACCTGCAAAAGGAGGATGCAGAGGGAAGAATAAAGTGCCCTCGTAGATCACTAACAGGTGGGTCCAGCTGGTTGGCATACATAACTGTCTTTTATTTGTGTGTGTATGGTTAGTTCGGTTGAAGGGATTTTATGTAACCATAGCAAATGAAAGCTAGCTAGGTGTTTATCTCAATTTCATATGCTGAAATCTACACGCGATATGCAAATGTCTCGCATGCAACTGTTCGCCTTGGCTTAGTTTTGAGGCTTTCATAGTAGTAAGTTAGTGTGAATATCAATATCGTGTCCTGCATTGTTCATTAGGCTACATTTGTATTAGAATGTATTGAAGTTGAACGTGGCTGGGATCATATAGGCTGTCTTAGGGTAGTGCTGACTATTTTAGATGTGACATTTAATATGAGATAATTAACAGTCTCATTCTCTTTTAGCTAAGGATGCTGGCTGTACCAGTGAAATACAAAGATGAGAAGAAGTTCATTTTTTCATTGACTTTCAATGACTTCTTGGAAGGAGGTGAGTGATTGCCACAATTGCAGTTGTTTACAGAAACCCTAACAGCGAGCCAAATGTACCTTTGTTTAATGTCTTTCAAGTTGTCAAGAAGTGTATCCTGCCTACCATGGACTTAAAAGTCTACAATGAATCTGAGACAGAAGTAGATGAAGAAGTGTTCCAGTATCATCTGTAGAGACCAGACCTCAGTGTGTTAAACATTTATTTACACATGATGGTGAGTTATTTGTCTACAGTACAGAGATGTCATCAATGTATTCATTCATACAATCCCAGCTAGTACAAATGATATGGCCCACATCCATCCAAAGTCCGGCAGGCCGTATCTAATCCTGCTGTCAGTAAAAATCCAAGTGCGAGATCAAATATTCAGAATGCCATAGGGACAAAAACATAATCATGCTTCTAAATTCATATGATGAATGACAAGTAAATTATATGGGAAGTTTCTATAGTGTGTGTGTGTGTGTGTGGGCAGCTGTAGAGAAAAATAAACATTGTTACGTCAGGTGTGAATGCCATTACTCATTACTACCCCAAACCATTATGAATAAAACAACTCTACCAGAACTGGGTAATGTGAAAGACCCAGCCTATAGGGAGTGGAAAACCTCACTGTCGGCGGTGGGACAGTTTAGATCATAGAGAGAGGGGGAAGGATTCACACACTGAGTCACAGACACAGCCACAGTCCCCATTTCCCCTCTCTGACGTGTCATTGACATAAACTTCCACTTCAACAAACAGACAAACACTATTCTCTCTGACAACCTCAGTACCCCTGGCACACAGAACAGATAATCCATTGCATCATGATCACTAAACACAGCCTGATCTGATGAAACCACACCCAGATGCTCACAGGCTCATAGATAATGTCACAGGCCAGGGTTCAGGGTTCAGGGTTCAGGGTGTGCTGCTGAATCAGGAGGGCAGGACCTCGACATAGTCTGATTCATCCACATCTAGACGTGAGAGAGGGAGGGTTATAAAGGATAAGTGAACTGTCTAGACGGTATGTCTGAGCAGCTCTGATGAAGGTCTCGGAACACTGAGAGATGAAACTGAAACTAACAAATGGACAGACAAACTGTGTGTGTGTGTGTGTGTGTGTCGAGGTGTGTGTTACCTACTCTCATAATCAGGCTCCTCATCGATGACATTGGGGGCAGTGAGTTGAAGCAGAGTCTTTCTCTTGACTAAGTGGCGCAGGTGCTGGGCCAATCCCTGCCCTCGATGCTTATAATGTTGAACAAGTTCCTCTAATGTCTTAAATAACTTCTCCTCCACACCAGGAGCTGTCTACACACACACAAACACAGACCATCAGAAACACACACAAACACAGACCATCAGAAACACACACAAACACAGACCATCAGAAACACACACAAACACAACCAACAAACACAGACCATCAGAAACACACACACAGACCATCAGAAACACACACAAACACAGACCATCAGAAACACACACAAACACAGACCATCAGAAACACACACAAACACAGACCATCAGAAACACACACAAACACAGACCATCAGAAACACACACAAACACAGACCATCAGAAACACACACAAACACAGACCATCAGAAACACACACAAACACAGACCATCAGAAACACACACAAACACAGACCATCAGAAACACACACAAACACAGACCATCAGAAACACACATAAAACACAGACCATCAGAAACATACACAAACACAGACCATCAGACACACACACACACAGACCATCAGAAACACACACAGACCATCAGAAACAAATCAAATTGTATTTGTCACATGCCCAGAATACAACAGGTGTAGACCTTATCGTAAAATGCTTACTTACAAGCCCTTAACCAAGATAGTTTTTTAAAAAGTAAGTAAGAAACACACACACACAGGGTGTACCTGCAGGCTGTAGTTTCCAGTGTTGGTCTGGAGGATCCTGTAGGTATACACCACCTTCTGTCTACTGCAGAAACACAACACACACACAACAGTCAGAAGAGGAGAGAGAACTGAATCATTTCAAATTCACTTTTATTTCCTGAGAGGGAACTTCATGTGTGGTGATGGGGTAATACACACAAGCATAGCCACATGAGGTAGGAGTGCTGAGGGTGCTGAGCCCCCCCTGATAAATCACAATAAAATAATAAATAATCTTTTTTTTAATTAATTGAGTTTTTCCCCCACCAAATTAGTGCACTAGGCCTTTATTACTCCTGTATGAGTGGAGCAAAAACTCATCAGCAGAGCGGAGAGAATTTCCCCACACCACCCCCAGTTCTTGACTTGGGCAGAAGCTCACCGGAGCTGAGTACCGGCACCTCAAATGTTCTACTGCTTGAGCTCCTGTTCCTCTTATAGAATATTAGCTCAAACGTATTGTGGAGCTCCTGCACCTCAATATAAACAGTACCGCCATCCAACATGAGTACTGGAACCTATTTCAGTCCAAGTCAAGCACTGGTTCAGACTAGTGTTCCCTAAAGCACCAAACCACCCCACAATATTAAAAGCTAGGATTAATTCTATAAAGCATTTATAAAATACTTGGAGGATGGATTGGTGTACATTCAACTTCCTACATTTCCATAAAAAGAACAAGGAGTGTGCTACTCACTAGACACACAGACACATTGCTGCTTGGATGGTTTCGCTGTCTCTGATGAGGTAGGCTCCATCCTTCCCCATCTTCCCCAGCCGATCCTCACACTCCAATTTACTGATTGCCCCGTGGTACACCGCTAGAGCCGACACCATGGTAACTACCCCACCAATGGGGGGGGCAACAGGGGGTTCTTCACTCCTCTATTCTTGTTGTAGGATGATTTTTCTTGTCCTTTCTCCTCTTTCTCTCCTCTCCGCCTCTCCTCTCCCTGTGTTCTCTCTCTCCTTACCCCAGAGAGAGGCTAGCGTCAGTAAAGTTACTCTCTGATGATTCCTGCAATCAATCAACCAATCCCTCCATTATCTGCAGTGAGAGCAGAGACTGACACATAGACAGAGAGCCCACTGCAGCAGTGAGGTGAGCAGACATACAGGCAGAATTTGATTCTCTTCAAAGGTTGAACATCTCAAAGAAGCCTCTCTGGCCACAAGATTACAGGAAATGTGTGTGTGTATGTGATAGACAGAGAGAGAGATAGCGATTGGTGGGTCCTAAACAGATTAGCTATTGAGAGAAAGACAGTGGAAAACTTCAAGTCTTCATGTAAAGTGCCTTCAGAAAGTATTCACACCCCTTGACTTTTTCCACATTTTGTTGTGTTACAGCCTGAGTTTAAAATTGATTAAATATAGATTATTTGTCACTAAAAATGAAAAGCTGAAATGTCTTGAGTCAATAAGTATTCAACCCCTTTCTTATGGCAAGACTAAATAAAATGTGCTTCACAAGTCACAGAATAAGTTGAAATAATAGTGTTTTTGAATGACTACCTCATCTCTGTACCCCACACATACAATTATCTGTAGGGTCCCTCAGTTGAGCAGTGAATTTCAAACACAGATTCAACCACAAAGACCGGGGAGGTTTTCCAATGCCTCAAAAACGGTACCTATTGGTAAATAGATAAACAAATTAAAATAAAAAGCAGACACTGAATATCCCTTTGAGCATGGTGAAGTTATTAATTACACTTTGGATGGTGTATCAATATACCCAGTCACTACAAAGATACAGGCGTCCTTCCTAACTCAGTTGCCAGAGAGGAAGGAAACCGCTTCATCCTGTTTGCAACAAGGCATTACAAGGCAATATTGCAAAAAATGCAGCAAAGCAATTAACTTTTTGTCCTGAATACAAAGTGTTATGTTTGGGGCAAATCCAATACAACACATTACTGCGTACCACTCTCCATATTTTCAAGCATGGTGGTGGTTGCATCATGTTATGGGTATGCTTGTCATCGTTAAGGACTGGGGAGTTTTTCAGGATTAAAAAAATCCAGAATGGAGCTAACCACAGGCAAAATCCTAGAGGAAGACCTGGTTCAGTCTGCTTTACACAAGACACTGGGAAATGAATTCACCTTTCAGCAGGACAATAACCTAAAACACAAGGCCAAATCTACACTGGAGTTGCTTACCAAGAAGACAGTGAATGTTCCTGTTTTGACATAAATCTACTTGACAATCTATGGCAAGACCTGAAAATGGTTGTCTAGCAATGATCAACAACCAATTTTACAGAGCTTGAAGAATTTTGAAAAGAATAATGGGCAAATGTTGTACAATCCAGGTGTGGAAAGCGCTTACACTCTAAAAAGAGTAGGTTCCTGGAGTACCCTTTAGGGGTTCTTCAAATTGAAACTGTAGGGGAACCCCTATAATTAATGGATCCTCGAAGAACCTTTTGAATAACCTTTTGGGGTTAATTTTTGAACCCCCCCCCCCCCTATTATTATTATTAATACGCATAACAATAACAGCAATAACACAATATTTTAGTTGTCAGTGTTTATTATGATTTTAGTGGCAAAGCAGAATAACAAAATCTAAATATGAGGTAAACTCCCAGCAGAGCCCCAAGTCCAATGGGTATATCCCCTGGCATGTTGATGTTAATGTGTTGATGTTCTCCGTATCCATAGCCAGAATGATTTTGCAGTGCATGGTGATCTAACAGGTTTCCTGTTATATTCATCAGAGGTGTAGGGAGGGTGAAGTCTGTGAATCCCAAAAAAATGTAATTATACAGATGATTAACAAAACATGCACATGACAGTATTCATACCTTGGTTTTTGTGGTAAATGTGAATAAAACAAACTGTTTTGATCATATTAATTGAAGAGGTAAGGGAGGAGGATGGTACATGTGATCTGCATAACATACCAATACCAATTGACATACCTTTGTACAGTGGGGAAAATAAGTATTTAGTCAGCCACCAATTGTGCAAGTTCTCCCACTTAAAAAGATGAGAGAGGCCTGTAATTTTCATCATAGGTACACGTCAACTATGACAGACAAATTAAGAAAAAAAAATCCAGAAAATCACACTGTAGGATTTTTAATGAATTTATTTGCAAATTATGGTGGAAAATAAGTATTTGGTCACCTACAAACAAGCAAGATTTCTGGCTCTCACAGACCTGTAACTTCTTCTTTAAGAGGCTCCTCTGTCCTCCACTCGTTACCTGTATTAATAGCACCTGTTTGAACTTGTTATCAGTATAAAAGACACCTGTCCACAACCTCAAACAGTCACACTCCAAACTCCACTATGGCCAAGACCAAAGAGCTGTCAAAGGACACCAGAAACAAAATTGTAGACCTGCACCAGGCTGGGAAGACTGAATCTGCAATAGGTGAGCAGCTTGGTTTGAAGAAATCAACTGTGGGAGCAATTATTAGGAAATGGAAGACATACAAGTCCACTGATAATCTCCCTCGATCTGGGGCTCCACGCAAGATCTCACCCTGTGGGGTAAAAATTATCACAAGAACGGTGAGCAAAAATCCCAGAACCACACAAGGGGACCTAGTGAATGACCTGCAGAGAGCTGGGACCAAAGTAACAAAGCCTACCATCAGGAACACACTACGCCGCCAGGGACTCAAATCCTGCAGTTCCAGACGTGTCCCCCTGCTTAAGCCAGTACATGTCCAGGCCCGTCTGAAGTTTGCTAGAGTGCATTTGGATGATCCAGAAGAGGATTGGGAGAATGTCATATGGTCAGATGAAACCAAAATAGAACTTTTTGGTAAAAACTCAACTCGTCGTGTTTGGAGGACAAAGAATGCTGAGTTGCATCCAAAGAACACCATACCTACTGTGAAGCATAGGGGTGTAAACATCATGCTTTGGGGCTGTTTTTCTGCAAAGGGACCAGGACGACTGATCCATGTAAAGGAAAGAATGAATGGGGCCATGTATCATGAGATTTTGAGTGAAAACCTCCTTCCATCAGCAAGGGCATTGAAGATGAAACGTGGCTGGGTCTTTCAGCATGACAATGATCCCAAACACACTGCCCGGGCAACGAAGGAGTGGCTTCGTAAGAAGCATTTCAAGGTCCTGGAGTGGCCTAGCCAGTCTCCAGATCTCAACCCCATAGAAAATCTTTGAGGGAGTTGAAAGTCCGTGTTGCCCAGCGACAGCCCCAAAACATCACTGCTCTAGAGGAGATCTGCATGGAGGAATGGGCCAAAATAGTGTGTGAAAACCTTGTGAAGACTTACAGAAAACGTTTGACCTGTGTCATTGCCAACAAAGGGTATATAACAAAGTATTGAGAAACTTTTGTTATTGACCAAATACTTATTTTCCACCATCATTTGCAAATAAATTCATAAAAAATCCTACAATGTGATTTTCTGGGGTTTTTTTTCTCATTTTGTCTGTCATAGTTGACGTGTACCTATGATGAAAATTAAAGGCCTCTCTCATCTTTTTAAGTGGGAGAACTTGCACAATTGATGGCTGACTAAATACTTTTTTTCCCCACTGTATGCCTCCTCCTCTGTATACCTGCAGACACAGACACAAAAGTGAGCAGTTCAGTCATCTGCACCCAATACAGCTAGCCTTCAACATATTCTTATAGCCTACATACTCTTACCTCTTTGTTGATTGATATCCATTGAATTGTGTCCATTTTCTGTTTTAGAAAGATTTGAACCAATATGAAAAGATAGATGGTATAATCAGAAAACAATATCAATTTAGATCATACAAGGAACAAACCTTACCTTAAATTGAGGAGATCTTCATTTATGTGCCTGCACCTGCTGTCCTTTCAAATTCAAATGTTTCAGTTGGGCAGTTAGCTTCCTGCAAGAACCCCCACCAACTAAGGAGGTTCCTCGATGGACCCCACTTCCTATGGGGTTCTTGGAATAACCTTTTGGGGGCAATTTTCAGTGCCAAGAACCCTAAGGTTCTTCGAAGAACTTTGAGGATCTTAGAATAACCTTTATTGAACCCCTAATTTTTTTAGTGTAGAGACTTACCCAGAAAGACTCACAGCTTTAATCGCTGCGAAAGGTGCTTCTACAAAGTATTGATTCAGACACAGCCTTAGTTAAAGTTGTAAATGATCTTAGAGCCAACACAGATGCCAAACAGCTCTCTTGGATTTAAGTGCAGCACTGTTGCATTCGACACCGTTGACCATGATGTCCTTCTGGACAGACTGGAGAGGTGGGTTGGCCTCTCCGGTCCAGTTCTAAATTGGTTTAGGACCTATTTAAATGGTCGTGAGTTTTTTGTCACCCTTGGTGAACATAACTAAGAGAAAATACATATCACGTGACGTTCCACAAGGTCCACACGTAACAAAATGTGGAAAAGGGGAAGGGGTCTGAATACTTTCCAAATGCACTGTACATTATAAATGTATATGTATACGTGCCCTACAGCTTGGCACATTATGAGGTAACCAGGGAAATGGGCACACACCCTTACTAGGGTTGGACAGCTTATGATTAGTTGCTTTTGATGCCTTTGAAGCTCCTGCCCTGTACTCTGCCTGTCAATGACATGTATTTAAACCCCATGCTGTACATTTAATGCTGTAGTCAGTGACTAGTGTCAGTGCTGGGTATAGGCAGGGCAGGGCTGGTTAGTGTGACCACATCTCTGATGCTATTAATATCCCTGCAGATGTAGCGCTCCAGAGGGAGAGACTCCCATCAGAACACAGCTGCCCCACAGAGAGCACTCCTGTCTGGGCTGGCTTGGCCAGCTAAGCCCCCTGGTCCTCACATGTTTGGGAGAGTAGGGACTGATGGTATTGGGTACATAGAGGCAGAGAGTAGGATGGAGAGGACCGAGTGTAGAGGGGGAAGCAGAGGAGAGAGGGATGGAGGAAAGAGAGAGTAAAGGAGAGAGAGATGGAGAAAGACGCATAGGATGCGTTTATACAGGCAGTCTAATTCTGATAATTTATTGTTTTACTAATTGGTCTTTTGACCAAACAGATCAGCTCTGAAAAAGATCAGATGTGAAAAGCTCTAATGTGATTGGTCAAAAGACCAATTAGTGGAAAAAAGATCACAATGGGCTGCCTGTCTAAACGCAGCCATTGTGACTCATTGGAAACAGAGGAAGAGAGGGTCAAAATATAATCAGTGTCATGTCTTGTACCTTTCTTCTCCCCCTTGCAGTACAATTCAATAATGCGTTATTGGCGCTAAATATTATCAAAGACAAAAAAGTATAGAATTAAGTAGGAATAAAGAAATAAAGTTAGAAATAGTATTCTATACGGAGGTACTTTCTCTTCTTCCATCTACCATTCTCCTCTGTCTGCAGTGAGGTGTGCAGCTCATTTTCCTACACATATATCTTGTAATTGAACAAAATAGTAAGGTGGCCAATAACTGGGGACCGTATGCCGATAATACGGGACGTATTTTTTAGCAAAACCGCTTATCAAAAAGCTTATAATAGTAGTATTTCCACTGAAATGTCAAACATGCTAATTGCTAACCCATTAGCTAACATTTTCACGACACCAATAATCACAAAACGTTGATGGCTTGATCACAGGATAACACTGTTGAAGGTAATATATTTCTTAAATGCTGTTGAATATGCCGATAATACGGGGTTCCATGCTAGGTCTGGGAGGTGTGTAGATCTGTGGTATGTTCAGTGTAGGTCAGTGAGGTGTGTAGGTCAGTGGGGTGTGTAGGTCAGTGGGGTGTGTAGGTCAGTGGGGTGTGTAGGTCAGTGGGGTGTGTAGGTCAGTGGGGTGTGTAGGTCAGTAGGGTGTGTAGGTGAGTAGGGTGTGTAGGTCAGTGAGGTGTGTAGGTCAGTGGGGTGTGTAGGTCAGTGGGGTGTGTAGGTCAGTGGGGTGTGTAGGTCAGTGGGGTGTGTAGGTCAGTGGGGTGTGTAGGTCAGTGGGGTGTGTAGGTCAGTGGGGTGTGTAGGTCAGTGGGGTGTGTAGGTCAGTGGGGGGTGTAGGTCAGTGGGGTGTGTAGGTCAGTGGGGGGTGTAGGTCAGTGGGGTGTGTAGGTCAGTGAGGTGTGTAGGTCAGTGGGGTGTGTAGGTCAGTGGGGTGTGTAGGTCAGTGAGGTGTGTAGATCAGTGGGGTGTGTAGGTCAGTGGGGTGTGTAGGTCAGTAGGGTGTGTAGGTCAGTGGGGTGTGTAGGTCAGTAGGGTGTGTAGGTCAGTGGGGTGTGTAGGTCAGTGGGGTGTGTAGGTCAGTGGGGTGTGTAGGTCAGTGGGGTGTGTAGGTCAGTGGGGTGTGTAGGTCAGTGATGTGTGTAGGTCAGTGAGGTATGTAGCTCTGTGGTGTGTTCAGTGTTGGCAGTGTGTTTCACTGGGTAACCCAGAGCCCAACACACCTCAACGACTACATCTCTCTTTCTTTCTGCTCTCCTCACTGTCAGTGAGCTCTTGTCTGCTCCCTCCCCTCTTCTCCCTCCTCTCTTCTCCCTCCCTCCCTCCCTCCTCTCTTCTCCCTCCCTCCTCTCTTCTCCCTCCCTCCCTTGCTCCCTCCCCTCTGCTCCCTCCCCTCTGCTCCCTCCTCTCTTCTCCCTCCCTCCCTCCCTCCCTCCCTCCTCTCTTCTCCCTCCCTCCTCTCTTCTCCCTCCCTCCCTCCCTCCCTCCCTCCTCTCTTCTCCCTCCCTCCCTCCCTCCGCTCTCTCTGTTTTACTAAGAGCTCCCAGTCTTTCCTGTCTCAGACAAGGCTCCCTCTAGTATCGTCCGGTCTTCCTCTATCTCTCCCTCCTTCTTTCCCTCTTTCTTTTGGTTGTAGGATGTTACTCTGGCGACTCCTCGGTTTGATGGTCTTCCTCACGCTCTGCAAAGGTAAGACTCCTTTTTCTGTGAACTCAGTGGTGTGGGTGGGTGTGGGTTGAGCTAGTTGTGTGAGGTCTCCCCTCTATCCCCCCTAACCCAGGTCTTACCCTGGACACACTCCTATGGGGACAGCCGAAGAACCCTTTTTGGTTCTAGATAGCACCTTTTTTTCTAAGAGTGCAGTTTACAGAGAGAGATAGAGAAAGAGAGACATTTGTTGTTTTCTGTCTCGTATCTGTCAGCAGATGTCTTTCTACACTCCCTCCAGAACAGACATGTCTCTACACTCCCTCCAGAACAGACATTTCTCTACACTCCCTCCAGAACAGACATTTCTCTACACTCCCTCCAGAACAGACATTTCTCTACACTCCCTCCAGAACAGACATGTCTCTAAACTCCCTCCAGAACAGACAGAGAGAGGGGCCAGAGAGAACTCAGAGGTAAAAGAACAGCCTGGAACTTCCCTATCTGCTCCAGTTCTGTCTTTGAGAGCACTGTATGTGTGCATTCATGCTTACTTGTGTACATGCATGTGTGTGTTCACAGCCAGGTCATGCATGAGTGACAGAGAGGAGAGGGTGATTGTGGAGAAGGAGAACTGGGGCCACAGACCTCTGCTCCACCCCTCTGTGTGACTGACACCCATAATCACTAATCACGTCTTGCATATAGGAGGAGGCGGGAGGAAGCTGTGACGGGATGAACTGCTTTTTTATAGCAGTATGATCCAATTGAGAGCAGCAGCAGAGGACATGCCGCTAATCACAGAGCATGGATCACTGCTAAAGCCTCTAGCCATGACGTTGAACGCTAGCCTACATGCTAACACCAACAGTGTATAGTACTTAAGTAAAAATACTTTAAAGTACTACTTAAGTCGTTTATTTTGGTATCTGTACTTTACTATTTATATTTTTTGACTACTTTTACTTTACTACATTCCTAAAGAAAATAATGTACTTTTTACTCCATTCATTTTCACTGACACCCAAAGGTATTCGTTAAATTTTTAATGCTTAGCAGGACAGAAAAATGGTTAAATTCACGCACTTATCAAGAGAACGTCCCTGGTCATCCCTACTGCCTCTGATCTGGCGGACTCACTAAACACACATGCTTCGTTTGTAAATTATGTCTGAGTGTTGGAGCGTGCCCCTGGGTATCCGTAAATTTAAAAAACAAGAAAATGGTGCCGTCTGGTTTGCTTAATATAAGGAATTTGAAATGATTTATACATTTACTTTTACTTTTGATACTTAAGTATATTTAAAACCAAATGCTTTTAGACTTTTACTCAAGTAGTATTTTACTGGGTGACTTTCACTTTACTTTTACTCAAGTATGACAATGTAGTGCTTTTTCCACCACTGCTAACACTAATAACTGCTGTGGTGTGAACGCTAACAAGCTACATGGTAATGCTACCGAATCATGACACTCAATGCTACATGCTAAAACTGTCCTGTGGCTAATGCTAAAAGGCTAAAGTCAAAGCCTGGCTGCAGCCAAGGAGGGAGACTACAATATCATACAGCACAACAAACCACAGAGGAGAACTTTCCAGAGCAAGGTTCTGTGAGGCACTTTTAACCTTTCACCTGATCAATGGCTGGGGGAGGGGGCGAAGAGGAGACTGGGTGAGAGGATGAAACTGGATGTTTTAAAACCTCCACTCATTCTGACTCAGATCAACAATGAGACCAGGAAAACAAAATGGCAGGAGTGAGGGAGAGACAGAGAAAGAGAGAGAGAGATATACAGAAAGGTGGGTGGAGTCTGAAATTATATTGTATGTTGTTATCTGTAGTATTTGGGAACTGTTGCCTCACTAAACATCAAAACCCTAGCAGTGTAATTATGTGTTTATAATCTCTGCCATGAGATCTGCCATAAGTGCTCATAGAAGTTCATAAACTGTTAATCTATCTGACATTACCAGTTATAAACAGCTGGCCATTTAACCAGTAAACACTCTTCACTTGGGGTTAAATATGTTTAAAAAATCTAAAATATTTCCTGAACTTTCTTATATCTCCTAGGACAGACACTTGAAAACCTTATTCCTTATGATAATGTTTTTTACTGTCTATTTTGCCATTTATGAATGTGCTATTCAATGTGTTTCTATGGTCACATTTTTTTATTTTATTACAATCATTTTTGTATATTTTTGGGGGATACCTAAAGGGGTCTAAAATTCGAAATCAAATAGCTAAACGATCCATGGCATGACCATCTTAAAACAATTCTATATGTTAGCTCCCCCAACGGCTTAGACTTTTAGGGGTTAAACAATAAAAGCTAATTTACCAACATTTCTGAAAATGAATATAGTGTTTTGGAATGAAACTCTTCAAATATAACCTTTATTCCAATTGCATTTACTTTTTCTTTTTGAATACCACTGGTAGGGGTGAAGAAGAATGTAAAGAGGAGTTAGAGAAACACTGGCCTGTCTATATAAATGCTCATCTTCATTCACCAGCTGCCTGATCATGTTTAAATGCAATGGGAAAGAAGAAGAAGTTGGGGTTTACAGTAAGAGCAGAGAATGACCTGACCCTGACCTAGGGCTAGCAAGGTATCACTGAACACACACACACACAGCAGAGGAGGCTGGGGGAGGAGCCATAGGAGGAGAGCATGGGCTCTGTAGCTCAATTGGTACAGCATGGCGCTTGTAACGCCAGGGTAGTGGGTTCGATCCCCGGGACCACCCATACGTAAAAATGTATGCACACATGACTGTAAGTCGCTTTGGATAAAAGCGTCTGCTAAATGGCATATTATTATTATTAATGGCTGGAATGGAATTAATGGAACGGTATCAAACACATCAAATGTATGGAAACAACTTGTTTGACTCTATTCCAATATTCCATTCCACCCATTACAATGAGCCCATCCTCCTATAGCTCCTCCCACCAGCCTTCTCTGACACACACACTGTATAACCCCCTCCTCCTCCCCCTCCCCCTTCTCTCCCCAGGCCAGGATGGGGGTGGAGGTGCACTGTGTGATGACTTTACAGACCTGGACTTCCATGAGTGCTTCCTCGGGACCACCCTGAACGTCAAGCTGCTGCTCTACACCAAGTAGGTTAGACAGAGCGAGAGAGAGAGAGAGAGTGTGTCAGAGAAGGCTGGTGGGAGGAGCTATTTGAGGACAGGCTCATTGTGTGTACACTACCGTTCAAAAGTTTGGGGTCACTTAGAAATGTCCTTGTTTTCGAAATAACATCAAATTGATCAGAAATACAGTGTAGACATTGTTAATGTTGTAAATGGCTATTGTAGCTGGAAATGGCTGATTTTAATGGAATATCTACATAGGCATACAGAGGACCATTATCAGCAACCATCAGTCCTGTGTTCCAATGGCACGTTGTGTTTGCTAATCCAAGTTTATCATTTAAAAAGGCTAATTGATCATTAGAAAACCCTTTTGCAATTATGTTGGCACAGCTGAAAACTGTTGTGCTGATTAAAGAAGCAATAATACCATGTTTTTCCAGGAGACGTGCAGTACCAGCAAATCTTCTGCAAGAGGACCAAACAGTTGGTGGTTAAGAACCCCTACACCACTTTCGGCAGATTCTTATCCAGCTGGCCGTTCACCGCAGACAGGACAAGCTCATCGCCATAAGCACAAAGAGTCTCAGCTTCCCCAGCCCACCATTGCCAGTGTACCGAAGCTGGAGAAAGGACAGCCCAGTTCAGATCTTTTTTCCCCTAATTGGTCTTGTGATTAGGTCCAATTAGTGGAGCAAATATCAGAATTGGGCTACCTGTGTAAATGCAGCCCGTGTGGCACAGCATAAGACCATGTAGAACAGCGGTTTCCTTCCCTGTTCCTGGAGAGCTATCCTCCTGTGGGTTTTCACTCCAACCCCAGTTGTAATTAACCTGGTTCAGCTTATCAACCAGCTAAGTATTTGAATCAGGTGTGCTGGATTGGGGTTGGAGTGAAAACCGGCGGGACGGTAGCTTTCCAGGAACAGGGTTGGATAGCCCTGATGTACAGTGCCGGTCGGAAGTTTGGACACACCTACTTATTCAAGGCATTTTCTTTATTTTTTTTTACTGTTTTCTACATTGTAGAGTGGTGGTGAGGACATCGAAACTATGAAGTGACACATGGAATCATGTAGTAACCAAAAAAGTGTTAAACAAATCAAAATATATTTTATATTCTTCAAAGTAGCCACCCTTTGCCTTGATGACAGCTTTGCACACTCTTGGTATTCTCTCAATCAGCTTTACCTGGAATGCTTTTCCAACAGTCTTGAAGGAGTTCCCACATATGCTGAGTTTCATTCACACTTTTTTGGTTGCTACATGATTCCATATGTGTTGTTTCGTGGTTTTGATGTCTTCACTGTTGTTCTACAATGTAGAAAACAGTAAAAGTGAAGAAGGACCCTTGGATGAGTGGGTGTGTCCAAGCTTTTGACTGGTACTGTATATAAGGTCCCACAGTTGACAGTACATGTCAGAGCAAAAACCAACCCATGAGGTCGAAGGAATTGTCCGTAGAACTCAGAGACAGGATTGTGTCGAGGCAGAGATCTGGGGAAGGGTGCCAAAACATTTCTGCAGCATTGAAGGTCCCCAAGAACACAGTGGCCTCCATTATTCTTAAATGGAAGAAGTTTGGAACCACCAAGACTCTTCCTAGAGCTGGCCGCCCAGACAAACTGAGCAATCGGGGGAGAAGGCCCTTGGTCAGGGAGGTGACCAAGAACCTGATGATCACTCTGACAGAGCACCAGAGCTCCTCTGTGGAGATGGGAGAACCTTCCAGAAGGACAACCATCTCTGCAGCACTTCACCAATCAGGCCTTTATGGTAGAGTGGCCATACGGAAGCCACTCCTCAGTAAAAGGCACATGACAGCCTGCTTGGAATTTGCCTAAAGGTACCTAAAGGACTCAGACCATGAGAAACAAGATTCTCTGGTCTGATGAAACCAAGATTGAACTCTTTGGCCTGAATGCCAAGCGTCACGTCTGGAGGAAACCTGGCACCATCCCTACGGTGAAGCATGGGGGTGGCAGCATCATGCTGTGGGGATGTTTTTCAGCAGCAGGGACTGGGAGACTAGTCAGGATCAAGGCAAAGATGAACGGAGCAAAGTACAGAGAGATCCTTGATAAAAACCTGCTCCAGAGCGCTCAGGACTTCAGACAGGGTCAAAGGTTCACCTTCCAACAGGACAACGACCCTAAGCACACAGCCAAGACAACGCAGGAGTGGCTTCGGGACAAGTCTCTGAATGTCCTTGAGTGGCCCAGCCAGAGCCCGGACTTGAACCCGATCTAACAACTCTGGAGAGACCTGAAAATAGCTGTGCAGCGACACTCCCCTGTAGCTCAGTTGGTAGAGCATGGCGCTGGCAACGCCAGGGTTGTGGGTTCGTTTCCCACGGGGGGCCAGTATGAAAAATGTATGCACTCACTAACTGTAAGTCGCTCTGGATAAGAGCGTCTGCTAAATGACTAAAATGTAATGTAAATGTAATAAAACTGGCCTTCTTGAGACTAGTTGAGTATCTGGAGCATCAGCAATTGTGGGTTCGTTTACAGGCTCAAAATGGCCAGAAACAAATAACTTTCTTCTGAAACTTGTCAGTCTATTCTTGTGCTGAGAAATGAAGGCTATTTCATGCGAGAAATTGCCAAGAAATTGAAGATCTCGTACAACGCTGTGTACTCCTCCCTTCACAGAACAGCGCAAACTGGCTCTAACCAGAATAGAAAGAGGAGTGGGAGGCCCCGGTGCACAACTGAGCAAGAAGACAAATACATTAGAGTCCTCAACTGGCAGCTTCATTAAATAGTACCCGCAAAACACCAGTCTCAACGTCAACAGTGAAGAGGCGACTGCGGGATGCTGACCTTCTAGGCAGAGTTGCAATGACTGCCCATCTTAATCTTTTCTTTTTATTGGCCAGTCTGAGATATGGCTTTTTCTTTGCAACTCTGCCTAGAAGGTCAGCATCCCAGAGTGCTGTAATCGAACCCACAATTGCTGTTGCTCCAGATACTCAACTAGTCTCAAGAAGGCCAGTTTTATTGCTTCTTTAAATCAGCACAACAGTTTTCAGCTGTGCTAACATAATTGCAAAAGGGTTTTCTAATGATCAATTAGCCTTTTAAAATGATAAACTTGGATTAGCAAACACAACGTGCCATTGGAACACAGGACTGATGGTTGCTGATAATGGGCCTCTGTACGCCTATGTAGATATTCCATAAAAAATATGCAGTTTCCAGCTACAATAGCCATTTACAACATTAACAATGTCTACACTGTATTTCTGATCAATTTTATGTTATTTTTATGGCCAAAAAATTTGCTTTTCTTTCAAAAACAAGGACATTTCTAAGTGACCCCAAACTTTTGAACAGTAGTGTATGTGTATATGTGTGTGTATGTGTCAGCAGTTGGATAAAAAGTAATGACATTTTCTAAATAAAGTATTCTCCTTCTCCTTCCTCCAGGTACAACCTACGCTGCGGCAGAGAGTTGAACCACCACCAGCTGTCCTCCCAGCCACTCTTCAACCTCTCCCTGCCCACGGCCTTCGTCATCCATGGTTACAGGCCCACCGGGGCCCCTCCGGTCTGGGTGGACCATATCGTCCACCTGCTGTCTGAGCAGGAGGACATGAACGTCCTGGTTGTGGACTGGAACAGAGGAGCTGCTAACCTCAACTATTTCACTGCTGTGGCCAACACACGACAGGCTGCCAACAACCTGACCGGCTTCATACTCAACATGCAGGTGTGTGGATTGGGGGACGGTGGGGGTAGGGGGGATTGTGGAGTGTTGCTCGTTTGCTGTGAGTCTTCAGTTGTTCTATGAGTCTTGGGTTAATGTTGCTAATTGTTCACTGTGTGTGTGTGTGTGTGTGTGCATGTGTAGGCTGAGGGAGCGCCTCTGAGTTCGGTCCACCTGATCGGGTTGAGTCTGGGAGCTCACCTGGCTGGGTTCGTAGGAGCAAACCTGAAGGGCAAGATCGGCCGCATCACAGGTAGGATACACAGAGGGAAAAATAAAGATTGTCTGTGACCTTTAAAGCTATTATTTCATTGATTGATTAATACATTGATTAAATAATGTAGCCATTAATGTATGTATTAAGTGGTTAATTAATTGATTCATTCATTGATTCATTCATTCATTGGGTCATTAATTGATTAATTGTTGTCCAGGTCTGGACCCAGCGGGGCCCATGTTCACTGGAGCGACACCTGAGGAGAGACTAGACGCTTCAGACGCAATGTTTGTAGACGTACTACACACTGACATGAACTGTAAGTACTGACATGCTGTGTGTGTGTGTGTGGGGCGAGGGATTCTCTAGATGTGTGTTTTTGTCTTCCTATTTGTTCATGCAGCGTTTGGTCTCAGAGGTCAACATGGCCATATTGACTACTACGCCAACGGAGGATCTGACCAGCCAGGCTGCCCCAAGACCATCTTCTCAGGTGAGTCTAAAACACACACACACACAAGTCTCCCGAGTGGCGCAGTGGTCTAAGGCACTGCATTGCAGTGCTAGCTGTGCCACTAGAGATCCTGGTTCGAATCCAGGCTCTGTTGTAGCCGGCCGCGACCGGGAGACCCATGCGACGGCGCACAATTGGCCCAGCGTCGTCCAGGGTAGGGGAGGGAATGGCCGGCAGGGATGTAGCTCAGTTGGTAGAGCATGGCGTTTGCAACGCCAGGGTTGTGGGTTCGATTCCCACGGGGGGCAGTATGGAAAAATATATATATATAAAAAAATAATGAATGCACTCACTAACTGTAAGTCGCTCTGGATAAGAGCGTCTGCTAAATGACTAAAATGTAAATGTAAAATACTTACCCATGTAATAACTCACCGCTTCTCTCTTTTGTAGGGAAGTCGTATTTCATTTGTGACCACCAGCGCTCTGTGTTCCTGTACCTGTGTGCTCTCAACCGAACCTGCAGCCTCACAGCCTACCCCTGCTCCTCCTACAGCGACTTCCTGGATGGCCAGTGCCTGCAGTGTGAGGTCTTTAAGCCCGCCCCCTGCCCTATGCTAGGTGAGGACAGCCTTCCCACTGGTCAACCCAGAATCTCACTCAATCCGTAAACAAGGGAAAAGATGCTTGTCAACAAATCATCGATCAAGTAGTTTGGTTGCCATACCAACCATCCTGAAGTTGTATCCATGGTTACCGCCCCAGGTTATGACGTCAGCAGGTGGAGGGATATTCTGTTGCGATTGGGTCAGACCAAGGTATACTTCACCACCACTGCCACGTTGCCCTATAAAAGTAAGTTCCACACCCCTGACTATCTATCAGTGATTAACATACACTACATTGTCGAACATCTCATTCCAAAATCATGGGCATTAATATGGAGTTGGTCCCTACTATGCTGCTATAACAGTCTCCACTCTTCCGGGATGGCTTTCCACTAGATGTTGGAACATTGCTTCAGGGACCTGCTTCCATTCAGCCACAAGAGCATTAGTGAGGTCGGGCACTGATGTTGGGCGATTAGGCCTGGCTCGCAGTCGGCGTTCCAATTCATCCCAAAGGTGTTCAATGGGGTTGAGGTCAGGGCTCTGTGCAGGCCAGTGAAGTTCTTCCACAACAATCTCGACAAAGCATTTCTGTATGGACCTTGCTTTGTGCACAGGGGCATTGTCATGCTGAAACCGGAAAGGGCGTTCCCCAAACTGTTGCCACAAAGTTGGAAGCACAGAATCGTCTAGAATGTCATTGTATGCTGCAGCGTTAAGATTTCCCTTCACTGGAACTGAAGGGCCTAGCCCAAACCATGAAAAACAGTCCCAGACCATTATTCCTCCTCCACCAAACTTAACAGTTGGCACTATGCATTTGGGCAGCTAGCGTTCGCCAAACCCAGATTTGTCCGTCGGACTGCCAGATGGTGAAGCGTGATTCATCACTCCAGAGAACACGTTTCCATTGCTCCAGAGTCCAATGGTGGCGAGCTTTACACCACTCCAGCCGACGCTTGGCATTGTGCATGGTGATCTTAGGCTTGTGTGCGGCTGCTCAGCCATGGAAACCCATTTCATGAAGCTCCCAACGAACAGTTATTGTGCTGACATTGCTTCCAGAGGCAGTTTGGAACTCGGTAGTGAGTGTTGCAACCGAGGACAGATGATTTTTACGCGCTGCGCGCTTCAGCACTCGGCGGTCCCGTTCTGTGAGCTTGTATGGACTAACACTTCGCGGCTGAGCCGTTGTTGCTCCTAGACGATTCCACTTCACAATAACAGCACTTACAGTTGACCAGGGCAGCTCTAGCAGGGCAGAAATTTTACGAACTGAATTGTTGGAAAGGTGGCATCCAATGACGGCGCCACATTGAAAGTCACTGAGCTCTTCAGTAAGGCCATTTTACTGCCAATGTTTGTCTATGGAGATTGCATGGCCGTGTGCTCGATTTTATACACCTGTCAGCAACGGCTGTGGCTGAAATAGCCGAATGCACTAATTTGAAGGTGTCCACATACTTTTGTAAATGTAGTGTACATAATGCTTTTGAAGCAGTGAGTTCTTAAAGATGCATTGTGTGTGACACATTGTGTGTGTGTGTGTAGAGGCCAGCTACATGGTGGACATGGTGACATGGAACCAGTACCCACGCTGGGGAGTCCTCATCCTCAGACTACACAGTGGCAGGAACGTCACTGAGGCACGCATTGACCGGTAGGTCTCGCACGCTTACACGCGCGCACACACATTTGTGACAGCAAGACCTCTATCTATCCCTCTCACTCTCTCTCCTCCCCTCCACAGTAAGCTGTTCAGGTTTGAGCAGTACACCTCCAACCATCTGTTGGTCCAGTTTGACGAGGACCTTCAACCCATCCAGAAGATATCCCTCAGCATTGCTACCGGAAACGTGATAGGCCCTCGCTACAAAATCAGACTGATCCGCATCCGCCTCGCCCCCCTGGAGCAACCCGACAGGTGAGAGACCACTGCACACCTGAGTTACACACACTTTCCCCTCTTTTCTGCCTTCACCATATACTCCCTCCTTCTTTCTCTAACTCTCCCTTTCTCTCTTCTTTCTCACCTCCCTCCAGGCCGCTGATGTGTCGCTATGACATCATCATGGAGGAGAATATTGAGGTGGCGTTCCGCCCGCTGCCCTGCGACCCTCGTCTCTGAGCCACCACCAGAGGGCCCTCTCCTCACACACAGGGCCTCCAAGGTCTCCCCAGCCACACATCCAGATGGACCACAAGGGGCAGACAACTGACATCATCCCACCCCCTCCCCCCCACACACTGCTTCTGCCAGGCTGCAGGATCACAGGCTTTGGCATAGACGGTGAAGACAAGGTGGAGCCAACACCATGTTTCTTACAGCTCTCCAGTTCCTTGAGATCTGATTACAGTGTGGGTTAGGGGCCATCTTGGTTGGAAAACACAATAGAACACTGGTGGACCATACAGAGATTACTGAAGAGATGAATAATGATGCTGCTGATCAGTGGGGTTGTTGTTGTTGCTCTCTCTCTCCTTTCATTCTTTCTCCCTCTTTCCTTCTCCCTTTCTCTTTCACCGCTCTCTATTTCTGTGCCTTATGAAGGATGGTGGTGTTGCTATGACGATTCTGTATTTTAATGCAGTCAGAGGGCATTCATAACCTGCTATAACCAGTCACATGCTGTTAGAACTCTTCAATGTAGCTCCTGGTTTGTGTCAGTGTCTTGTCCATTTGTATTGCAGTGCTGACATAACTGAGCAGCTAAAATAAAAGACTTGGAACATTTAAATTGTATTAAAAGTGATGTTTTTATAAATTATATAAAAAAATAATGGTATTGTGGTGTAATGTAATTTTTGTATGGACTTTTTGTTTCTACCTACATTGTTTGAAATAAATGCACCGTGTGTTTCACTGTGATCTGACTGGATTTTCTCCCACATCGCCTCTGCTTACTCTTGTGGGGTTAATGATTAAGGCCTGCCTGCCTGCCTCTGGTTGCTCTTGTGGGGTTAAAGGTTAAGGCCTGCCTGCCACTACTTGCTCTTGTGGGGTTAAAGGTTAAGGCCTGCCTGCCTGCCTCTGCTTGCTCTTGTGGGGTTAAAGGTTAAGGCATGCCTGCCACGGCTTGCTCTTGTGGGGTTAAAGGTTATGGCCTGCCTCTGCTGCTTTGACCTATCTGTCTGACAGGGGCATTAACACTGACCCTTGAATAGTCCTGGCCAGCCCTGTTTACCTAAAGCAGGCCTGGGTGGAAGTAGGCAAGATTGACCTGTTAAATATCTGCAAGGATCACCTCTGTACCTAACAGGTGAGAGATTTGGACAATCCTGCCTATTAATACACAGGTAATAACTAAATAGACTGTACTCATGTAAGATGCATTACTACCAAGCTAAAGAGCCACTAACATAATAATAATAATAGATAGATTAATAATAATAAGCGTGTCGACAGAGAAGATGGCTGCCGTTTTACAGCCCTCTAACCAATTGTACTATTATGTGTGTTTTTCCACGTTATTTGTAATTTATTTACATTTACGTCATATTTTGTACATAATGTTTCTGCCATCGTCTCTTATAACCAAAAAGAGCTTCTGGATATCAGGACAGCGATTACTCACCTCGTATTGGACGAAGATTTTTTCTTCAACGAGGCGGCCGCGAAGGATATCCTACAGACACCCGACAAGGCCCAAATCCCTGTCATTCGCATGAGGAAGAGACGGAGATATCGTGGACGTAGGTCGGAGTGCCTTGTAAGGATCCGACAGCGAGTAAACTGCCGCTCCCATCAATCCTATTAGCCAATCATCAATCATTGGAGAATAAATTGGATGACCTAAGATTACGGTTATCCTACCAACGGGACATTTAAAACTGTAATATCTTATGTTTCACCGAGCCGTGGCTGAACGACAACATGGATAACATACAGCTAGCGGGCTATACGCTACATCGGCAGGATAGAACGGCTGACTCCGGTAAGACAAGGGGTGGTGGTCTGTGTATATTTGTAAACAACAGCTGGTGCACAAAATCAAATACTAAGGAAGTCTCAAGGTTTTGCTCGCCTGAGGTAGAGTATCTTATGATAAGCTGTAGACCACACTATTTACCAAGAGAGTTTTCATCTATATTTTTCATAGCTGTCTATTTACCACCACAAACCAATGCTGGCATTAAGATTGCACTGAATGAGCTGTATAAGGCCATAAGTCAACAGGAAAACGCTCATCCAGAGGCAGCGCTCCTAGTGGCCGGGGACTTTAATGCAGGGAAACTTAAATCCGTTCTACCTAATTTCTACCAGCATGTTAAATGTGCAGCCAGAGGAAAAAAAACTCTAGACCACCTTTACTCTACACACAGAGACGCATACAAAGCTCTCCCTCGCCCTCCATTTGGCAAATCTGACCATAACTCTATCCTCCTGATTCCTGCTAATAAGCAAAAACTAAAGCAGGAAGCACCAGTGACTCGGTTAATAAAAAAGTGGTCAGATGACGCAGATGCTAAGCTACAGGACTGTTTTGCTAGCACAGACTGGAACATGTTCTGGGACACATTGAGGAGTACACCACATCAGTCACTGGCTTCATCAATAAGTGCATCGATGATGTCGTCCCCACAGTGACCGTACGTACATACCCCAACCAGAAGCCATGGATTACAGGAAACATCCGCACTGAGCTAAAGGGTAGAGCTGCCGCTTTCAAGGAGCGGGACTCTAACCCGGACGCTTATAAGAAATCCCACTATGCCCTCCGACGAACCATCAAACAGGCAAAGAGTCAATACAGGACTAAGATTGAATCATACTACACCGGCTCTGACGCTCGTCGGATGTGGCAGGGCTTGAAAACTATTACAGACTACAAAGGGAAGCACAGCCGCAAGCTGCCCAGTGACACAAGACTTCCAGACGAGCTAAACCACTTCTATGCTCGCTTCGAGGCAAGCAACACTGAAGCATGCATGAGAGCACCAGCTGTTCTGGATGACTATGTGATCACGCTCTCCGTAGCCGATGTGAGTAAGACTTTTAAGCAGGTCAACATTCACAAGGCCGCAGGGCCAGACGGATTACCAGGACGTGTACTCCGAGCATGTGCTGACCAACTGGCAAGTGTCTTAACTGACATTTTCAACATGTCCCTGACTGAGTCTGTAATACCAACATGTTTCAAGCAGACCACCATAGTCCCCGTGCCCAAGGACTCTAAGATAACCTGCCTAAATGACTAACGACCCGTAGCACTGACGTCTGTAGCCATGAAGTGCTTTGAAAGGCTGGTCATGGCTCACATCAACACCATTATCCCAGAAACCCTAGACCCACTCCAATTTGCATACCGCCCCAACAGATCCACAGATTATGCAATCTCTATTGCACTCCACACTGCCCTTTCCCACCTGGACAAGACGAACACCTACGTGAGAATGCTATTAATTGACTACAGCTCAGCATTCAACACCATAGTGCCCTCAAAGCTCATCACTAAGCTAAGGATCCTGGGACTAAACACCTCCCTCTGCAACTGGATCCTGGACTTCCTGACGGGCCGCCCCCAGGTGGTAAGAGTAGGTAACAACACATCTGCCACACTGATCCTCAACACGGGGGCCCCTCAGGGGTGCGTGCTCAGTCCCCTCCTGTACTCCCTGTTCACCCATGACTGCATGGCCAGGCACGACTCCAACACCATCATTAAGTTTGCCGACGACACAACAGTGGTAGGCCTGATCACCGACAACGATGAGACAGCCTATAGGGAGGAGGTCAGAGACCTGGCCGTGTGGTGCCAGGATAACAACCTCTCCCTCAACGTGACCAAGACAAAGGAGATGATTGTGGACTACAGGAAAAAAAAGAGGACTGAGCACACCCCCATTCTCATCGACGGGGCTGTAGTGGAACAGGTTGAGAGCTTCAAGTTCCTTGGTGTCCACATCACCAACAAACTATCATGGTCCAAACACACCAAGACAGTCGTGATGAGGGCACGACAAAGCCTATTCCCCCTCAGGAGACTGAAAAGATTTGGCATGGGTCCTCAGATCCTCAAAAAATTATACAGCTGCACCATCGAGAGCATCCTGACTGGTTGCATCACCGCCTGGTATGGCAACTGCTTGGCCTCCGACCGCAAGGCACTACAGAGGGTATTGCGTACGGCCCAGTACATCACTGGGGCCAAGCATCCTGCCATCCAGGACCTCTATACCAGGCGGTGTCAGAGGAAGGCCCTCAAAATTGTCAAAGACTCCAGCCACCCTAGTCATAGACTGTTCTCTCTGCTACCACACGGCAAGCGGTACCCGAGTGCCAAGTCTAGGTCCAAAAGACTTCTCAACAGCTTCTACCCCCAAGCCATAACACTCCTGAATAGCTAATCATGGCTACCCAGACTATTTGCACTGCCCCCCCCCACCCCATCTTTTTACGCTGCTGCTACTCTGTTAATTATTTATGCATAGTCACTTTAACTCTACCCACATGTACAGTGGGGGGAAAAAGTATTTAGTCAGCCACCAATTGTGCAAGTTCTCCCACTTAAAAAGATGAGAGAGGCCTGTAATTTTCATCATAGGTACACGTCAACTATGACAGACAAAATTAGAAGAAAAAAAATTGTAGGATTTTTAATGAATTTATTTGCAAATTATGGTGGAAAATAAGTATTTGGTCAAATAACAAAAGTTTCTCAATACTTTATTATATACCCTTTGTTGGCAATGACATAGGTCAAACGTTTTCTGTAAGTCTTCACACACTGTTGCTGGTATTTTGGCCCATTCCTCCATGCAGATCTCCTCTAGAGCAGTGATGTTTTGGGGCTGTCGCTGGGCAACACGGACTTTCAACTCCCTCCAAAGATTTTCTATGGGGTTGAGATCTGGAGACTGGCTAGGCCACTCCAGGACCTTGAAATGCTTCTTACGAAGCCACTCCTTCGTTGCCCGGGCGGTGTGTTTAGGATCATTGTCATGCTGAAAGACCCAGCCACGTTTCATCTTCAATGCCCTTGCTGATGGAAGGAGGTTTTCACTAAAAATCTCATGATACATGGCCCCATTCATTCTTTCCTTTACACAGATCAGTCGTCCTGGTCCCTTTGCAGAAAAACAGCCCCAAAGCATGATGTTTCCACCCCCATGCTTCACAGTAGGTATGGTGTTCTTTGGATGCAACTCAGCATTCTTTGTCCTCCAAACACGACGAGTTGAGTTTTTACCAAAAAGTTATATTTTGGTTTCATCTGACCATATGACATTCTCCCAATCCTCTTCTGGATCATCCAAATGCACTCTAGCAAACTTCAGACGGGCCTGGACATGTACTGGCTTAAGCAGGGGGACACGTCTGTCACTGCAGGATTTGAGTCCCTGGCGGTGTAGTGTTACTGATGGTAGGCTTTGTTACTTTGGTCCCAGCTCTCTGCAGGTCATTCACTAGGTCCCCCCGTGTGGTTCTGGGATTTTTGCTCACCGTTCTTGTGATCATTTTGACCCCACGGGGTGAGATCTTGCGTGGAGCCCCAGATCGAGGGAGATTATCAGTGGTCTTGTATGTCTTCCATTTCCTAATAATTGCTCCCACAGTTGATTTCTTCAAACCAAGCTGCTTACCTATTACAGATTCAGTCTTCCCAGCCTGGTGCAGGTCTACAATTTTGTTTCTGGTGTCCTTTGACAGCTCTTTAGTCTTGGCCATAGTGGAGTTTGGAGTGTGACTGTTTGAGGTTGTGGACAGGTGTCTTTTATACTGATAACAAGTTCAAACAGGTGCCATTAATACAGGTAACGAGTGGAGGACATAGGAGCCTCTTAAAGAAGACGTTACAGGTCTGTGAGAGCCAGAAATCTTGCTTGTTTGTAGGTGACCAAATAGTTATTTTCCACCATAATTTGCAAATAAATTCATTAAAAATCCTACAATAGATTTTCTGGAGAAAGAAAATCTCAATTTGTCTGTCATAGTTGACGTGTACCTATGATGAAAATTACAGGCCTCTCTCATCTTTTTAAGTGGGAGAACTTGCACAATTGGTGGCTGACTAAATACTTTTTTTCCCCACTGTACATATTACTTCAACTACCTCAACTAGCCGGTGGCCCCGCACATTGACTCTGCACCGGTACCCCCCTGTATATATAGCCTCCCTACTGTTATTTTATTTTACTTCTGCTCTTTTTTTCTCAACACTGTTGTTTTATTCTACTTTTTTATTAAAAATAAATCCACTGTTGGTTAAGGGCTGTAAGTAAGCATTTCACTGTAATGTCTGCACCTGTTGTATTCGGCGCATGTGGCCAATAAAATTTTATTTTATTTGACTAACACTACCTAACACCAACACACTAGCCAACATGGTATGAGAAGTAACCTCTTTTATTTGATATCATCAGTAGATCAGTAGGGCATTTCCTCATGTGGAGCGTATCAAACCCATGCCTTTAAAACCAGACAGATCAGAAACAATACCATGGTCTGGCACCACAGGGTACAGTAGAGACAGGTCAACAACATCAACTATGGTACACCGGTCAAACAAACCATCAACATAAACTAATATGATCGTAGAGCAATGAATTAGGTGGCTCCCCATTAACAGGATGCTCGCATTATGTCACTTCCCCTCAATTAAAGCTGCAATATGTCACTTTTTGGGCAACCGGACCAAATTCACATAGAAATGTGTGTTATAGATCTGTCATTCTCATTGAAAGCAAGTCTAAGAAGGGGTAGATCTGTTCTATGTGCACTATTTCTATGCTTCCAGTTCTGAAGTTTCATTTTTGCCTCTGTTACTTTCTGTTTTGTACACAAGCTTCAAACAACTGAAAATACAATATTTCTGGTTAGGGAAAATATATTTCACTGTGTGCTGCAAGCACTTCATGTTTTTGATTTAACTGAACTGGAAGATCAGGTGTGTTGAATTTAGGCAATCATTGAACTGATCAATTAGCTCAGTTTGCAGGGCCAGCGTTATGGGCGGCCATTAAGGGGCTTGCTCCGCCCTACCGTACCTCCTTGCCCAATCAAATCAAATATTGAAATATTGAGCAGTTATTTGACCTAGACACGTGCCGACAGAAAGACATCAATCTCAGTTAAAGCATCGGCTCGAGCAAAACAGCGCCCCTCTGTCTCAGTATGTGTAAACCATGTATCGGATGCTGTCTGGACCAAAATAGTATGGCATGTCGTAATATGTCTTGCCGACAGCATCAGATACATGGGCTACATATAGAGGGGTGCTGTTTCGCTCACTCGGATGCTTTCTTCAGTGATATTGTTTCAGCAGAGAGGAAGAGTCAAAGGCAGAGGGCTCACTCTCGCCAAAATCTGTCCAGTATAAACCCAATGCGTTTCTGTGGGAATAATATGCAGACCTAAGCTTCCCGCCTTTGGGACAAAGACGCCCATTGTCAAATGAGCATCTCGTCATTATATACAGATCTCTGGTTTCAGCCTCTTGCGAATTGGAAAGGAAAGTTGGCGGATGCTGGATTGCCCTCAAGTAAATTTATGTTTTGCAAAAAATTATATAATTACTCCTGTCTAAATAAAAACACTCAAAATACTTCACCAGGGAGCATGACTTAGCCACAGAGGATCATTAACTTCTTTTTTATAATTTTTTAATAGCTGTGGATCGTTTCAAATCACGTGTGTAGGACTATGCCTATTTGGGAAGCCCACAATTGGGGCAGCGCACGTGACAATATGTCTAGCTGATTGAGTTGCGCTGTCAGTGAAAAGCATCTAAAATATGTGTGAAGTTAATGTTTTGAGTATAATTTAAAATGTTGCATCAAGAAGAAGGGAAGGGATGTGTGGCGAAGATATGGTGCATCTCTCTCCAGAATGCATGCATATAGGAAAGTGCTCATTTGGCAATGTCTGATTGACTTAACTCACCACGTCCACCACTAATAATTTGAGTTTCTCATTCATTTTTTCTTCACCTCACACAAGCAAACGAAGTGGGTTTTTTTTAGCATCCATTGCGAATGAGTTCCTCCGTATTTGAAAAATAATTCCAACAATCCCGGCCTCGATAATCACCAAGCCTCGGTGTGAAAGAGCAAAATATCATTATCTGATGATCCCATATAGCCAGTGGAAACGTCATAGCGGTCTGTCCCGAGCTCACTGTCGCAGAAAAGTGTGGGCCCGGAATAGGCTAGTTGATACAATGTTGCAAGTTCGCTAGCAACAGCTTTGGGCCAGATCCAGTTGATGATTTGATACAATGTTGACCTTCACTAGCAATAGCTCAAGTCAAGACAGATAGAAAGGGAGGCAGACAGGCGGAGAAGAGAGATGAATGTGATTGAAAGAACCGGAATGTTCATCAGGATATTTTCTACTGTTTCTATTTGTCAGCTTTAGGACTATGTATTTTACTTACTTGACGATGGAAGTTACAGGCCTACCGCTGCATTGGCCTATAGGCCATCTCTGAGTTCTATGAGCTCATTTCTTTAGCCGCCAATGGATCACAGTGTATCAATGTGTCCATATGGAAGTGGCTGGCGCTCTCGCCATAGTTTAATTTTAAGTTGTAGATTTTTTGTATCATTTTACTTCAAAAATGTTTGAATAACCACGTGACAATGACTTTGAGAAACGAAAACGTTATTTAAATGAAACTGTTTCACAAAAATGCGCATTTAAAACAAATCATAACTCGCACTAAGATCAGTAGAAATGGTAGGATAAATTGTAAACGTCCACAAACTTGAAACTCACGAGCTGCCTATGGTCTTAACTATTACACCAGTCTGAAAAAAATGTGAACTCCCAAGCTCAAGCACATATAGCTGGTCCCGTGAAAAAAAATGTGCCCTCCTATGGATATCAAAGGCCCAGCCAACTGATTCCTTCTGCTGCCAGCCCTGTCAGTTGGTGAGGTGTGGTGCCTAGTTGGAACAAAATCCTGCAGTACCTGCGGGACTCCAGGAACAGGGTTGCCTACCCCTGCTCTACACAATACTGGCTTGTTTTGTAACAAACTGAAATTAGGCAAACTTTTAGAATTTTTGCAACCAGGAAATGGCCGAGCGATTTCTGCATTGTGCATCTTGAAATATCAGTCGGCCATCTTACTTCCCCACAACACTACTCTCTCTGTCAGGAGAGTAGCTACATTGCATGGGCTTTACATTGACCGAGTGGTACAGAGAGTGTCAGTAGGTCAGGTGGTCGTGGTTCAGGCTGTGGTCAGTCTGCAGCGGTGTGTTCTATATTATATACAGCCTATCAACAGTTAACTTCCGGCCTGATCTCACATAACCACTGACTCCATTTGGATCGCTCCAAGCGTCCATTCACCAGCTGGCACCTGTGAGAGTGAGAGAGCAAGAGAGAGAGAAGGTCATGTGAATATAGGTGTTAGGTTAAGAAGCAGGTCAGCTATGGTTGTAATGGTCCTATTAGTGGACAAGATTATTGTCTAGAGCAGTGTTTCCCTACTTCAGTCCTCCAGTACCCCCAACAGCATACATTTTTGTTGTAGCCCTGGACAAACATACCTGATTCAACTAATTGAAGGCCTGATTAGTTGACAAGTTGAATCAGGTGTGCTTGTCCGGGGCTATAATAAAAATGTGTACTGTTGGGGCTACTGGAGGACCGGAGTTGGGAACCACTGGTCTATAGGAAAGGAGAGAGGACTTGATTGGCTCAGGGTCAGACATAAATGAGATCTAGGGACCAGATGGACAGACTGACTGACTGACTGACTAACGTACGTAACCATACAGGAAGGTAAACAGAGGCCAGACACTGTCATAGGAATTAAACTGTCAATCATGCCAGCCAATCAGTGAATGACTGAGGTCACATGGTTGGGAAGTTCTGCTTCTCTGAACAGGTCTGTGAATGTCAGCACACTGTAATTTCTAACTTCCTGTTTCCTGGTTTACATCCACTGTACATACTTATGTTTTGGGGTACTAACTGACCGTTAATATTGCGGTTCTGTTGTCTCATTGGTCCAGGCCGGTTGCCGGGGCTATTAGGAGGCCAGTTGTTCCTTCGCTGGCCGCCCATGTCTTGTCTAACCATGCCCCCTCTCCTCTGACCCCCCTAGAGAGAGAGAAAGCGAGAGAGAAAGAGAGAGAAGTTAGAAGTCTAAGATATATTTAGAGAAAGATACAGATAATATCCTGTTTTATTCACACCCCTACTAAATGTGAACACACACACAAACACATGCAGACACAGACACCCTCACACCGTTCTCACCATGTCTCCGGGCCACCTCCCCCCTCTCTGTGGTGGGCCTGAACGGCCTGAATAGAAGCCCTCCTGTTCCTCTTGAACCTCGTCTTCCTCACTACCATACTCCCCCTGATGGTCACTGAGACAGAGAATGTGAGAGGGAGAGAGAAGTGTAAAAATGCACCCTTCCTCCACTTCTTAAGGTAATCACTGATCTGACAGATTGGGTAAACACAAGGATCCATAGATCAGTGATGACTTCAAGAAAGGGAGGAAGGAATCATTTTAATATTCAAAAGACGCCCCATCATGTCTTCACTGTGTTGTAGTACCTCCCGGCAGCCAGGGGGCGCTGTGAGAGCCTGCCTCCAGGTATGGTGACCTTCACTCCCTCCAGCCTCTCCTGTCTCCTCCTCTCCAGGTCATGTCTCAGGTCTCCGGGATCTCTCACCGCCTGCTGCTGCCTCTGATCACACACAACACATCAATTAATACATCACTCAATCAACCAATAAATCCATGATCCAATCAGTCCATCCAGCCATCGACATATCAATCATAAACCCCTATACACATTATTGTACCTGCATGCGGCCAACTTTAGAGAAGACAGGTTCCATATCAGGCTCTGACATTCTCATATTGAACAGCCTGGAGGAGAGGGGGGAAGGAATACAAATACACAGTTTGTAAACAGCACATTGAAGGCTTAAACAAAAGCTCTAAAGATATTAAATTACTGTAGTAACCAGGTGTTTATGTACCTGTTCAGAGTTGGCCTCTCTTCCTCCTGCTCTTCCTCCTCAGGCAGACCTCCATCTTGGGGGCCAGAGAAACGCTCGTTCAGCGTCACGCCATCACCCCTAAAGTAATGCTCTGGAGAAAGAAAGAGTAAGAAAGAGTAAGAGATTGATTGCCTTCAAGGTTGTGATAAGTATCTATAGGTTCTGTCTGAGTGGGCACATTAGTGCCTATGAGCGGTGTGTGTGTGTGTGTACACAAGTGGCTGTGCGTGCACATCTTCAGGTTGTGTGTATTTCTGTGTTTCGTTTCCTAACCTTTGACCTGGTGCACCAGGGTGATGATCTCCTGGGCGAAAGTCCCAGAGTGCATTGCGGACTCCCGGTACGTCCCAGAATGCTCTAGCATGGGCAGAAAGTCTAGGCGCTGGCGGCCCACGTTGACCAGATCCAGCGACAGCTGACGGTCGGAGGAGTAGCACAGCTGGCTGGAGGAATGAGCAACAAAGGAAGAAAGTGGTGGGGGCTTTACTCTCTGAGATCAGGCCTGAATACAAGGGTTTAACTATGAAATGATAGTACTGGTAGCTTCTAACCTAGTTTACTGTGGTAGCTGGCTGATGGAACATTTGTAGAAAGGGTTTGAGTTAAGTAAAGACTGTAGTTTGGGGTGGAACGAAGTCATTTGTTCTGAACAACAAATGTAGGCATACATGACTAAGTCTGCTAAACGGCATATATATTATGAATTCAATAATATTGTTGAAGGGAGTTAAGTGGTTCCCTACTGAATATCTTATGTAAATCAAATGTAGCTAAACATTATGTACTGAACAACCTTACCTTGACCGAGGCATCTGTAAACACACTACACTTACCTTTACATTTGAAAGCTTTAGGAAAAATGACTGATTAAGTACATCATCAAGAGCTGTTGGTTTGGACATATTTGCAAAAAGGCACTTAAATCCAAATAAGGTCAAATTGTTTAAAGGTGTGAAACGCAATAGGAAGAGAGAGATATTTCTCGTCTCCAGGGATGTTGTAGTTAAACGCTGAACGCCAGTCGAGATAACGGGTGGGGCGGGTAACACTAATGCTAACAAAGTGTATGTGGCGTAAAATGTGTATCATCACTTTTGATGAAATAAAAAAAGGTGTGTGAACAACGTTTATCCTCCACTACATCCCTGATCACTTCCTGTGCCAGTGTGACACTGGCATGGGTCAAAGGTGAAAATACATGCTTGGTAAAAAAATTATCTCTGCAATTCTTGTCAATAAACTTCTTGACGTCTGTGATTCACTTCCTGTGGTGACTGGTGGACAGCGTAGTTCTTGTCCTTGGTTGGTGAAATGTTGACAGTCGCTTGTCCTTGAACGGTCCAGAGTGGACAGTATAGTTCTTGTCCTTGAACGGTCCAGAGTGGACAGTGTAGTCTCGTGGTCCTTGATTGGTCCAAGGTGGACAGTATGGTCTCTTGCTGGCGTGGTTTTCATGAGCAAGTTGTGTCTAGATGAAGTGTAGACTGACAGATCCCATCAGTACAGGAGGGTTTCTGAGATGTCCTTTTTCAGAGCAATACTCAGTGTTTTCATGAGGATTCATCCATGCAGAACTATTGGCTGATGCATTGGCTGTGTTTGAGGTTTCAGTTCCTCTTCTTCCCAAAGTGTTAATTCTGGGGCCTTTTGACTGGGCCAAGTCCAGTTTCGCTGTCAGGAATACCTTAGTCCTCACTGGGTTGGGTTTTCCCTTGCTGTTGTAATGCGTTGACAGAGCTCCGTTTCCCTGGTGCAAAATGGATAAGTTCATCAATAGTCATACGGTTCTGAGAGCCTCTTGGAGAAGAGACATTCTTAGTGGGATTGACTTTGACTCCCTGATTAGTCCATGAGTATCACAGTGTCAATAGCGGTGGAAAAAACTGCTGAACGTTAGTGGAATAGCTTGTAGGAGTCAAACTGAAAGCTTTATTTTCATGTGTTGAGTCCCAAAGTATTTTTCACTCTTTCCAATGTGGTGGTCATCTCCAGACATTCATCAACCACTGCTTTTCCTGGTCATCTCCAGACATTCATCAACCACTGCTTTTCCTGGTCATCTCCAGACATTCATCAACCACTGCTTTTCCTGGTCATCTCCAGACATTCATCAACCACTGCTTTTCCTGGTCATCTCCAGACATTCATCAACCACTGCTTTTCCTGGTCATCTCCAGACATTCACATTGCCTTCTACTCTTCCCCATTACTAGCTGGTCACTCAGTCCTTCTTCAGTTCATCCAGAAGGTGGATTTCTCTGTGTGTTTAATGACTGTGCTCCTCCATCCAATGATTGGATTCTCCCTGGTCTGTTCACGTCCCTCTGACTTAGGCCATAGCATCCGGTCTTTACCTGTAGTCATCTGGTGTTGTCCTCTGTTCTGGTACAGCTCAAAGTGAGTTATACTAAGAACCTGTAGCCTTCGGTTGCTTTAAGGGAAACATCATTGCCTTGAGTTGTCGTTCAGACAGTCTGGTCTGCGCAGTGCTGTGCTGTGCTTTATTGTCCATTTCTTTGAGTGAACCTGTTTGTTGAAAGGTACACAGGTCCACTCCAAACCCAGTTTGGTCGTAAGACCCATGCAGAACAGAGCCCAGGTTTCTGAAGATATGTGGTGGGAGTGTTGAGGTCATTTGGATCCATGTTTGCCTCAGAATCTCCTTTAGAAGGCCTTGAGACGCTTGAGCATCATGGGTTTAGACAGGAAGAACAACCAGGAACATGCTAATGTATGGTCTTGAGGGCGGGCAATACACGGCTTGAGGTTGTTAAAATCTTTGGCAAATTTCAGTAGGAATGAGTCCATCTCAGATTAAACACATTGGATGAAGATTTAATATTCTCCTGCTTGCTTGACAGATAAGTATGAAGATCCTCTAGAAGTCTGCAGAATACTATAGTCAATGATGGAAAGAACATGTTGACTTACCTTTGGTCTGAATAAAATACAAAAGTTTGAGCTAGTTTAAGCTATTTGAAAGTTTTTTGACTATTGTTGGTGTTTTGGCATATGCATCCTCTCTGGCTGAGTGGGATAAGGACGAAGGGGCATTGCCTGGCTCAGTGGCTCAGAAAAACACTGTGCTTCTGAAATAAGTCCTTTCACAAGAGTCTTTCTCTGAGTAGCTGATCATTCCAGGTGTTTCTCAAGACATTGAAAAAAAAACATGGTTGTTTCAAACTGATGTTCCTGAAGTTCAGGACATATTCTAGCCAAAATCGTCTTCAGTCAGCCCGAAGACCAAGGCACCATGCAGTGGCTCAGTGACTGACATTTATCAGGCTCACCAACACCATATTAGTATGTATTGGGCATCATGTATATGGGCAATCCTTCACTATACCAGGGAGACTCTTCTGCAGTTGTTTGGTGCTCAGTTTGGTTAGTTCCAAGACTTTCCCCATTCTGTCTTTATGGGTCCTGCCTTTTCCTCCGAGACTCAGGTCAATCAGCTGTAGTGAGTAGCAGAACTGTGCCTCCTCCACTCCTCTCCATCCACTCTTTACCTCCCAGAGCTCCTTCAGCACGTTCCACCATGCAGGATGCTTGCTCTTTATTCATTTCAGCTGTGAAGGATGAGCTGCAAACACACTGCTGGCGTCTCTTCACACGTCAGCTGGTTGGTCTCTTGGTTGTCAGGGATGCTGCTACTGTGGGGAAGCTGCAACCACTCCATTTGTGAGTTGCCACATTCTGTTGGGTTGTTAAATTGGATGAGTGAGAGATTTCTGAAGAACTGATGAGCCAAACCTCTGCCGTGAGGAGATGTGGGTTGGTAGAACTACAGATCCATTAGGTTATTCATATGGTTGGTAGTCTTCTACTGTGGCATCTCTGTTCTCTAGAATGTTGCGAAGCTGGTCTGACATGTTCTGCCCCTCTTGATGAGCAACAAAAAGAGTTATCTGGGAGATCCCGACTTGCCGCCTCTATGAGTTGCGGTTTTGAATTGATTCCACCTTTTGAGAATGTGAAGGACAATGCTGTAAAATGACAATGCTGTAAGAAGGCGTTTGGCAATTCTCCGTGTTTATCACTGCAATGCCCCACAGCAGGAAGGATTAGTTTGACGTATGTATATAAATTGCGTCCCATCACAAATCCTCAGCTTGTAGAATCCTTGCTTTGTAGAATAAAAAAATCAGTTTGAAGAATACTTCCTCCCTCTAGCTATCAATGATCTCAGGGCTTCTGACTTTGTCTTCCTGCAGTCGACAGTGAGCGTTGAAAAGAAGCATGAACTTTCACCCTTGACCCCTAAACATTGCTGTCGGAAACACCTTACCTGTTCTGGCCCACAGGCCGGTTCATGTCCACCTTGATGGTGAGCGTCTCTTCCTCACCGGCGCCCATGCGAGGCATTGCCATATCATTCTGCTGTTGGTTCCAGTTGGGGTTGAGATCTCTATGCTGAGGTTTCCTAGGTCCCATCCTGCCCTGTGCTGGCGGTCGGCCTCCTCGCGGCCCTGGTCCCCGGTCCTGCTCCCAGCGGGGCTCCATGTCACTCACCTCTGCCCAGCCGGGCTCCTCCTCTCTGGGCTCCATGTCCCAGTCGCCTCCCCTGGGTTGGTACCCCTGGTGCTCCGGAGGGGAGTGCTGGGGGTTGGCATCCCGGGGTCGGTACCCCTGCGTTCCCTGAAGGAGAGGCCGGGGCTGGTTCATGGAGGGCCCCATCTGTCTCTTGCCACCCTGGGCTGGGGCCCCCCTCGCCCCACGGAATACACTGTTTCTGGCCCTGGGCTCCGTGGCACTACCTCTATCCTGGAAGCCCATGGGGCTGGCTCTCCCATGACGGTCAGGGCTTCTTCTGGACTCATGTACAGGCCCTCTCCTCTCATCATGGACAGGCCCTCTCCTCTCATCATGTACAGGCCCTCTCCTCTCATCATGGACAGGGCCTCTCCTCTCATCATGGACAGGGCCTCTCCTCTCTTTATGGACAGGGCCTCTCCTCTCTTTATGGACAGGGCCGTTCCTCTCATCATGGACAAGCCGGCCCCTGGCCTCCTCTCTGGTATTGGACCTGCTACCTGACTTCCTGAACCGCTCCTCAGTGGCTCCGACCCGGTGGTGATGGTGACTGAATCGGTCGTGGCTTGGGCTCCGGTCGGGGCCACGGTCCCTGTGGTTGTCGTACAGTTCTGGCCCGCTGCTGTTTATAATACCATGGTCATGCTCCACGATGAGGGTTCCAGGACCCCGGCCATCGTGGCTCCCTGAGGTGCCCCTGCGCCCCCGTGGCCCTCCTCCTCCGTACCCTTCTCGGGGCCTCTCCAACGAGGGGCGGCGCACCCTAAAGTCTGCCTCCTTCCCGTACCTGTGTCGACATAAAGAGCAGGTGACATGGTTCAGCACTGACTGAGGACATACGATCACGCTGACTACGCCTAACAAATATACAGATTTTGCAATAGCTAGCTTTCAATTTATTTAGGAAAACATGTAGCATATGAATAAAATGTATAGGCTAATAGATAGTACCTTACTTATCGGTTAATGACAACAGTCATTCATGCAAGCTGATTAGCAATAAACATAATGCCATATGACATCACAGACGCACACAGCCTCTCTAGATTACAGCGGGTAATAATAGTAAGTATTCAAGTATATCACAGTGTAAGTCATGGCAAGCACCTGGTTCCAAGGATCACAGAGACAAGAGCATGTGATGCATTTTAAGCCATGCAATTCAATCTACTACTACTCTACTGTTACATGATTACACAGGGGACACAGTAGCAGGGTGAAGTTTGCGCTTAGAAAAAACAGGAAGCTGGGTTCTCCTCTTCAATCTTCTTCTCTCGCTTTAGGCCATAAATTTACCCAGGATGCACCGCTTCATCAGTTTCCTTCCAGTTCCGGTCAGAGATGGTGCTCCTCTCTTTATGCATGTTGTCTCTCCTCCTGTCTCCATAGGGACCTGGAAAATCTCCACCCCTCCTCTCCCCACCCTGAACCCTCTCCCTGGGGCTGCGGTCCCTGGACCTCCCCTGGCTCTGGTCCTGCTCTTCTCTTCTCCAGCCTGCAGAGGGCGCTCTCTGGTGGTGGTCAGGACTGTATTGAGGGTGCTGCGGGGCCAGTGATGGCAGCCTCTCTCTGGGTAGCCTCTGAGGGGAGTGGGGCAGCCCTTCTCTCCCGCTTCCTTTTCCCCTGCCACCCCCTCCTCCATCATGGGGGGAGAGCCTCCTGCGCTCGGCGTAGCCCAGCTCGTGAGGTGCCGGTGGGGTCCTGCGATGGTGGAATTCCTCTGGGGGGAGGTGGTGGTCAGGCCTGTGAAGGCCTGGGGAGAGAGGTCTTCTGTGGCCCTCTGGGCGAAGGTTGTCTGGGGACATGGGACTTCTGTGGCCCTCTGGGCCATCTGGGTGGATCTCGTCCATGAAGCGAGCCCACTGATCCTCCCCAGGCAGCCTGCCCAGGTCAGCCAGCACCTGCTGGGGGTTGAAGTCTGGGTCGTCCCAGGGGAACCTCCGGCCATACTGCCTCCGCGGGCTACCTCTGTAATGACAAAATAATAATAATAATACATTTTAATTGTAAAGCACCTTTCATACAGTGTGCTGAGTTGAGACAACAAGTAATCTTAATGACCCACACACTGGACTAGTATGTCAAATGAACAATGTGCAAGATATTTACCTGTGAGAATAGTTGGGCGATCCCGACCGTGGCCTCGACATTCTCTTCACCTTGAGAGATCAGTGCACAGAGAGAAAGAGTATGCATGAGTAAAATACTACCACACTGTTATAACCACCACAATACACAGTTCCCTTGCCGTGAAACAATACAACAAGCATCAACAGAATAATTGTTTATGTCGTGTACACACATTTTCGCAGGTGCAGCCAAATGCTTATGTTTCTAGCTCCAACAGTGCAGTATACCTTACAATGCAACACAATACACACAAATCCCAAACATGTTAAGGAAGAAATTCAGAAATATCAGAACGAGCAATGTAAGAGTCCGGAATATATAGCGATATACATTTCAGATTATTCAGCAACATCCTGGGACTGTAACCAGCAAGACTATGTTGTTTAACTTGGAAACCAAAGGGTTTGAAATGTACAGTAGCATAACATTGACAACTAAACGTTATGTATGCTAGCTAGGCCATGCTAAAACCCCTAGACAGGAAGAAAACCACAAGGGACTATGAGCCGATCAAGACAAAATGTTTTAACTAGTAGTTACTATCAATCAATACTGGTTAACGTAGCTAACACTCAAATAAATAGCAGTGATTTACACCAGATTAACCGATCGATCTTAACATTTGTGGTTCATGTTTAAATAATTGTCGTAGCGAGCAGATACCTCAACTCCACCATTTACGATGGAGTTCAGCGGCGACTTGAAGGCGGACTGGAGCTCCGACGTCACATAAAATTAACAATGTCGTGTGTTATTCTTTGGGTGCAGAAATCAGTAGTTATTAATAAAAACGTCCATTTTATGTGACGTCGGAGCTCCAGTCCGCCCACAATAGTCGCTGCTGAACTCTGTCGTATATTGTTGAGTTTAATCGGCTATGTCGTAGCCAGCTAGCTATCTAGCTGCTAGCAGCATGGCACTTACCCCAGCGCACGTTCCTACCAAAACTAGAGGATACGTAAACCAAAACACCAGTCTCGCACACACGATTTTATTACACAACTACTAGCTAGTAAGTAATGACGATAAAATATATTTCATATGAAGGATGTTCGTCTTGTCTGCATTCAAGAAATTGTACAGTTGACTGTCATCGCCTCGCGACTTCAATACAGCAACAGAATAAGCTGCCTTTGACCCGGAAACACACACAATAAGGATAGCGCCACCGTGAGGACGCTTGAGTCACAGATGAAAGGGGGTTAGTTACATAATTAGTTACATAATCTTTGCTTGAGTTGTTTCCTCTTAGCCCATCTGAACTAGATGTGTCCCCTACAATTCATTTTGAAATAAAACTAACTGTAAAAAACACAAATATTTTTCACAAGACATACAATGAGGATACAAAACATTAAGAACAGCTGCTCTTTCCGTGACTAGGTGTATCCAGGTGAAGGCTATGATCCCTAGCATATTGATGTAATTTGTTAAATCCACTTCAATCAGTGTAGATAAAGGGGAGGAAACATGTCAAATAAGGATTTTTAAGCCTTATGCTTTTTGTCCTAGGTGTTTATAAACAAAATCACAGACATGGCTTGATGACGTTTTATTGTTGTTTTTCAGCAGTTAGATCCATGCACCACGTCTACAGTTATATTTCCACCAAGCTGCAGTGACAGTGTTAAGTGACTTTTAGTGAATAACATTCTGACCTTAAGTTTTAAGTTTACTCCATTTACCCTTAGGATACAAAGAAAGCATTAGATAATGAATGAGCACAGAAAGAGAGAGGAAGAGAGATGGACGGACTGGCTGCTGGACGGACAGACATGGCAACTAAATGAAGAGTCCAGCGCACTGAAGACAACAAAGATAATCAGACATTCCAGGCCTTTTCCTACTCTAGTCCAGTAATTGCGATACAGCATCATTTTTACAGCCATTATAGACAGTATTCAGTGGCCATCCCTTCACAGGGTTAGCTGGGTCATGAGGAATGGTTGACACCTGACAGTACCCTTCAGGGGGAACTGAAACAGAGATTAAAACAGCGAGGGGAGGGAGCACACATGCTGAGCTACACTCACCCTGAGAGCAAAGCATAGGCAGGTGTTACAGAAAGATCGGTACGAGACAGTTACAGTACAGGAAGGATGTATGATTGGTAGAATTCACAGCAGTAGTAGACAGAAGACTGTGAAGCGTCCTCTGTAGTGAGATAGATCTCCATGAGGTAAAGACCCAGTCACAGTGATTATAGCTGTTGCACACCAGAGTCTGTTACAGAGTTGACTGATTGAGTGAATACACAGACTGGTGAGATACTGTAGGACAGGGTTCTCCAACTGTAGATGCTAGAGAGCTACTGGCCTGGATGTGCAGGCTTTTGTTCCAGCCCTGCCTCAAACCCACTTGATTCAACTAATCACCGTCTTCAGTCTGGACCATGATTAGTGGACTCAGGTTTGTTACTATAGGGCTGGAACGAAATCCTGCACCCCCAATAGCTCCAGGACCACCCAGTAGCTCCAAAGTTGGAGACCCCTGCTGTAGGTTGACTGGTAGTTGCTAGGTCTGTGAGTTGCAGCAAGGACAGTCCAGTTCAAAGTAGAGGCAAGATAAAGAGAGCAGTATTTCCAGAACAGAGTAGGGATGAGTGTTTTCAGAGCTGTGTTACACGACCAGACACTAACTAAACCACAGCTAGCGCACGCACAGCACAGTGAGCCAAAAACACACGCCACATCTTTTCAATATCCCCCAACCCTGCAAATAGCAAAAAATATACAAGACTGTTCAGTTTTCTTTTCTTTTTGCACAGATTATATTAAGAAATGCTCCAGTCTTCCACGTTTTTTTACGCACCACTAAAGCTATGGAGCATTGGTGGACTGAAGCATATCAACTGAGGCCAGACTTTTGTCTTTCTATACTATATCATCCACATCTGTAGATGAGTAGGTTTCTCCAGTTGCAGGATGCTAACATTTAGACTGGCTAGCTGAGTTCTACATAGCGATAGTAGACTCCTGGAGAACAGTAGTACAGCGCGTCAGTGGTGCTGTGATGATCATAACCGACCACCACTAGAAACACTGACAGAAAGAAACTCCTAACATAGTCGTTACAACAAGTAGGCTGACACTGCCCCTAACCACTGATACAGGGTCAGATTATATTTTCATCTGCCCAATGGTTAAGGTTATTGAGGGTTAGAATAATCTGATTCTAGATCTGTGGTTAGTTGCAACTTCTACCTAGAGTTACAGCTGTGCAACAGGAGGAGGTGTTCTCCAGTGAAGATGCTACAGGGTCACAGGGTCAGTGTTAACCACATAATTAATGCTACAGGAGGATAACACAACCATATTACATCAGCCTCCAAACACTGGCACACCTTTATACACAATATCATACAGCCAGGGCACAGAGAAAAAGCTTTACTTTACTGGGAGAGTATTAACCGTGTGTGTGTGTATGTGTGCATGAGTGTGTGTGCATGTGTGTACATGTCAGTGTGTGTTTACATAGGAGAATTCAGCTGTAGATGTGTTGAGTTGTAGATATAAGGGGGGAGCCAGACATTGAGCGGTTGTTGTTCTCTGTGGAGTCCGGGGGTGCATGGGGAACGTCTCTCCCCTGAAGAGGGGTGAGGGTGGAGGTGCAGGGAGCTGGTCTCTCTCTCTAGTGGGGTGAGGAGGGAGGAGAGGAGAGACCTCCCTGCTGCTCCTAGCTCCTCTTTGCACCCAACAGCCAATAGTCCTATACAGGACTATACTGGAGAAAGAGGAGAATGAATATTAGAGCAGAGCTACACAGTGTGTGTGATATGCAGTATGTATGTGTGTGTGTGTGTGTGTGTGTGTGTGTGTGTGTGTGTATGTCTGAGTGCCTGTGTGTTACCTGGTTACTAGATGTCCAGTTTGCCAGGGCTGAGGCTGTGGAGAAGCTGGGCGGAGCTGGAGGAGGAGATAGTTAAGGAGGCGGGGTTATAACCCTGTATCAACAGGTTCTTGTTGAGGTCTCCCAGGGCTGCAGCACTGCCCGGCTGCAGCCTGGGGTAGGGGGGTGTGTCTGGCAGGGCGGTGAGGTCCAGAAGGTGCTCCAGGGTTCGGGCGTTACTCATGCTGTTTAACACCTCGCTGACGGGAGAGAAGTCCTGAACGCTACCCAAGTCATCCCTGGACACTGGGCTGGGAAGACATATACAGTATGAAATATGCCTGTTAACACATGGGATTGTGTGTGTGTGTGTGTGCGTGTGCGTGCGCGTGTGTGTGTGCGTGTGTGTGCGTGTGCGTGTGTGTGTGTGTGTGTGCAGCTCACCTGACGTCCATAGACTGTACCCCGTCAGACAGCTCGTCCCCTCCACAGCTCTTTCTTTCCAGGGGGCCCAGCGTGATGAGGGCGGACTCATCCTGATCCAGCCCTGCCTGGCCCCCGTTCACATCACACACACCTGAGAGAGAGGGGAGGGGGTTGGACACACCTAGTTAGTAACTCAAAACCTTCATGCATTGATAAGATGAAATCTTATGACTTGTGACGGCCGGCCGCCCAACAACCTGACCGCTTGACCTTATCCCCTCCTCTCTTCTCCAGACCATTTCCGGAGACCTTCTCCCTTACCTCACCTCGCTCATCAACTCATCCTTGACCGCTGGCCATGTCCCTTCCGTCTTCAAGAGAGCGAGAGTTGCACCCCTCCTCAAAAAACCTACACTCGATCCCTCCGATGTCAACAACTACAGACCAGTATCCTTTCTTTCTTTTCTCTCCAAAACTCTTGAGCGTGCCGTCTCTAGCCAACTCTCCTGCTATCTCTCTCAGAATGACCTTCTTGATCCAAACCAGTCAGGTTTCAAGACTGGTCATTCAACTGAGACTGCTCTTCTCTGTGTCACGGAGGCTCTCCGCACTGCTAAAGCTAACTCTCTCTCCTCTGCTCTTATCCTTCTAGACCTATCCGCTGCCTTTGATACTGTGAACCATCAGATCCTCCTCTCCACCCTCTCCGAGTTGGGCATCTCCGGCGCTGCTCACTCTTGGATTGCGTCCTACCTGACAGGTCGCTCCTACCAGGTGGCGTGGCGAGAATCTGTCTCCGCACCACGTGCTCTCACCACTGGTGTCCCCCAGGGCTCAGTTCTAGGCCCTCTCCTATTCTCTCTATACACCAAGTCACTTGGCTCTGTCATATCCTCAAATGGTCTCTCCTATCATTGCTACACAGACGACACTGTCACGGATTCTGCCGAGGCTGCTCCTCCTCCTTGCTCGGGCAGGCTTCGGCGTTCGTCGTCCCCGGAGTACTAGCTACTGCCGATCGATGTTTTCGGTGTTTGTCTTGTGTTGTCTAGTTAGTACACCTGTTGCATATTAGTGTTGATTGTTTAGCATATAAGTTCCCTTGTTTTACGTTTGGGCTTTGTGTGTTATTGTTCATTGTCTTGTTGATGTTCGGCCTAGCTACTACTTCGGATTACGCATATGGTGTTTTTCCCTCCAGTGTTGGAGACGTTTGTTTTGTGCGTAACGCTCAGTAAAGTAGTCAACCTGATTCTCTGTGTCCTGCGTCTGACTTCACTCGCCGCATACACATCACCTCCTGACAGAATAACACACCCCCATGGAGTCAGCAGGACCAGCGGTACCAACGGAGTCTTTAGAGGAGCGCGTCAGCAGCCAAGACGCCATGATCCGAAGACTCGGCACCGCCATGCAGGATGTGATGGACACTTTGAGCCGATGGGAAAGAGGAGGTTTGCCCACACCTCCTCCTACAATACCACCACCATCGGCCAGACCCATCGTTCCATCTCCGGAGTCCAGTGGGATTCGGCTCTCGCTCCCGAGGGCTTATGATGGCACCGCAGCCGGGTGTCAGGGTTTCCTGCTTCAAGTAGAACTCTACCTGGCAACCATTCACCCGGCGCCCTCGGGATACGAGAGCGTTTCCGCCCTCATCTCCTGTCTATCCGGCAAGGCATTGGAGTGAGCCAATGCCAAATGGAGGGGAATAGACGCCACCACCATCAGTTATGCGGAGTTCTCCCGCCGTTTCAGGGCGGTTTTCGATCATCCCCCAGAGGGGAAAGCGGCGGGGGAGCGTCTGTTCCACCTCCGACAGGGGAAGAGGACTCTGGCGGCCAATGCGGGATGGAATGAGAGGGCCCTCATCGACCACTATAGGTGCAGCCTACGGGAGGACGTTCGCCGAGAGTTGGCCTGCAGGGACACCAACTTGAGCTTCGATCAGTTGGTGGACATGTCGATCCGTCTGGATACCCTGCTGGCTACCCGCGGACATCCATAGTTGGGGCCGTCCATTCCATCCCCCAGCACCTCAGAGCCGAGCCCTATGGAGCTCGGGGGTGCTGGTGCTAGAGAGAGGAGGAGAGAGACCCGGAGAGAGGCCGTCCCCTGCACCAACTGTGGCCGTAGAGGACACACTGCGGTTTGGTGCTGGGGAGGGTCTCCTGGGAATCGAGGCAGCAGGTCACGCACTGATGAGTCATTCCAGGTGAGTAAGCGCCCAACTCACCCAGAGCTCTCTGTTGTCCACTTGTGTATCCAAGTTGAATTTCCCCAGGTTTCATCTCATTCCCAGCATAAGGCGCTAGTCGATTCAGGCGCAGCTGGGAATTTTATTGATCGCAATTTCTGTTATAAGTTAGATATTCCCCTCCTACCAGTAGATGTGCCTTTCCCTATCCATGCCCTAGACAGCCGTCTTTTGGGGTCAGGATTGATTAGGGAGGTCACGGCGCCACTTAAGATGAAGACGCAGGGGGGTCATGAGGAAATTATACAGTTGTATCTGATCGACTCTCCTGCGTTTCCCGTGGTGCTGGGCCTTCCTTGGTTAATATCTCATGACCCCAACATTTCGTGGCAACAGAGGGCTCTCAGGGAGTGGTCTGATCAGTGTGTCGGGCGGTGTGTAGGTGTTTCCGTAGGGGCGACAATGGTGGAAAGTCCGAACCAAGTGCCCGCACTGCACATTCCTCCTGAGTATAATGATTTGGCACTCGCCTTCAGTAAGAAGAGGGCGACTCAATTACCACCGCATAGACAGGGGGATTGTGCGATAGACCTCCAGGCATGCGCTGCACTTCCGCGTAGTCATGTGTATCCTCTGTCTCAAGAGGAGACGGCGGCTATGGAAACATACATCGCCGAATCTCTGGGACAGGGATACATATGGCCCTCCACTTCTCCTGCATCCTCAAGTTTCGTTTTTGTGAAGAAGAAGGATGGAGGTTTGCGCCCGTGTATAGATTACCGTAGTCTCAATCAGATTACTATTAAAAACAGTTATCCTCTCCCTCTGATTGCGAGTATGACGGAGTCATTACACGGAGCGCGATTCTTCACAAAATTGGATCTCAGGAGCGCTTAAAACCTGGTGCGCATTAGGGAAGGAGATGAATGGAGAACAGCATTTAGTACCACCTCGGGTCACTATGAGTATCTCGTCATGCCATACGGGTTAATGAATGCTCCTTCAGTCTTCCAATCATTTGTGGACGAGATTTTCCGGGATTTGCATGGGCAGGGTGTAGTGGTGTATATTGACGACATTCTAATATACTCTGCTACACGAGCCGAGCATGTGGCCCTGGTGCGTCGGGTGTTGGGTAGGCTGTTGGAGCATGACTTGTATGTGAAGGCTGAGAAATGCCTGTTTTTCCAGGAGTCCATCTCCTTCCTGGTACATCGGTTGTCCGCGTCAGGGGTGGAGATGGAGATTGACCGCGTTTCAGCCGTGCGTAATTGGCAGACTCCCACCACGGTTAAGGAGGTGCAGCGGTTTTTGGGTTTTGCCAATTACTACCGGAGGTTTATCCGGGGTTTTGGACAGGTAGCAGCTCCCATCACCTCCCTGTTAAAGGGGGGCCCGGTGCGTTTGCAGTGGTCGGCCGAGGCGGACAGGGCGTTTAGACATCTGAAGGACCTGTTCACCTCGGTTCCGGTGCTGGCACATCCGGACCCCTCTTTGGCGTTCCAAGTGGAGGTGGACGCGTCAGAGGCGGGTATTGGGGCTGTACTGTCTCAACGCTCGGGCACGCCTCCTAAACTCCGTCCCTGTGCCTTTTACTCTAAGAAGCTCAGCCCGGTGGAACGTAATTACGACGTGGGGGACAGGGAGCTGCTAGCTGTGGTCCAAGCCCTAAAGGTGTGGAGGCATTGGCTTGAGGGGGCTCAACACCCTTTTCTCATTCTGACTGACCATCGTAACCTGGAGTACATCCGGGCAGCTAGGAGACTGAACCCTCGTCAGGCTAGGTGGGCCATGTTTCTGGCTCGGTTTGTCTTTAAGCTCACCTATATACCAGGGTCACAGAACGTTAAGGCAGACGCCCTGTCCCGGCGATATGACACAGAGGAGAGGTCCATTGAGCCCACTCCCATACTTCCGGAGTCTTGTCTGGTGGCACCGGTGGTGTGGGAGGTCGATGCGGAGATCAAGCGGGCGATACGTACCAACCCTACTCCTCCAGAGTGTCCGGAGGGGTGGAAGTACGTGCCGCTCGAGATCCGTGATCGACTGATTTATTGGGCTCACACGTCACCCTCCTCTGGTCATCCTGGTATTGGCCGGACAGTGCACTGCCTTAGTGAAAAGTACTGGTCGGGTTTATGTCTCCTCCTGCTCGGTGTGCGCTCAGTGTAAGGCACCTAGACACCTGCCCAGGGGGAAGTTACAACCCCTACCCGTTCCACAACGGCCGTGGTCTCACCTATCGGTGGACTTTGTCACGGACCTTCCCCCCTCCCAGGGGAATACCACTATTTTGGTCGTTGTGGATCGGTTTTCTAAGGCCTGCCGCCTCATTCCAATGCCGGGTCTCCCTACTGCCCTACAAACTGCTGAGGCCCTGTTTACTCACGTCTTCCGGCACTACGGGGTACCTGAGGATATAGTGTCTGATCGGGGTCCCCAGTTCACCTCTAGAGTCTGGAGGGCGTTTATGGAACGCTTGGGGATCTCAGTTAGCCTTACCTCGGGTTTCCACCCTGAGAGTAATGGGCAGGTGGAGAGAGTAAACCAGGATGTGGGTAGGTTTCTGAGGTCCTATTGCCAGGACCGGCAGGAGGAGTGGTCGGGGTATATCCCCTGGGCAGAGATTGCCCAGAACTCACTTCGCCACTCCTCTACTAATCTGACTCCTTTTCAGTGTGTGTTGGGGTATCAGCCGGTTCTGGCACCCTGGCATCAGAGCCAGATCGAGGCTCCTGCGGTGGATGAATGGTTTCGGCGCTCGGAGGAAACATGGAACGCTGCGCATGTCCATCTGCAGCGGGCTATCCGTAGGCATAAGGCGAGCGCCGATCGCCACCGCAGTGAGGGTCCAGTGTATGCACCTGGAGATCGAGTCTGGCTCTCGACTCGAAACCTACCCCTTCACCTGCCCTGCCGGAAGCTGGGTCGGCGGTTTGTGGGGCCATTTAAAGTCCTGAGGAGATTGAACGAGGTATGTTACAGGTTACAACTGCCCAATGATTATCGCATTAACCCCTCGTTCCATGTATCTCTCCTCAGGCCGGTGGTAGCTGGTCCACTCCAGGAGAATGAGATACGAGAGGCTCCTCTGCCCCCACGAGGGGGCTCCGGCGTACTCAGTCCGGTCCATCGTGGATTTGAGACGTCGGATGGGGGGTCTGCAGTATCTCGTGGAGTGGGAGGGGTACGGTCCGGAGGAACAGTGCTGGGTGCCTAGGAGGGACATTTTAGATCCCTCCCTCTTGACGGAGTTCCACCGGAGTCATCCCACTCGCCCTGCTCCGCGTCCTCCTGGCCGTCCCCAAGGCCGGGGTCGGCGCACGGCTGGTGCTGCGCGTCAAGGGAGGGGTACTGTCACGGATTCTGCCGAGGCTGCTCCTCCTCCTTGCTCGGGCAGGCTTCGGCGTTCGTCGTCCCCGGAGTACTAGCTACTGCCGATCGATGTTTTCGGTGTTTGTCTTGTGTTGTCTAGTTAGTACACCTGTTGCATATTAGTGTTGATTGTTTAGCATATAAGTTCCCTTGTTTTACGTTTGGGCTTTGTGTGTTATTGTTCATTGTCTTGTTGATGTTCGGCCTAGCTACTACTTCGGATTATGCATATGGTGTTTTTCCCTCCAGTGTTGGAGACGTTTGTTTTGTGCATAACGCTCAGTAAAGTAGTCAACCTGATTCTCTGTGTCCTGCGTCTGACTTCACTCGCCGCGTACACATCACCTCCTGACAGACACACAATACATTTTCTCCTTTCCCCCTTCTGATAACCAGGTGGCGAATCGCATCTCTGCATGTCTGGCAGACATATCAGTGTGGATGTCGGATCACCACCTCAAGCTGAACCTCGGCAAGACAGAGCTGCTCTTCCTCCCGGGGAAGGACTGCCCGCTCCATGATCTCGACATCACGGTTGACAACTCCATTGTGTCCTCCTCCCAGAGTGCAAAGAACCTTGGCGTGACCCTGGACAACACCCTGTCGTTCTCCGCTAACATCAAAGTGGTGACCCGATCCTGCAGGTTCATGCTCTACAACATTTGCAGAGTACAACCCTACCTTACACAGAAAGCGGCACAGGTCCTAATCCAGGCACTTGTCATCTCCCGTCTGGATTACTGCAACTCGCTGTTGGCTGGGCTCCCTGCCTGTGCCATTAAACCCCTACAACTTATCCAGAACGCTGCAGCCCGTCTGGTTTCGACCTTCCCAAGTTCTCTCATGTCACACCGCTCCTCCGCACACTCCACTGGCTTCCAGTTGAGGCTCGCATCTACTACAAGACCATGGTGCTTGCCTACGGCGCTGTGAGGGGAACGGCACCTCCTTACCTTCAGGCTCTGATCAGACCCTACACCCAAACGAGGGCACTGCGTTCATCCACCTCTGGCCTGCTAGCCCCCCTACCTCTACGGAAGCACAGTTCCCACTCAGCCCAGTCAAAGCTATTTGCTGCTCTGGCACCCCAATGGTGGAACAAGCTCCCTCACGACGCCAGGACAGCGGAGTCACTAACCACCTTCCGGAGACACTTGAAACCCTACCTCTTTAAGGAATACCTGGAATAGTATGAAGTAATCCTTCTACTCCCCCCCCCCCCCCCCCCCCCCCCTCAAAAAATTTAAATAAATACAAGTGGTTGTCCCACTGGCCATCATAAGTTGAATGCACCAATTTGTAAGTCACTCTGGATAAGAGCGTCTGCTAAATGATGTAAATGTAAATGTAATAAGTCAAGAGTAATATACATAACACAAAGTAACAATACAACCCTGTCCACCACACGGGGGAGCTCTAACCCTGACCGCCGCTGAGTCACCCTGCAGTATTTACTGTGTGTGTGTGTTTGTTTATACCTGAGGATGAGGAGTCCGTTTCACTCTTACGCGTCCTCTTCATGATCTCCTCAATCCGCTATGGACACACACACACGCGCGCACACACACACACACACACACACACACACACACACACACACACACACACACACACACACACACACACACACACACACACACACACACACACACACACACACACAGGAGTTTAGGGAAACAGCTTATATGTCAGCGTATTCGGGGGTAAGGTGTGTGTGTGTCTGTGTGTTAACCTTCTTCCTCTGCAGTCTCTCCTGCTCCTCCTGTATCTGCAGCAGTTCTCTCTCCTGCCTCTTCCTCTCCGCCTCCCTGTGAGCACGCAGACACGCCTCCTCTCTCTGCACACACACACACACACGCACACACACACGCACACGCACACACACCACACGCACACATACACGCACACGTACACACACACGCACACACACACGCACACATACACGCACACGTACACACACGCACACACACACACGCACACACACGCACACACACACGCACACACACACACACATACACGCACACAAACAATTCATTAATTCCCTGAACTGATAAGAATTTAGGAAGCTGTGGGTCAGATAGAATATGTGGGATCAGATTGCATGAGATTAGCAGAAGTAGGCTAGAGTTTCCTTTTCAAGGCTAAAAGCACAATGTGGCAGATAGAGCCATATATATAAACCACATAGATCTGAAAATGCTAGAAACATGGGAACATGGCCTTGGAGAGGTCACATATTGACTATCTGTGACTAAACATCTTCGTCACATGCAGCAGTGATGCCCAATGACTATATATATGAATGGACAAAGCCATCGCATCATGTGACACCATTTATTCCTATGTGAAGACTCAGTAGTGCATTGAAGCCAAATAGTTGAGATGGCGTCTTATGGAGACGTAACATGAGCTGTTTGAGCTACTCCAGGAAGTGACGTTGCAGGCTAGCTCAGTGCTGCCCCCTCTCATTTAGTAACTCAAATTGAAGGCCGACCGGGGTACTGCAAGCTGCCATTAGCAACTAAATTATCCATATAACTTCTTATGTGTGTGATTGAAAAATTATCTGCTCAAGGACATACATCTGGTGTATTAGAAGCAATCATTGGTACCAAATTTTGTATTTTTATTTACACAAAGATTCACCACGAAGATTGCCATTTTCCCATTCACTAGAATGGGGGATCCTGTTTTCAGCAAACAATGCCTGCAGTACCGCGGTCGGCCTTGAACTTCCGTGGCTTCAATGAGAGGGGGCAGTCGTTCTCCCCTGGTGATGCCTCATGGTTTGAAGTTTAACCCCTGAGCCCTGACCCCTGACCTCTCGGTCCAGCTGATCCTGCATGTCTTTCCAGCGTCTCTCCTTGGTCCTTCTCTCCTCCTCTTCTCTGCTCTTCCTCTCCTCCTCCCGTCTCTCTCTCTCCTCCTCCCGTCTCTCTCTCTCCTCCTCTGCTCGTTGTGCATCTTTCGCCTGCCGCTCCAGCGCCTCCTGCTCTCTCCTCAGCTCCTCCTCAGCTCTCATCCTGCACACACACACACACACACACACACACACACACACACACACACACAATACACAAAGTCAATACACACATCCCTCTGCACATCCTTCTGACCAGACGCTATGTACACACAAACACACACACACCTCTCCTCCTCCTGTCGTAGTTTGTCCTCCTGTTCTTTCTGTACTCTGGCCAGACGACGCCTCTCAGCCAACAGTCTTGACGCCTCCTCCGCATCCGTTGTCCCAGCAACATTCCTGCCTGTGGGCGTACCTGGAGACTCTGTGAGGAGGGAGGGAGGGGGAGAAGGAGGGGAGCGGTGGGGTAGAGGGGGAGAGGAAGAGGGGCAGAGATATAGAGACAGAGATGACTCTGGTGTACAGCAGACACTGATGAAAGCAGTTTTCTCTGAAGCGTTCTGTTCTCTCCTCTAGGGTGGCTCAGGTTGCAGACTCTTTCTCTCTCTCTTTCTGTCTATTGATATATCTCTCTCTCTTTCCCTCCACCCCTCGCTCTCCTCTCAAGGGCAAAGCATATATCAGTGGTGAGTTCTGAACACACCCACACACACTCACACACATACACACACACACACACACCCCTACCTGCCGCCAGGTCTCTGCTGCAGGACTTGGGGATCTTCTTCTCTGGTGCGTCCGGCTTGGAGGACTTCCTCTCCAGGGTTCCATGACCCCTGGCCTCATGGTTGCCCTCGGTTACCGAGGGTCGCTGGCGGAGGGGGGAGGGAGGGTACTGTCCCGGGGAGCAGGGGGACTGGGCACGACTCTTAGTCGACTTCACCCTGTAATAACAATTCACTTTATTTGTATATTTTATACTACGTTGCGGGTAAAGGTGCTTTACAATAAGTATATACACTGCTCAAAAAAATAAAGGGAACACTTAAACAACACAATGTAACTCCAAGTCAATCACACTTCTGTGAAATCAAACTGTCTACTTAGGAAGCAACACTGATTGACAATACATTTCACATGCTGTTGTGCAAATGGAATAGACAACAGGTGGAAATTATAGGCAATTAGCAAGACACCCCCAATAAAGGACTGGTTTTGCAGGTGGTGACCACAGACCACTTCTCAGTTCCTATGCTTCCTGGCTGATGTTTTGGTCACTTTTGAATGCTGGCGGTGCTTTCACTCTAGTGGTAGCATGAGACGGAGTCTACAACCCACACAAGTGGCTCAGGTAGTGCAGCTCATCCAGGATGGCACATCAATGCGAGCTGTGGCAAGAAGGTTTGCTGTGTCTGTCAGCGTAGTGTCCAGAGCATGGAGGCGCTACCAGGAGACAGGCCAGTACATCAGGAGATGTGGAGGAGGCCGTAGGAGGGCAACAACCCAGCAGCAGGACCGCTACCTCCGCCTTTGTGCAAGGAGGAGCAGGAGGAGCACTGCCAGAGCCCTGCAAAATGACCTCCAGCTGGCCACAAATGTGCATGTGTCTGCTCAAACGGTCAGAAACAGACTCCATGAGGGTGGTATGAGGTCCCGACGTCCACAGGTGGGGGTTGTGCTTACAGCCCAACACCGTGCAGGACGTTTGGCATTTGCCAGAGAACACCAAGATTGGCAAATTCGCCACTGGCGCCCTGTGCTCTTCACAGATGAAAGCAGGTTCACACTGAGCACATGTGACAGACGTGACAGAGTCTGGAGACGCCGTGGAGAACGTTCTGCTGCCTGCAACATCCTCCAGCATGACCGGTTTGGCGGTGGGTCAATCATGGTGTGGGGTGGCATTTCTTTGGGGGGCCGCACATCCCTCCATGTACTCGCCAGAGGTAGCCTGACTGCCATTAGGTACCGAGATGAGATCCTCAGACCCCTTGTGAGACCATATGCTGGTGCGGTTGGCCCTGGGTTCCTCCTAATGCAAGACAATGCTAGACCTCATGTGGCTGGAGTGTGTCAGCAGTTCCTGCAAGAGGAAGGCATTGATGCTATGGACTGGCCCGCCCGTTCCCCAGACCTGAATCCAATTGAGCACATCTGGGACATCATGTCTCGCTCCATCCACCAACGCCACGTTGCACCACAGACTGTCCAGGAGTTGGCGGATGCTTTAGTCCAGGTCTGGGAGGAGATCCCTCAGGAGACCATCCGCCACCTCATCAGGAGCATGCCCAGGCGTTGTAGGGAGGTCATACAGGCACGTGGAGGCCACACACACTACTGAGCCTCATTTTGACTTGTTTTAAGGACATTACATCAAAGTTGGATCAGCCTGTAGTGTGGTTTTCCACTTTAATTTTGAGGGTGACTCCAAATCCAGACCTCCATGGGTTGATAAATTTGATTTCTATTGATCATTTTTGTGTGATTTTGTTCTCAGCACATTCAACTATGTAAAGAAAAAAGTATTTCATAAGATTATTTCATTCATTCAGATCTAGGATGTGTTATTTTTGTGTTCCCTTAATTTTTTTGAGCAGTGTATTATAATACATTAAAAAAACAGGAAAACCAAGAAACCTTTTGGGCGTGCCCAGTCCTTTGCCCTGGGCTCTGGGGGAGGAGCTTCGGGTGGGAGTGGTCGGAGATTCGAGGCGTCTCATTGAAGAGTCAGTCAGACAGGAGGCGGGGCCTCTCTCTGTCTAAAAACACAAAAGAAGAAGTGAGCGTGTGCTCAGAATAATAATGTAGTAATATAAATGCATGTACACACATCTATGGTACTGACTGTAGGTGTTTTGGGGGTCTTGTCCTCCGGGGGTCCATTGCTTGTCTTCCTGGAGGGGGAAGCTTTGTAGGCCGGTCGCTGGGGGCTGGGGGATGCTAAACGAGGGGACACACCACACACTGCATAGTCATAATAGGGCAGACAGAGAGAGACAGACAACAAAGAGAAACACACAAGAGAGTGTCATATTATATACTGTTGCTTGGCAACACACACACCTCTTTCTGGTGAGTGCAGGGAGGCTGAAGAGTTGGAGAGGCGTTTGGTGATTGGCTGGTCCGGGGTGGGTGGTGTCAGGAAGTCACACACTGCAGAGAGATGCATGAGAAAGAGTCACCCCAGAGGGACAGGAAGAGGTAGGAGTCGTCTTAACCACGAATACTAATACTGCATTCATATTTTCTCTACCCTCCCTGAAGTGTACACTCGTTCACTTCCCCTAATGGGGAGTGTTAGGAATGGACTGAAATATGGTGGGAACTCATATATGCATATGCTTCCACCAATCTTCACATCAATGAGAGAGAGAGAGGGATGAGTGCACACTTCAGGGAGGAGGGTAGAGAAAACAGCTAAGGTCAGATATGTCTATCTGTGGTTAGGGGCAACTTGTACCTGGAGCAACAGAGACACATCACATTACACACAAATAGGAGACACACAATACACGTTACAAACACACATCACTAGAACAACACTCTGCAGTTAGTTAGTGAACAACTATGCCACATATTCACCAAAACATCAGACACACTGATTGGGTTTCAGTTTGACTTCCGTGTTGTATAGTAAGAGACTAATGTATGTTCCATATACAGTGCATTCAGACCCCTTTACTTTTCCACATTTTGTTACGTTACAGCCTTATTCTAAAATGGATTACATTGTTTTTCCCCCTCATCAATCTACACACAATAGTCCATAATGACAAAGCAAAGACAGGTTTGTAGAAAGTTTTGTAAATGTATTAAAAATAGAAAACTGAAATATCACATTTACATAAGTATTCAAACCCTTTACTCAGTCCTTTGTTGAAGCACCTTTGGGATGGTGCCAGGTTTCCTCCAAACGTGATGCTTGGCATTCAGGCCAAAGAGTTAGGTTGGTTTCATCAGATCAGAGAATCTTGTTTCTCATGGTCTGAGAGTCCTTTAGGTGCCTTTTGGCAAACTCCAAGCGGGCTGTGCCTTTTACTGAGGAGTGGCTTCCGTCTGGCCACTCTACCATAAAGGCCTGATTGGTAGAGTGCTGCAGAGATGGTTGTCCTTCTGGAAGGTTCTTCCATCTCCACAGAGGAACTCTGGAGCTCTGTCAGAGTGACCATCGGGTTCTTGGTCACCTCCCTGACCAAGGCCCTTCTCCCCCGATTGCTCAGTTTGGCCGGGCGGCCAGCTCTAGGAAGAGTCTTGGTGGTTCCAAACGTCTTCCTTTTAAGAATGATGGAGGCCCTGTGTTCTTGGGGACGTTCAATGCTGCAGACATTTTTTGGTACCCTTCCCCAGATCTGTGCCTCTACACAATCCTGTTTCGGAGCTCTACGGACAATTCCTTCGACCTCATGGCATGGTTTTTGCTCTGACATGCACTGTCAACTGTGGGACCTTATATAGACAGGTGTGTGCCTTTCCAAATCATGTCCAATCAATTGAATTTACCATGTGGACTCCAATCAAGTTGTAGAAACATCTCAAGGATGATCAATGGAAACAGGATGCACCTGAGCTAAATTTCGAGTCTCATAGAAAAGGGTCTGAATACTTATGTAAATAAGGTATTTCTGTTTTTTATTTCTAAAAACCTGTTTTCGCTTTGTCATTATGGGATATTGTGTGTAGATTGCTGAGAAACAAATAAATATTTAATCAATTTTAGAAGAAGGCTGTAACGTAACAAAATGTGGAAAAAGTCAAAGGGTCTGAATACTTTCCGAATACACTGTATATACATGATACACATCAATAGACACACGGACCCTCTAGCACAAAGGAGAGAGGATGGTTTTATATTAGTGTGTGTCTGAGTACCTGTCTCGAGGGGTGGGGGTTGTCGAGACTTCTGCATATCCTATAAGCTGTGTGTGTGGTTAGACTGCTGCAGGCAGACAGGAAGTATATGAACTATTTGTTCTGATTGGGTGAAGAAGGAGCTAATGGACCCCAAGGACCAAAGGGAAACAACATGTGTGGTGAAAACAACCATATCCATATTCATGCACAGACCCCCCCCCCATGGGCACAAAGGAAGGCAGGAAGAATTCACTGCAAAAATGAAAAGCACAACACACATGCAGCCAAACACAACAACTGCACACTAAGGGTATCAGGTGGTCTGTACCGTTCCTGGATTGGTTGGGACTGGCAGCAGAGGCTGGATGATGAGGCAGAGCTGAGCCAATAGCATGAGAGGGTGGGGTCTTAGGGTTACCTGTTAGCAGGTGTGGCAGAGCGGAGAAAGCAAAGCATTACACACACACCTGAGTATAAAATGATACGTACATATGTACTGCATACACACACACCTACACCCACACACCTACACCCACACACCTACACCCACACACCTACGTGTTGCAATTGTATACAAACATACCTATGAGTCTCTGACACACACACACACACACGCGCGTGACCGGAGCCTGCATGCTGCAGAATCAACTGATCTCAGTTCAGATCTACCATCCATCCGCAGGTTAGAACACCAGTGATGTAGAGTGATGGTTTAGATCAGTAATTGAAAAAGAATGTAAAAGGTGGTGATCCTCCAGACTGTACCAGGGTTTGTATTCACTGTAAGAAATGCTATATCGTAGGATTCTATAAGTGATTGTTGAAGAATGTGGTAATCTAGGTATTCTACAAGAGGGGCTGATTCTCTACATCATCCTAGGCCTGATGGATGGAGTGTGTGTGTGTGTGTGTGAATAATTGATGGAATTATAAATGCAACCACAGAGTCTGGCTATTGCTCTGGTACCGCTCACTGATGGCAGTGTCATTGCTGAAAACACATACTATACAAATACAAATGTAAAAATGTAATTGCAAATAACCTTAGCCATAACACTGCCACAACAGCACGGGTAGACAGATTATGAGGATGTGTGTGTGTAGAGAGACTAACCCAACGATGGGTGTTTACATACGCAGTAAATATCCCCTGTCAATGTGTGTGGTTAGATACGTATTTCAGGCCACTGCTGGGAATCAGGCCAGTTTTCCAACACACTGATGTTCACCTTAGGAATAAACAACATCAAACACACACACATTGATGAGGGAGGGTTGCAGCACTTCACAGAAACAGCTGTTCCTGAGATACCCAACACACACACACATCAAACACACACACACACACACACACAGAATTCCTGAGCTAAATACACACTTGTAACAGCCTGATTAAAGTGGCACAGACAGAATTGTCTTATCATCACAGAGCAATGTTGTGAGCCATAATGCTGTTGGCCCACACGCACACACACACACACACACACACAAGCCTCTCCCACGCTGATGAGTTTAAATCAAAGCGTTGTCCTCCCCTGCATTGCAGCCTCCACACCCTTTTCCTCTTTCTGTCCTCCCCACTCTCTCTCTGGAATATGGTCTTTCTCTCTCATCCCTCATTTCTCTCCTTATTGCCCTTTATCTCTGTACTCTTTATGTCTTTCAGGTGGTCTATCTCTCATCCTCCTGCCCCCATCATCTCTCTCTCTCTCTCTCCTCTCTCCTCTCCTCCTCTCCTCCTCTCTCTCTCTCTCTCTCTCTCTCTCTCACACTGTCCCCACCCTTTCACCCATCCTGAATACATCCCATCACCCCCTCCCCTCTTCCTCTGTCCCCCCTCACTCACTTCATCTTACACTTCCCAAACCTCCATACCCTCCTATCTATCTCTCCCCTCCCCCTCACCAGCCTGTCTCTCCCTCCCGTTTGATCCCCATGCTCCCGCCCTCCCCCCAGTGTACTCACCCTCTTCCCCTCCGGGTGGTCCTCCCCAGGTCCAGCGTTTAGGCCTGTCATCCCCAATCCGTCTGTCCCTCTCTCCTCCTCTCTCCCTTCTTCTCACCAGGGCCTCCAGTCTCTCCTGTTCGTTGCGTTCCAAAACGGGGAAAAAGTAGACACTCTCTCACCGAACCGTCGCTACGGCGACGAGCACCCGGTGATGCACACGGAGACGGCTGCGCCATGGTTACCGGTGCACCGCAGCAAGAGCAGCAGCCTCGCCCCTCACTCTCTCCTCCAAGTGTGTCGGTTCGTTCACTCGTTCAATCGCTCACACTGTCTGCTGCTCACTGATAAATGAACCAGGGCCTCGGCGCTCTCTGTCTATCTATCCCCTCTCTCTCTCTATCCGTCTCTCTATCTATCTATCTATCTCTCTCTCTCTTTATCCCTCTCTCCGTCGGTGTCTACCGCTCCATCTAGGCAGCTCTGTTTCTCTCTCTCTCTTGCTCTGTCACTCTCTCTCTCTCTCCCTCCCCTCACCCCACCCTTTCTGTCTCTGCTCACCTCTTTCTCCCTATATTCTCTCCTTCCCATCTCTCTCTCTCTCTCTCTCTCTCTCTCTCTCCCCCCTCCTCTCTCTCAGATGATGAGTCTATTACAGAAAGCCAGACAGAGGGACAGCACGTAACCTCCATTCCCCTCCCCCACCCCTCCCCCTCTGTTAACGACACCCCACTAAGCTCTCTCACACACACACACACACACACACAAAGGCATCTACGCACGCACATATACACACACACATCATAGGGACATATACACACACAGAATGTGAATAGCGTACTAAGACAGGTTGCTTTTGTCACATCGCAGATGCTCTTTTCTCCTTTGAATTTTCCACTCTCTCCCTCCCTCCCTGTATCTCTCCCCCACTCCTTCATCTGCTCAGTGACTGTATTTCTCTGGTGGGTTAACTCCTGCCTGTCTGGACTACTGAGATCTACAGTAGAAAGAGAGACAGAGGCTCTGATGTCATTTACCAGAGACAGACACACATCCCCCCATCCCCCTCTCTCCCTCTCATTTTAATCCATCTCCTATTCACATTTCAATTCACATGCATTGCATAAACTGCTGTAAATCTTCTTTGTAACTGTGTTGGGGAAAGAGCCAGCTGAGGCTGCAGTGTTCTCTGTGAGGAAGGGAAAAACCCACCTCAGGTTGGGAGAGAAAGAGGGACTCACACACACCACTGCAGGAGAGGAGAGGAGAGGGTGAGGAGGGAGGTAGGGAGGATGGGTGTGAAGATCAATGAAAGAGAGATGGAAAGAGAAAGAGAAAGAAAGAGAGAGAAGAAAAGAAAGGGGGAGGAGAGGGAGAAGCAGATTGATCTGAGGTGATAGCGGACAATGTCGCTACGGTAACCCAGAACCTGACCGGAGCCTAAAATAGAACCTCCACAGAGTTCTACAGCAGAACACACACACTTCTAAATAACTAGAGACAGATTTAATCAATAGATTAACTTGTATTGTTTACATATACAATCGATAAATCTGCAACAATCAACCAACATCAATTCTATAGACTACCCCTGGCTTCATATCCACTTCTATCACATTCTATTATGGAAACTCTGTCATCTAGCTGGTCCTACTACACATAAGCAAATATTAATATCCACACTGGAAACTACACCCTGCAGGTACACCCTGTGCGTGTGTGTGTGTCTTGAAAACCACATGAATTTGACATGTTCCAAAAACATGTGTTTTTTCTATAAGGGGTATATGATGACAGATATATACATAATGTACTGTCTAATTCCAGGAAATTACACATGATACACTAGCGATGATGTCATGATGCACCCTGAGAGACCACCCAATCATTAAGTAATTAACGTAAAGGGGAGGGGCTGTATGCAATGATGACAGGCTCCCAATCAATAGACACACAACCCCCTCCCCAACCCCCACCCCGCGGGAGGAGAATAGTTTGATCTTGGGGTTAGGACCCTGATGGGAGTTGTTAACTCTTCACGCACCAGGACAGCCCAGGCTTAGACAGAATGAAAAATGTCCACCGTTGAATTTCAAATCATCAGTTGAGATGTTCACCAATGGCTTACTTTTAAAGCACATCTAATCTAACCCAACAGGCAGACCATACTCAACCTAGTGCAGAGAGAGAGAGAGAGAGAGGAGAGAGAGAGAGAGAGAGAGAGAGAGAGAGAGAGAGAGAGAGAGAGAGAGAGAGAGAGACTAGAGAGAGAGAGCTAGAGAGAGATAGGAGGAGAGAGAGAGGAGAGAGAGAGAGAGAGAACACAAATCTCCGCATCAGAGAGACGAGAGAGCAGGAGCGAGCAGGTAACCTCAGATGAAGGTAACCTCAGTGTGTGGGGTGTTTAAATTGTGATGGAGGTGGAAGGAGTGGTTGAGGAAAGGACAAGAAGATAGACAGAGGGGGCAAAAGGGAGCCATAGAGATCCTATTAAATTACTAGAGGGGCTTTGTCATAAACCCTCAAAGTTCCAGAATGGTTTGATAATGGCAGCCATTTTGGTCAGGGAGAAATCCAAACCAGTCTAATTGGAGTAAATGGCAGTAGAGGCAGAAGTGATTCATTTCCTGATTTTACTTTTGCAGAAAAATTTAAGTAAGGCATTTGATATATCAGAAATTGTGTAATAGAATTATTGTCAACCTAAAATATTGTCATATAATTATAAATACAGTTTATACAGGGTTTATACCAATTTTTGGTATAAATAGCTTCTAAAATATATGTCTACATTTTTGTTTTCTTGGAAAGCTGTGAGTGATATTATATGATACAATATCAGTTGCATTTACAACTTGTCTATCATCAGCTGATTTCAGCAAATGTATGGCTGTGACTGCATTGTTTGAATGGGATGTTGGCATATTGGCAGTTAATTTGACAAATTAATGGAATCATTCCTCTAAAACTGAGGCTGGCTAGCTATAATAGTGCAGATAAATTCTTCAAATTCATTGTTTTTGTCACGTCTCCTCCCGTTGCTCCCCTCCGGCACTCTGATTCGCCGGTCTACTGAGCCACCGGTCTGAGCGCACCACCTCGGCAACACCGGAATGGAAACCCAACGCACCCTAATCACCTCCAGCGCACCTGCACCTCATCATCTCATCACCACCCCTATTTAGCCCTGGACTGTTCCTTATGATGTTGTGTGTGATTGTTTAGCTTCGTGTCATTTACTCTATCTTTGTTATTTCTCTTTGTCATTGTTAAGTAAACCTTGACCTTGTTAATTCCTGCGTCTGGTCTTCACATACTCAGTACTCGTACACAGCACTGGCAAACCATGGTTAACCAACTCCCTTACCAAAATGGCTGACCTTTTATACTGTCATAAGAATGTTCATGGCCATTCTAGTATTCTAATTCCTAATTCTATAGAGGGAGCATAGGAGCTTGACCTCTGACCTTCTCGTCCTGCTGTCGTCTCCTCTCCTCCACTGCTGCCCTCCTCTCCTCCTCCCGTCTTTTCTGCTCTTCCATCCTCCTCCCTCGTTCGTCTGCACAACGCTCCAGCTGCTGCCGCACACGCTGCTCCTTATCACGCAAGAACTGCCCTAGGTCTACACACACACACAGTGTGGTTTGGTTTTAAGTCTTCACAAGCATAGTAAAACAAGGAACATTCTGCCAAGTGGGGACATTTCACCTGTCCCCACAAGGAACATGTTTTTTTAAGCTTAGGGGTTAGGTTTAGGGTTGAAGGCAAGGGAAGCCAGCGAGCATTTGGCCTCCCTTGACAAAAAAAGTAGAAAACATTTGCCAATCAGCGTTGAGCTGAATGGTCCTGGCGCACCAACAAAAAGTGTCAAGGGAAGCCAGCTTGGATTTTGGCGTCACACCTATCAAATCGCATTGAGAGCATACGTCATTGACAGAAACAACTTGAATTGTTGCATCTTGTTGTGTTGTTGTCCTCCGGTGGCTAGCTAGCTAGCTAGCTAAAATTGTCCTAAATTAGCCATGGATGGAGATAGGGATTTGGACTTGTGGTTTTACTTAATTCTCCATACTGGCCAATGATTATTTCCATTAATTCATACATTGTTGTGCCCCTGGCCTGAGAGGATGGAAGTTCAACATGTAGCTAGATGTAGAAGGCTAATGTTAATTAGCTAATGAATGGAAGTTAGGCTAGCGAGCAACCATTTTAGCCAGGAAGCCTAGGACAACAAAAAATAAAAGCGTGTACTGTATGACAGAGTGATAGACCATTTCGTCAACATGAAAGAGAGGAGGATGGCATTGGCGTTTCTCTACAAGTAGGGTGAGTCGACATGTTTTTCTACTTGCACGAACGCATGCATGCACACACAAGCACACACACACACAGAAATCAGTACCATGGACAGCCACATCATATTTGGTTGTTGTTTTTGGTATCTTTTAGTTGTCACTGTATTAGACTAAGCAGAGGTGATTTGATGATGTTGAAATGTTGAAGTTGAAATGGTGCTGGAATAGTGGAGGCAGCTCCTGTTTTCTTTGCCACTTGCGGTAACTCTGTGGTTCTAAATCAATAGTTGATTAGTGGTCCGAAAATGTCGGAGACATTAACTTGCTTGACCATGCTGTAGGTCATGTAACTGTCTGTTACTGTACATGCAATATGCTTTGTGGACTTCACTGGACAGAGGTTGCTCTCCGGTTTTATGATAAAACAAAGGTGTGGTTGAATTTATTCTGCCACTGTCGTCTTATTGTGTCGGCCTTTAGGCCTATATATCACGGTCGCAAGGCATATGAATTAACAGGTTATAGAGCAAACAACGCAATTATCACAACACATAGGTTGTAATATGGCTTTTTGGGGGGGGGGCTTGGCTTCCCCAGTGATTTTACCCATGCACCGCAACTGGTTTAGGGTTAGAATTAGGGTTAGGGGATAGATTTAGTTTTAGGGATTTGGGGTTAGGGTTAGGGGTTAAGGAAAATAGGATTTTGAATGGGAATCAATTGTTTGGTCCTCACAAGGATAGTAAAACAAATGTGTGTGTGTGTGTGTGATTGTGTTTGTCACAGTGGCAGATGACAGAGCCATCCAGTCAGTTCAGTTGGAAACAGTGACTCATACCCTGACTCTTCTCTCTCTCCTCTCTCCTCCCTCTCACTAGCTGCACTCTGTCCATCCGCGGGGACACTTACACACACGAAGAAGAGAGAAGATAGAGGGCAATTATGAACAGAAGAGAAACTCAGAGCACATCACGTGTTTCATACTGCTATAAAAACATTGGAGAGGTTGAAGTATACTGCTGCTGGCACCAGTACTAAGATATATTAAATGAACAACAAACTGGATCTACAGTAGATATGCAGTCTTGGAGAAAGCTACTCAAACCCAGATTAAGCACATACATGCTTTTTAGTCCAGGAGTAAACATAATCTGGTTAATGTATCTAGCCCATACAGATACAATGTAAATTGAATAAAATAATTTTACCTGCTGGGCTGTTGTGATTGGACGACAGACGAGAAGGGGACGCATGCCCATTGGTGAGTGGTCTTATCCCAGTGATGATGGGCGCAGTCATGACTGCTGATTGGAGGGTAGAGTCAGTCACACACTTCCACACACACAGCTGCCAGAACTGAAGATTAAACTTTAGTGTAGTGGGCTCACACAGTCAATCTTGACACACCCAGGTTCGATTCCATAGAATTATATTTCTATGTTTGATCCTCGGCCTAGATGACCCCTGACCCAGCGTGTGTGTGGGGGGCAATATTAGGAAGGTGTTCTTAATGTTTTGTACACTCAGTGTATATGCACACTATCTGCACACAGCAAGAAGCAGATGTTTTTTTTACGGTCATAAGATATGTACATTTATGTAAATATAGGCAGTCAGATCTGCCCCACAGGTATAAACAAAGTTTACGTAAAAAAACAAAAAAAACTATTCATCTTGAGAGATAAGTAACACACTTTAACATCAAGAAACATTCAGAGTGCGCTCTGGGCGTTTGTAAATTCAGAGCGTTGTCAGATTGTGCTCATAATGTAGTCCCCTGTAGCTCAGTTGGTAGAGCATGGCGCTTGCAACGCCAGGGTTGTGGGTTCGTTTCCCACGGGGGGCCAGTATGAAAATGTATGCGCTCACTACGTCGCTCTGGATAAGAGCGTCTGCTAAATGACTAAAATGTACAATACATTCAGAGCGTTTCGCTCTCGGAGCGTTTAGAGCGCACACTGGACGCTCTGGCCATATTCAACTGCTGTTGAGCGTTCGTAAATTCATCAGTTATCTGCGCTCTGGCACACTCAGACGAGAGTGCTCTGAAGTCGGAGTAGATAGACAGAGTGAATATACGAACGCGCCCGTAGTAACATTCCCTATAGTCACAAACATGACCATTCATTAATCAACACAGACATATTTAAATTGAAAACATTTAGGATAGCGCATAAGAAGAACAATTGAATAGAGGAAAAAATCTCCTAACAATATCGTTATCCCAAGCCTAGTATCATCATTCAATTAAAACAACCGTCAGTAAATCCTGAGCGCATCATCATCTCACCTGTCACCTCGTGCCCAGCGCCTGGTGTGACTGTGGTCATCTCTGTTCCCGCCACTCCTGTCCCTGTCTTTCCTAGTGACTCGCGCCGGCCGCCGCAGAACAGCAGCAACAAATCAAATCAGCCTGAACACTACTGCGGCAGAACCGAGAGAGAAATACCAGAGAAACAGAGTGGAGTGATGCCAGAAAGAGAGAGAATGAGAGCGAGTGAGAGAGAGAGAAACCAACGGTAGAAATTAATGTTTTCGAGTGTCTTCGAAGGGAATCAAAGTCACTTCATCTGATACAGTTGGCCATAAAAAAAAAATTATATATATATATTATTTCTAATGAGACAGTTTAATCCATATCTGCCTGGTTTAAGTCACATATCAACATACGTGCCAGAGGGCTCTACATTACGTCATTAATTACATCAAATAGAGTGCACGCATGTCGGTTCAGTGGTCTCTGTCTCTCTCTCTCACACACACAGGCCTATAAATACACACAGACCACCCATTGGTTTATTCATAGACTAAAAATAGCGCTGAGGGAACAGTGAATAACAGCAACCAATAGTCAGAGAATCAGCAGCAGGGTCTATGATAAAGACGTTGGGGGAAAATACTCCCATAATGGACAGCATTAAAGGTTTGAAACCCACTGTCAATAAAAAAGATGAAGGGCACAGGCTTTCCCAAAGCAGGGCTAGAGGCACAGAGAATATGGCGGGACAGAGAATATCTATTTTTATTGATTTATTTAACTAGGCAAGTCAGTTAAGAACAAATTCTTATTTACAATGACGGCCTACACCGGCCAAACCCAGACGACGCTGGGCCAATTGTGCGGTCGGTTGTGATACCGCCTGGAATCGAACCAGGGGGTCTGTAGTGACGCCTCAAGCACTGAGATGCAGTGCCTTAGACCGCTGCGCCACTCGGGAGCCTATCTCTCATCCCGCTCTCCCTTTTCCCCAGCTCCAACTATCTCCCTAGTGAGCCTTTATAGGCACATTATTTAGGCTAATGAAAACGCACACATTTTAATAAGATTGGCTACTGTGAGCGCTTATAGAGAACGCGCTGCACCAGAGCTTCGATGTACATGGCATGTGCAGTTAGCGGAGACCACTGGGCCTCATGGGGGTGTATTATGCAGAACAGCGGCGCCAAATAACAGTTCACACATGCGCGTGTCAGATACTATATGTTGTAAAGGAGCTAACCTATTCGTTGCCCTGGATATAGAAACATAATGAGACAAGACATCTGCCCTTCTTATAAAGGGTTTGTTCAGGCTACATTTCTGAAGCAGTGAGAATATGAGAGGGAGACGATAAAATAAGATTACAGATCATCAGCCCAGTACAGCTCCACTCGGTCCCTGGTGCGTCATCCTCACTCCGACGTTGATTTACACAAGCATAAAGAACAATAACATTCGATGCTAAAAAAATATATCAGTATTGCAACAGCTTTGTATTACTGGAGTTACAAAGAAAGGCTTCAATGTATGTTATTAATGCTCACCACAAATAACCCTGTGGATGAGGTTTAGCTGTAGCTCAGTGGCACCACCTAGTGGTTGATACATACAAGTACAGGCTACAGTCTTTCTCAGGGAAGAAAAGAGCTGTGTGAAATGTAACGTCAAAAACATGATGTCAAGTCCATGGAATTAAGTTATTTATTGGAAATCCCTATAATCAGCCTTATTACATCATAGTAGCTCAAGCGCTGTCTATGGTGTTAAAGACAGACACAGTTCAGTGATATTTAGCTAGCCTGGTCCCATTCTGTATGAGCTGTAGCCAACTCCTCTATAGATGCCAAGCCTTACATGACATCTTTGGCATGACAGCGACTGAACAGAGGAATTGGCTCCAGCAGCAACAGACTGGACCACCAGGCTGGTTAGGAGGCAGCCATTTCCTCTGACAGAACTCAGCTGTCTCTAAACCACAGCCAGGGGGGTGTCACAAAGCAGGAACAAGTAGATAAACAGCCAATTAACATTCCTAAATATTCTGAAAAATCTTAATATCTTCTAGAAATAGACATTGGTTTAATTGAAAAACATAACATTTTCAAGATTATTTTAGGAAATAAACCACAAAAGTAGTAGTTATATCTGAATGTTTTTCAACAGTAGGCCTACCTTGCTTGAACTGAGTGATGCTTTGTGACATATTCCTCTGGTAGTTGATCAAAACATAAAACCAACAGACAAACACACATGGGGAAACAATAGAAAAATACAGACTGTTGAAAAACAGAAGTTGGGGATGTGTAGCCTTCATTTAGGCATTGAGCAATACAAACAAAACGTTCTCCAACTGCATTATGGCGTCATCGGAATACGATATAGAATTAAACAAAGAAACATTCCAAAGGATACAGAGGCATCTTCAGGAGAAATCAGTTTTTCGTAACCAATAAATATATTTAATCCTAACTAATATAAAAGCGTTGCCAACTACAAACTACAATGATACAGAACGCAGGACAAAACATAAAATGGTTGATCTTTTTATTGCGAATCCAGAGATTCTGTACTGTATTTTGTAACTAAATTCCACTCAGCATGAAATCGATATAAATACATTAAAAAGATAACGCAAGAGATTGCGAGTAGCTGCAGTCATGTTATCAATGAGTTAGTGGGAGGGCTGAACCTCCTTGAAATGTGTTGTGTGGGCGGGGTCGTCACTAGTTAACACAGCCACAAATGTGGGCAGAGGGTACAGTGATTCCGGTAGAGAAGTATGGAAGTCCTGTGCTGATTTTCGGAGCGGAGGGGAAAAAAATCACACCTTCCCCTAGAAGGTCCTTAGATCTGGAGGATGATGACAGGTGAAAGGAGGCAGGGGAAGAGAGGAGATGGGAGACGAGGTGGGGAGAGAGGAGATGGGAGACGAGGTGGGGAGGGTAGAGATGAAGAGGGGAGATGAGGAGGGGAGAGAGAGGAGAAAGGAGGTGGGGAGAGTGTTGGGGAGAGGAGATGGGAGAGAGGACAGAGGAGGTGGGAAGGGGGAGTTGGAGAGAGGACAAAAGGAGAGGAGTTGGGGAGAGAGGGGGCAGGGAGGGGAGAGAGATACGGATGGAAGGTCACCAGATGGTCATTCCTTTCATTGCAACCGTTCCAACCTACAGAAAGCAATAAAGATATTGGGACAATAAAGATACTGATTGATCACTTACATCATCAATGTCCTCGTCATCATCTCCGATGTCGTCAAACTGGATGTCTTCATCGTCCCCAGGACCGAAGGTATCTGTCTCGTTGATCTTGGCTGAGTGGGGAGGAGACAGGAAGAGGAGGAGTCAGAGAGAGAACAGGGATGTGCAAACAAAACAACCCATGAATTGAATACCTACAAAACCAATCAATGGGTCAACATGGAATTTGGTCCAGCGGTAGTCATCATGGGCTGTGTCTCAATCATTTCAACTAGCTTTCTTTCCTCGTCTCCTCTCCTACATGACCACTATTCCAATCCCATTAGCTGTTACCGTAGGGACAGCTCCTCTTCCTGGTACTCACCGTGCTCCGGCAGTTCTCCGTAGGCCTTCAGACTCCTGGCCTCGTCTGCATTGTACTTCAGGATCACATCAGCTTTGTTGTCCTATAGGGGTAGAGAGAAACCTAAACTCCAACCTGTTTTTATGATACAATAGGGCTGGGTGATATGGCCAAAAACCATCTTGATTTTCTTCTAACTTATGGGCGATTCCCGATTTATAGCTCGATTTTTTACATGTTCTCTCTGAATAAGCGTTGTTGTACAATTAAAAGGTCAACAAACTGCATTTCAAACAGTCAGCAATAATCTAATGAATTCAGAGAGTGTGTAAGTATACCTAGGCTGAATATAAGCCTTCCACAACCATAAGACCAACTAATAACGTAATTATTTTATCCAAATAGTTTAACCAGCTTTTTTTGCAATAATCACTGAACTGGCTTTCAACTCAGTCTATGAAAATGCCCCTTTGTTACAAATTGAACCAGAACCATGCACATCCCCACTAATAAACGACCGACTTCTTGTAGCAGGCGTTATAGAAAATTAACACATCACAGGAGTCTGCTGAGAGGAGGACGGCTCATAATAATGGTTGGAACAGAGCCAATTGAATGGCATCAAACACCTGGAAACCATGAATTTGATGCATTACATTTATTCCGCTCCAGCCATTACCATGAGCCCGTTCTCCCCAATTAAAGTGCCACCAACCTCCTGTGTAACACAGGTCTAATAAACAATCTCTCAAGCACAAGCCCACATGCTAATTAGTAGTCAGATAATCTTCATATTTCAAGTCTAGCCAACTTTGATCTATTTGCTAGCTAACAAGGTAGAACAGTTGAACTCTTATGAACAGACCCTCCTGTCCATCTCCAACTGTTTGAATAGCATGCTTGCCTGTCCACTTTGTTTAGATGTTGAAATCAAGTGGCCTACCTGGATAAGATGCTTATTTCTCAGAATGAGTTGCCAATTCCTTATAGAAATGCGCATTTTTATTCTCATTTAACATTTAGCCTCCTGAGTGGCGCAGTGGTCTAAGGCACTGCATCGCAGTGCTAACTGTGCCACTAGATCCTGGTTCGAATCCAGGCTCTGTCGCAGCCGGCCGCGACCGGGAGACTCATGGGCGGCGCACAATTGGCCCAGCGTCGTCCAGGGTAGGGGAGGGAATGGCCGGCAGGGATGTAGCTCAGTTGATAGAGCATGGCGTTTGCAACGCCAGGGTTGTGGGTTCGATTCCCACGGGGGACCAGTATAAAAATAAAAAAAATGTATTCACTAACTGTAAGTCGCTCTGGATAAGTGCGTCTGCTAAATGACTAAAATGTAAAATGTAAATGTAAATTTATAAAACAACTAGACAGCTAGCACAGTCGGTGGCTAACATTCTGCTAGCGGCACGTGGCACAGAAACGGAGCATTTATTTTCCAGAAACAATGTTCATTGATAGGCTACTCACATTTTAGTAGGGTCTACTCTCTGTACCTTTCGGGAGTTGAGTTATAAAAGGGTATCATTAGAAAGGTTAAGTTATTCTATTGCAGTAAAATAATGTCTCAGTGTGTTTCAGTGTCCATATGACTGATTCTGTTGGACCAAACTTCAAATGCAAATAGCGAGTTGAAACAGCTTTTTGTCATAGAGGAAGAAGTGATTTCTCATCTGTTGTTGTTGTGGGTGGCAGGGACTTGGTGTATGAGTGGGACTTGGTGTATGAGTGGGACTTGGTGTATGAGTGGGACTTGGTGTATGAGTGGGAATGTACACAAAGGTGCAGAAGGAGCAAAGGAGACGAGACCAAAAAGACAACATGAGAACAAGAGGACATAAACGCTCATAAAAACAAAAACTTGATTCTCGCGATACAGGCATTTGGAATTTTGTGCTAAAACATACATTTCAATTAATCAAATTAATGACATATATCGCCCAGCCCTAAGTGACAACCAAATGCACAGTCACCCACAACAACAACAGCAGTCGTAAACTTGCGGGTAATCTCACCTGGTAATCTCTCAGTCCCACCAGGATGATATCTGACGTGTTAATCCACACCTGGAAGAAAAACAACATCATAAGAATGCTTTTACAAGGAATTAAACAAATGAATGGATAACAATCTAAATAATTGGTTTACACACAGCTGCAGCCCATGCTGTGTCGCGGTTGACAGTCCATAGAGGAAAAAAGTGTTGAGTCCGCATCATTCCGGGTTTCCTTTGTGTGTCAATATGACGGGCGTGTGCGTTCCTACCTTTTTCCTGAGTTTTCCTCGGATGTGGCAGAGCCGCTTAACTCCATCAAAACACATGGCTTCCAACCTCCCATTACCCAACATCTTAATCACCTGGGCATATTCTACAGGAGAGAGAGAATGACTTAACATACACAACATCACAGGAGGTGAGAACACCTGAGTGTACTGTACAGCACAGGGGAGAGCAGTACATTGCTCCCACTGAATATGGCCATGTTGATCATTATGGTTGTATGCCTACACCCTCAATACAATACACATCTGCTCTAAAACAGGGCTGTATTTCTATCTGCATTCTAGAAACCTGGAAAAAAGGGAGCTAAACATTCTAGAGCATTGTTAGGAGCAGTTGAGGTATTCTACACAGGGGAGAGACTGGCAGTTCTTATTCTAGAACATTAAAATGATATTCTTATTCTAAAACTGGTGTGCGTGAAGGCTTTTGCCTCAGCCAAAGCAGTAACACACCAACTCATCAACCAATCATATAGTCTTCAACAAAGACTTGATTAGTTGATTCAGCCATGTTGCCGTTTGGCTGGAGCAAAAAGCCTACACCCACACAAGCCCTGGCAGAGACCCCTACACTCTCCCATCACCTTCCATCTTTCCACTCACCCTGCCCGTCCTCTTTGAACACCAGCTCTCTCTTCTCAGACTCGTTCTCATTCTTTCCACGTCGACGATTCTTTCCTCCCTTACCTGGAAATGACAGATATACATTCCGTCATACAGAGCACTTACATTTTAGTCATTTAGCAGACATTTTCACCCAGACTGTGTATTTAACTACTGTAACTAGCTATGTAAGGTAAAGGTTTTTAGTTTCCACTTGACCTGTGAACTCGGAGTATCACACCAATAGCTAGCTAACCTATACTGTATTATTTGGGGTTGATGATAGTGTTTCAATGTCAACCCCACATCATCAACTACGGAGGACCATGATGACTTATAACAAGATGTGACAATGTTTTACAGGAATAGAGCGCAGATATGCCATATGGCCAACTAGTCAGTACGTGAAACCTTGCTTCAGGCAAATGTAGCTAACGTTAGCTGACTGGGGTTTGAATGGGTTCGTTGAGTAAATAACGTTAACTGCCATTAAAATGCAAGTGTCAGCACCGTGAGTGGCTAGCAAGCCAGCTAGTTAGTTAAACGACAGAATAGTAATGTGCGCCCTTAACAGTACAATTTAACTTCAGAACGACAATACAGCGAGCTGGCTGCTCTAAACTTAACTTACCTAGTTTGTACGTACCTAGAATTTTGAACATATACGCTAACTAGCTGGCGGTTACCGTTAGGCATTATGTCAGCTAGCTAACGTTACTAGCGATTCAATTGTGTCACGTTTTCACTCCGTGCAGACTGAAGTAGTCAGACACTGTAGTCAGAGACGGCAGTACACATTCCGGGAATAGACGGCACTTTTAACACTTTACCTTTATTCTTGGGCATATTATTTACAGCTCAGATATTCTCTTCGTCCCGTGGTGATGTGGTGTCGCTTACTGCTGTATGAACAATACTGAGAAAGAAAAAGGGGCCAATTTCTCCCGGCAGATTTTACGGAAAACCAAATCACCACTTGTGCACCGGTTTACGCATGCGCATGTCATTTCATACAAAATTATAAAGCTTTATTCACACATTGTGAAACAGCAATACACTATGCTAGCTAGTTACTGTCTTTCTTTATCATATCAATTTAGGAAGGCAACAATAGTACACGTTTAAAATAAACACACAAAAGCATTATACAAAGCATATATTCATTTGAAAATATATTTGTAAATGTAGAAGGGGGCTAATTTACTTGGGTATGTGAATGGACCACAGTCTTTCTTGACAGTCTTTCTTGACTAATCTTTAAAAATGTTCATATGCTGGAACTGAGTAAGTGTTTAGAATAATAAAACCTATCGATTAAATATACATTTTATACATATGTTTTATATTATTCATTCGAATAAAAATAATATAGCCTAGGTTAAATGCTCGTTCAGTAGAAACACTCCACTACAGTAGGTGGCGATAGTGCACATTTTCTGATGATAAAACAGAAGAAGTAACAACCTGCTAACTATTTTAGCAATCCATGATAAATTATAACATTTTGGTAGCTGGAAAATATGATTTTGGTTGATTGTACACATATCCATGGATATTTCTGAATTCACCATTGTTCAAACTTCATAGCCAGATAGAGAGAAAGTGGAAAGTCAACGTGCGGATATTAAATAGTTACTCTACACTGTAGATAGCTTAGCCACAGTTAGCTAACTGCTAGCAGACAGCAATAACAAAGATACTGGTAGTCTGGGTCAGTGTGTGCAAACGCAGCTGTAACACCTCGGTGACGACACAAAATGTGTAGCTAAAAAGTATAAACAAGTTGTGACTCCGTTTCATTAGAAAATAACTGGCTAAAGAGAAGAACGCAATGGAAATCCATAAATGCATTGTTAGAGGATGCGCCAATCAATCGGACGCAATTATTCATTACAGTTTACCAGAGGAGCCACAGAGACGCCAACAGTGGCTACAGTTTATCAAGGGAAGCAACCCTGGAGCGCAAATAACAGATGTTTCCCGTTTATGTGGCGACCACTTTACAGAAGAGTGCTTCACAAAACTTGATCTCGGTTTCACCACGAGGTTAATATTAAATCTTGACGCAATCCCAACGATTTATTCCACTGATAAAACATCGGTTTATCGGCAATACACAGTGAGTATGATATTCGCGCTACGAGGCTAGCCTACAACTTAAAAAACAACATTTGTACGTGTTTTATTAAACTTAATTGAACATTGGGCCAAACCCAAACAGTTGTTTAGGCTATAGCATCAAAGACAGTAGCCTAAGCTATAGGCTCGTTAATCAAAGATAGTAGGCTGAAAAGGTTTTAGTAGAGAAGATGGCGGCGCAATTGCTTCAGACATTTGCCGCCAATTAACTAGTTCATTTCTTTAACTTTTCACTCCACCAACAAAAACACATTTTTAATTCTTATAGGCTGATATTGGAAGACGTTATGGCTATCTAAAATTGCCTAGCCTACAGTTTATTAAACCAAGTGTAGCCCTGAACTAGTAGTATCTATCTGTGCACCCAGAATGCCCCGATTCAAACTCCCATTCACTAGCTCTGCAAGCGCTATAATGTCAAAATTCGTTCTTTGATCACCAAATATGCAGTTTCTCTGACCAACTATCATATTTGCTGACCAACAAATGTATTTTGAAATTATACTGCTTGCAGAGCTGGTGAATTTGAGCTTTCTGGGTGTTAGAGGTACATATACTGGTGTAGCACTACCTTCAACTCTATAACTTTAATTTAATAATGTTTCTTCTAAATTAAACACTTCTTGTTCATCTCTCACAGGTGTCCGCTGAGAGTGCGAAGGGGACTGGGATGTTGGAAGTAAAATTGGCTGGCATCAAGGAGGAGCCAGTGGACAGGGAGTTGGATTCGCAGGTGAATCCCTGGAACAATTCGTTGGGTTCAATCAATAAATTGTTTAGTTCAATCAAAGAGGAAGATGTTGGAGAGGATGAGAGCATTGCAGAGAGCTATGACCAGATTAGAGTGGTGAAAATAGGAGACTCACACACAGGAGAGAGGAAGGAAGAGGGACGAGAGTATGGGATGGAATACTCACACATTCACCCAGATGAAGGAGAGGAGGGAGGCTATGATGCCATGGTAACAGAGATTCACGGGAAAGAGAAAATGAATGTGATGGAACGTGAGGTGGAGGGAGTGTTTGTGATAGAAAACTCAAATCCAGAGGAGGAGGAATGTAGAGAATATATAGTAGGGGAGGAGGAGGGATGGAGGATGGAGGAAGGAGGAGAGAGCAGGACGGAAGAGATGTGGGTGAAAAAGGGGAGACGGAAAAAGCTTCCCGGGCCGCAGTGGTGGAGATATGAGCAAGAGAGGAGGAAGACCGAGGAAGACGAATGGAAGATGATTGCAGAGAGGGCAAGGGAGGAAGAGAGGGAGAGACAGAAAGGTCAGACTGTGGAGGGGAAGAAGAGAGTGGCAGGGTTCCGCTGCCCACAATGCAGCAACACCTTCCAGTCCCGAAGCGAGTTACTGGAGCACAAGACCGGCTGCTGCACTGATACGAAACACGCCTGCCCAGTGCCACTCTGCCCCCAACGCAACCCATCCAAGGGGTCCCTGAGGACTCACATCTGCTTCCACCATGTAAAGGAGGACAACAAGGAGGAAAAGGACTTGGATGCTATCCGGAAACCCAGAGGAGCCGGGGAGCATCAGAATAAATTCCAACCCAACCATAAGAAGAAATTCTTCTGCTCCCTCTGCAACACATACTACAGAAACCAGATCGTCCTCGACAAACACTCTCGTAGTCACACCAGTTTCCGCAAAGTAATGTTGTGCTGCTCCTTCTGCTCCGTGGAGATCCTGAATAAATTCTCGATGAAAAAGCACTACAACACGGAACACCCGGGCAGGGTCCCGCGCTGTGAGATGTGTGAAAGAAACTTCCCCTCGATCGACAGCTTCCTAATACATCAGGTTAGACACGTGGCCGTGACTCCCTACTACTGCTATGAGTGTCGTATCTACCAGCTGACCCAGAGGGGCCTCACTGTCCACCTGAAAAACCACGCTCTCAGACGCAACCAGGTGCAGTCTGGGAAACTCAACAAACCTGACAATACAGGTAATCATAGTACAGCCCCTCTGAAGAAAAGCCCCTCCCCTCTACCCAACAACCCTGCACCTCTACAAGATAACCACGCCCATCTACAAGACATCAAAGAAGAAGAATTAATAACCATATAAATACAATCTCAATCTAGTGCTGTGCTTTTAACCCCTCCCCTTTGTCCGATAACCATGCCTCTCTGACATGAAAAACTGACCTGGGAACTTTTGTAAGCCCCATAATATCCTACGTTAAATGTATTTAGCCTTAATTTCTGTCATTCATTCTAGAGATAATTCAGTTGAATCTTTTGTATTGTCCTTTATCAATTTAGATTTAGAGAATTGTCTTACACAACATTAGCTGTAAGTAGCTTTACGTAAAATGTGATAGTCGCAAATGTATACAAATGTAATTAAGTGTTTCTGAGTTAATATTTGGGTTGGTATTGAGTTGTAGAGTATATTATTAGCCCATACATGATCCTATGAGGTTTACATGTTTGTTCGTTCTGGTTCTGCACCTTCCTCTTCATCAGCACTTGTTTATTTCTTACAGTACTCCAGGGTTAGTAGTACAGCACTATGGGTAGGGTGAAAGGGTGCAACATACCCATAGAAATGTGTTGTATAGAACATGTATCTTTTTAAAAACATATGGATTGTCTGTCATGTAGAATAGGGAATTGTGTCAACTCTAGTACATTTCTATCTACACCAGATGTATACATTAGGAACTCTCTGGGCCAATGGAAAGGAGAACTCTCTCTGGGCCAATAGGAAGCCAAGTGAACTTTCTCTGGCCAATAGAGATTAGACCGGAATGCCACTGTAGCCCTGTCATCCAGGAGCCTTTTGATGTCGACTGGTTCCATTACTGAACATCTTTGATGCATTGTTCTCTACACTATTGACTGTATGTTGTCTGAATAAAAAGCCTTTCTGTGGTATTTACTGGTCAGTGAAAAACACAGTTGTATACTGAAGGTATTTTTATTATGTTCAATACAAAGTCCTACTGTGACTCCACTGAGATACAAAACCAGAGAGAGGAGACAGCAGCAGCAGGGGTGGAGGAAGGGACACTATCTCCACTGGAAAGGGACACAGGAAGGAGAGTGACACAAAGACATCAAAAGAGAGAAAAAATGCATATTCTACTCTCAAACTGGAAGGGGGAAAAAACATACAGACATCTCAAACACACAACCTTACAGCTCTGCTCAATCAGAAACTGAAAGACTGTGTTACAATACATCCAGAAGAGCTGAGGGAGAGCGATCGAATAGGTAGGAGTTGTCCACCAATCCAGGATCAGCTCATTCATTCAATAATACTGCTACAAGTAATTGATACTGTAGCTACAGCTTTCTTCATTCAATTAGACAGACAGTGCTTTAAAGGGATTGACAAGAAGTCAGCAGGTGCCAGCTGGCCCAGACAGTACCATACTGGATTACCTCCACAACTGTCATGACATTCCAGACGGCAGGTTGAAAGGGTTCAATTCACCATAAAAGATCATGTCCCTTCTATCCACACATTTCTACATCCATGGACCTCTCCCACCCCCACCTGTGTGTTTACGTTACATAGTTAATGGACTTATAAAATGCATTGTCTTTAATCTCCTAGAAACCTGAGTTGCTCTACTACAGTATTGCCAGTACACTTCAGTACCAGACTCATACAGACTCCTCATAGCGTCATCCACACACATGCTGCCATCAAATGCACCTCAGAACTGGGAAACATAAGGTTCAGAGGAGTGCTGAGGAGCATTTGAAAGGCAGCAACATACACACTGGGCAAGCCACAGACTCGCTGTCCAGATAACCACCACTTAACACTGGTCCAGGATCAGGTTTCCCTTGGTGTCTGTAAATGTTGAGGTGTGGCGTGGACAGGGCAGGCTGTACCCAGACTGGCCCAACAAAGCCATGATTGGACCTCAGTCCTGTCACTCTGGATGTTGTGTCTGACTAGGAGGAGCTTGTCTCTACATAGGGGGCGGGGTCAGTGGAGCTCTACCTGCTCTCACTCTTATGACATTACTCGTTTTGAAGAGGCTACCACAGAGTTTCTAAACCCAGAGATGCAACATCGCGAGTCTTCCGGGATCGCTTGTGAAACAGACCAAGCAGACCAGGCCAGGGTTTGGGGTTGGTGAAGTCAATTAGAGAAGTAAAAAATTATTCCTTAGTTGTTAATTTTGTCGAAATCTAAAGGCACAACCTGGATTTGAGCCAATGTCTTAAGTAGTTGAACGTGTTATTACTCCAACCTCCTGAAAGTGACAAACTGACACGTTTTCATTTTCGTCAAAAAAAAGGGTTATATCGAAGGAGTGCCTTTGATTTGACGGTCTGCACACGCGCAGTTCAGCACGAGACGATCATTGGACCCGATGACGTGTTTCTACGCATGATCTTAGTTAGCCAATGTCGCCATAACATTGGTGACAAGTGTGATCTGGGATTTCTATTGGAGAAGCAGTTTTAGCCTATCTTCATATTGTACTGTCTTTGAGGCTACTTAGGTTTATACACAGAGCTACATTATACAGTTCATCATCATCAACATTTTAATATGGGTCTTAAATGCATAATGCAGGTATCTCTCAAATGTTCCCAGAAGTACAGACATCTAAATACAGCACATTCATGTTCCTGACACCTGTCTCTTGAGTCTAGAGGCAACGCTAATTGTCCAAAGCAAAGACTGGAGAGACGCTACAATATTTGAGCGGTCACCACCAGCCCTGGTCTCCAGCACCAGGGGTGAAGATCACTGGGTTAGTTAATAACTGAGCAGGGTCAGGGGGGCTCCCAGGTGCATCAGAGTTCTGTCCAGGTCATCTGAGGGACCAGGTCTGTCCATCTGTCTGAGCAGAGCTCCGGCAGGGTTATAAGTCTGAGGTGAAACGTTAACGCTCAGAGGGCAGTGGAGGTGAGTTTCTTCACCCCCCTCCGTTGGGCTAGAGTGGAACATTCCACGGGGTCCAGGACAGGTGGAACGTTCTTGTTGAGGGCAGAGTAGGTGGCTGCCATGGCGCCCTGCATAAACCAAAACAAACGAGTTAACAAAAAATGGCAACTCACACTTTATAGTGTCAAACACACAATAAAATATACTGAGACATTAAAACAGGACATTTAGAGTGTGTCTGTTACCTTGACCAGGTGCGGAGCGTCCTGTCTGGTCAGTGTGAAATTGGGCAGCTTGTATCTGTGTGTGACCCAGGAATGACGCAACACCTGCCCGGCTGTCAAACGCTGGTGTGGGTCCACGTGTAACATCTTAGACACCAGCTCCTAAATATCAGAGGTCAAAAACATATTACAACATTATCAACCATTGAATATTGTGTTTGAATGTTGGTAACATTCCCTTGGCTTCTGTGTGAGTGTGTGTGTGTGTGTGTGTACCTTGGCCTCTGCTGAGACAGAGTTCCAGTATCCTCCGGTCAGAGAGAACTTCCCGCTGCCGATCCGAGCCAGGATCTCCTCTGGTGTGTCCTCTGGACCGTTGGCAAACGGAGTGAACCTGGAGAGAAGAGGAGAGAGGGAGAGAGGGGGGGAGGAGAGAGGGAGAGAGGGAGAGAGGGGGGAGGAGAGAGGGAGAGAGGGGGGAGGAGAGAGAAGGGTAAACAATTGCAAATACACAAACAACCACACCAGAAGGTTAGTCCAGGGAAACATCGCACTGTTGCACGCACACACACACACACACACCCCCCCACCCAACACCAACACACATGGCACGGTTACCCTGTGGAGCATAGGTGTAGATGTAGGAACTCCTAGACTCCAAAGATGTCACAGGCAGCATCATAACCCTGCTTCTTCAACACCGAGACAAGCACACCCACAACACCCACATACTGTATGATCAGTGGATGAGAGGGTTATACATGAGAGAGAAGAGATAGAGGGAGAGAGAGAGGAGAGAGAGAGGGGAGAGAGAGAGGGGATAGAGAGAGGAGAGGGAGAGGGAAGAGAGAGGAGTTGTGGCATGGTACGTCCTCGGAGCTACAAAGAAGCAGTGGAGAGAGAGTTAGGTGCGGAGCATGGCGTCATCAGCAGGCCTGTCTCAGTTCTCAGCTGCTTGGCGAAACCAAAGTCACAGATCCTGATGGACTCAGCGTTCCAACTCTCATCCACATACAGGATATTACTGGGCTTTAGGTCCCTGTGCACCACCTGGCAATCAATCAACCAATCCGTCAATTAATCAATCACACACATCAACACATTGAAAGACAACTAGGTTACCTGGTATGCTGTAAATAAAATAAAATAAATTATAAAATGTAGGATCAAAGGGTTATAACTTGATATACACTCCTACTGAACAATCCTTTAATAACACACACACACACACACACACACACACACACACACACACACACACTCTTACCCCCTGCATGTGTAGGTATTCAACAGTCTTGGTGATGGTGTATAGGACAGCGCTAGCTTCTCTCTCTGAGAAGAACTTCTGTCTCAGTATCTTATCCAGCAGCTCTCCTCCCTTCATCAGCTCTGTGACCAGATACACTGTCCTACCGTCATCAAACACCTACAGCAGAGACAGCAGGGTTATACTGGTGTAATAGTATGTGTGTGTGTGTGTGTGTGTTTGTTTAACTATCCTTGTGGGTACCAGAAGTCCTTGATAGTAAAACAAAGAAAATTCAGACAAGTGGAAACATTTCGCCGGTCCCCACAAGGAAAAATGCTATTTTAGGTTTAGGGTTACAATTAGGGTTAGAATTAACGTTAGTTATAGTTATAGGGTTAGGGGTTAGGGTTAGGGTTAGGGGTTAGGGTTAGGGGCTAGGGGTTAGGATATAATTTTGAATGGGAATCAATTATTTGGTCCCCACAAGGATATCAATACAAAACTGTGTGTGTGTATTTTTGTGTGTGTGCGCGTGTGTGTGCGCGTGTGTGTTCGTGACTCACGTCCTTTAGTGTGATGATGTTGGGATGTTGTCCGTATCTCCGTAGTATCTCCACCTCCTCTGTTGGGTCTCTGTTGGCCTTACTGATGATCTACAACACAAACACACACACAAGTTTTGGGGGTTGAAACCAATACCAACTTGTGTGTATGTATGGCTCTGAATACTAACAATACAATGGTCAATATCAGTACTTTCTGGTGTGTGTGTGTGTGTCTCACCTTAACCGCGTACTCCATGCCAGTGATCTTGTGTATGCAGCGTTTGCAGACGGAGTATGATCCCACTCCTATATCCTCCTTCACTTCATACGCTTCAGACAACTGGGACACATTTCTGTGTAGCTGCTACACACACACACAGATTAAAAACTACACATTACAAGATCCTGTGTGTGTGTGTGAAGACCATATTCCAGAGAGAGAGTGGGGAGGACAGAAGGAGGAAAAGGGTGTGGAGGCTGCAATGCAGGGGAGGAAAAACGCTTTGATTTATACTCATCAGCGTGGGAGAGGCTTGTGTGTGTGTGTGTGTGTGTGTGTGTGTGTGTACCTGCATTACAGCAGTCTGTAGTGGTTGTGTCTCTTCCTCTGATGTCATGGCTACAAAGCTGAATCCTCGGAACAGCTGGTGGGCGTTGGCACTGGGCGGAACACCCGGGGAATCTATACACACACACACACACACACACACACAAACACACACACATACAAGTGGTTGATTGTCAACAGATGAATGAGTAATTGACAGATGGATGGATGGATGGAGAGACGAGTGTGTGTGCACGCACAAGTGTGTGTGTGTACCTTTGGGTGTTTTAGTGGTGAACTCTGGGTCAAAATAGGTGTGGTCAGGTCGTCCCGTAGCAGGTTTGAAGGGAGGGCAGAGCTCTCTAAGAAACAGTTTCTACACACAAATAGAGGACATATTATATGGTATATAGTGACTCTACAGCCTCTGAAACACAGTGAGAAGAGACGTCACATTACTCACGTTCCAGTCTATGTTGCAGTAGAATTGATGTCTTTTAATCTCCTCCACTCCATCTGGGCCGGCCCCTACAGAGAACAGAACAAGAAGTTAAACTTCAGCACAGATCTAGGATCAGATTACCTTCCCCAATCCTAAACTTAACCATTAAGGGGGAAAACTTAACCCTGACCTTAGATCAGGTTGTGTTACCTAGCCTGTTAGTAGGGTTGCGTTTGAAAAGGTTCCTTAGGAGACTCTGGGCTTCGGAACTCAAAAACTGTGGCATCCCCAACTTAGCCCTGAGGAGAGAGAGAGCGAGAGGGAGGGAGGGAGAGAGAGAGAGAGAGAGAGAGAGAGAGAGAGAGAGAGAGAGAGAGAGAGAGAGAGAGAGAGAGAGAGAGAGAGGAGAGAGAGAGAGCGAGAGAGAGAGAGAGAGAGAGAGAGAGAGAGAGAGAGAGAGAGGAAGGAAGGAAGGCAGAAGAGAAGAAAACAGTGATACAGGGAAAACAGAGAACATCAGATAGTGACACAGTCATCATTATTAACCTGTATCCAATCTGACTGAATGCTGAAGTCAGTAACACACACAGGAAACTAACTCAGCGTTTAACAGAAACGATCTCAGCAGTCTAGAGAGAGAAACATTCTCAACATTTTCCACTGAGAGGGAGAGATAAATCATTCTGTGTTTAAATCTCTCTCACCCATTCCATCTCTCTCACCCATTCCATCTCTCTCACCCTTTCCTGCACCCTTCCTCTCGTTCTCTCTTTCCCATTCCATCTCTCTCCTTCTTTACCCTCCCTCTCTCTCTCTCCCACTCCATCTCTCCCCTCTTCCACCCTCCCTCTCTCCTCCTCTCTCGTACCCTCCCTATATCTCTCCCCCTTTCCGTCATCAACGTCTAACAGCCCACTTAGCTAAGTCCATTTACCCGCTTTTACCACTCTTATAGTCTTTCCATCTATCATGCCCTCCTGCTGAGTGCTACAAATACCTCTTGTAATATTAATCCCCCGCTCTTTTCCCCTGGGCTGCCTCAGCATAGAACAAACACACAAACACAAACCCAGTCTTGTAAACACATTACTCCAGTGAGATTAAAAAAGGTCAATTATAGTAACCCTAGGTGTAAAATAGTAAATAATGGCTATTTCTCAGAAAGGTTTAAACTGTCAAGAGGAGTGAAACAAGGTTGTCCACTATCGGCATATCTATTTATTATTGCCATCGAGATGTTAGCTATTAAAATCAGATCCAACAATAATATCAAGGGATTAGAAATCCAAGGCTTAAAAACAAAGGTGTCATTGTACGCTGATGATTCATGTTTTCTTTTAAATCCACAAATTGAATCCCTCCACAGCCTCATAGAGGATCTAGATACATTTTCTAACCTCTCTGGATTATGATAAACAAATTATGATAAATGTACTATATTACGTATTGGATCACTAAAAAATACAATTTTTACATTACCATGTAGTTTACCAATATTATGGTCTGATGGTGATGTGGATATACTCGGAATACATATCCCAAATGAAATAAATGATCTCACTCCAAAAAAATAAAAATAGAAAGTTTGCAAAAATAGATAAGATCTTGCTACCATGGAAAGGTAAATACCTGTCAATTTGTGGAAAAATCACCCTGATTAACTCTTTAGTATTATCCCAGTTTACCTATTTGCTTATGGTCTTGCCTATGCCTAGTGAACAGTTTTTTAAGTTATATGAGAAAAAAATATTCCATTTTATTTGGAACAGCAAGCCAGACAAAATTAAACGGGCCTATTTATATAATGAATATGAATTAGGAGGACAGAAATTATTAAATATTAAAGCATTAGACCTATCACTAAAAGCCTCAGTCATACAAAAATTATACTTAAATCCGAACTGGTTCTCTAGCAAACTAGTAAGATTGTCTCACCCAATGTTCAAGAAGTGACTTTTTCCCTTTATTCAGATTACAACCCCTCACTTTCAGGTATTTGAAAAGGAAATCATCTCCCAAATATCACTATTTCTAAAACAAGCCATAGAAAGTTGGTTGAAATGTCAATTTAATCCTCCAGAAATGACAGAACAAATATTGCAACAAATATTGTGGTTAAACTCAAATATACTAATTGATAAAAAAACGTACTTTTTTAAGAAAATGTTTAAAAAAGGTATAATCTTCGTAAATGATATTATCGGTAGGAATGGTGGAGTTATGTCGCACATGCAGCTAACAAAAACATATGGAAATGTCTGCTCTACCCAAAATTACAACCAAATAATTGCAGCATTACCGCAAAAATGGAAGAGGAAAGTGGAAGGAGGAAAAAGTAAGGAACTTGTCTGTCGGCCCTGCATTAAAGAACATAATTGGTTAAAGAAAATTGTGATAAATAAAAAAGTTTACCAGTTTCATTTAAGGACCAAAAGATTGACAGCCGTCCCATATAGATTGCAAAATAGTTGGGAAGAGATTTTTGATGTACCGATTCCATGGCATAGTGTTTATGAACTGATATGCAAAACGACGCCGGATTCAAAACGTATAATTTTTCAATTTAAATTATTATATAAAATTCTTGCTACCAATAGAATGTTATTTGTATGGGGGATACAATCTTCCCAGCTCTGCAGATTTGGCTGTGAAGAGACATAATCATTAGATCATTTGTTTTGGTACTGTCCATTTGTAGCTTGTTTCTGGACACAGGTCCAGGAATGGCTGAAGGATTGCAATATTTGCATGGAGCTGACCCTGCAGATAGCACTACTGGGTGATCTGAAAAGTCATAGTCAATCGATCAATAATATAATAATACTTTTAGCAAAGATGTTTATTTTCGATTCACAAACTGTAGAAACAATGAGAATAGAAAGGTTCAGAACTTTTGTAAGACATCACAGTACAGTTGAAAAATATATGGCAAATAGAAATCCAATATGGATGGTGTTAAGAGATAGATGGGAGGTGTTGAATGGAGCTGAAGGATGGGACTAATAACAACAACTAATAACAACAAGATAACTAGTGTAAGACATGCTGAGTCCATAATAAGTATATAGGTTATATATTGTGAGCTTTTGTGAAAGAGCACAGTTAGAAAGATATGGCATATAGAAGCATACCAGATGAACATCATGAAAATGATCGGAGGAAGTTCAGAAGTAAAAACAAACAAAATATAATTATTGACTGTGTCCATAAAATGTATATAGTATGTATAAGCATGAAGTAGAGGCCTAAGCATTGTTGTTCACTAGTTTACTCCAATTAGGGAAGGGATGGTGGGGTTGGAAAGTAATAAAGGGAAATATATATTTTTTTAAAGGATATGTATGTATATATATATATGTATATGCGTATATGTATGTGTATGTGTGTATATATATATATATATATATATATATATATATATATATATATATATATATATATATATATATATATATGCGAGAAAGAAAAAAAAACATATGGGGGATTGGAAGTGATGCAGACAATTACATTGATGGAAGTTACAATCTATCTGCAATATTAAAGCTGATCTACCCCCTAAAAAAATTAATAAAAATAAAAATAAAAGAAGTAAAGTGGTCGACCTGGTCGAAGAGACTCACTTGAGGATCATGGTCATGGTGTCCTTGCGGTCTTTCCCGTGGAATGGGAGCGTTCCGGTCAGCATCTCAAACTGGGAGAGGATGAAGATAAAAAAAGTTTCACACATCCGACCAACCAACCTAACTACTACCTAACTACAACGTAACTACA